ATGTCTTTCGCTATTAAACATTTTCAATACATGAAAGCGAGTTCATTTCAGGACTAACATATGGTTCAATTTATTTCAATAATTCGCTTGCGCGTAGGGGTGTTTAGCAGTGGGAGGAAAGTGGAGGACCTTGGAGAAAACCTACAAGTGGTGAGTCGAAACCACGCCACCTGACTTAACGACAGACGTTTTGATTTAACATGCAAGCTTTATTAACACATTTGGCCTTAAATAAAGGATGAGAAACTTGAATGAATGAAGATGAGAAACAAAGACTTAAATAAAGGAAAATGAGAAACTTAAGGGAACTCTAAATCAATTTAATCTTTTAACAATGAAAAATATTTTTAAAAAATATATAAAAAGCAAGACTAAATTTTACCAATAACACTTACATGTACTCCAACATTAAGCCATTTAATATCCAATCAAAATAAAAGTTGACAAGACGTAAGAATAAAACTATATGATACGTTGAACATCAAACAACTAATATCCAGTTGTCATTCACAAGACAACCAACACCCAAATTAAGATATGAATGATGGATGACGACTTGTTTATAACTTGTCTATTACACACAATGTATCTATTATTTTAATAACCATTGATATATACCACCACAGCTTGTTGTAATGCCTGAATCAATCATACAGGAATACTCATTATATCATTAGGCACAAGGATGTTGGTAGTAACGACTGAAGTACTTGTTTTATTTTACATATCGTTTAAATATAGATTATAAATACCTGATAAATATTGTTAATGAGGAATTAATAACCAAACAGATTTTACGGTTCAACTTCGAGGGATTATTCTGTTAATAATAGTAGTTCAATCTAATTAAAATACAGATTCTATATTCTGTTTTGTTTTTTTCAACTTTGAGGGATTAATTATTCTGTTAATAAGAGTAGTTCAATCTGATTAACATACAGATTCTATATTCTGTTTTGTTTTTTTCAACTTTGAGGGATTAATTATTCTGTTAATAAGAGTAGTTCAATCTGATTAACATACAATCGTTTTGGGGGGTTTTATGCTTTTGATGGCCATCACAATAAAATATATATATATATAGATCGTAAACACTTGATTAATATTGTTAATGACGTTTATTTAATAATATAATAACAAATTTCTGGTTTGAGGAAGTGGGTGATCAGTCAAAAAAGTATTCCTGACTGTAATTTCAATAGAACAATAGAATCAAAAACAAACTACTTCTCAAAATGAGAAATGAAATGAAATGTGGTTTAATGCCCTACTGTTCTGCTCCGACTGGGCTAATGAAGATGGGAAATTTTGTCCGGACAGCGGCACTATAGTCTACTCTAATATCGAATTTCAACTGTAAAGGGATCTTATACGTGCATGCCAATGTAAACACGGGACCTTGGTTTTTCGTACCATCCGAACGACTAGATAGCTGTCCTTGTTATGCCCTCCATCCTGCACCACTGACAAAGAGAAACTATGCTGGAAAATCCTGACGAACTTTCTCGGCCATTGCAGGGATCGAACATCTGACCTCCAGACTTAACGAACCACCGTAGCTCCCACTCTCAAAATGAGAGGTGGTATCCGGTGGTTTAGAAAGAGTAAGTAATGTAAACATTGTTGCCTCCACAGTTTCAAGAGGTGTAATATACAAGACAGGTTATGACTATTCTGAAATAAAATGAACAGGGGTAAAACGTACTGTTCTGCACCAACCAGGGACATAACGACTGATATAAATACACCATGACTATGAGGGACATTTTCGACCAACAGTTGAGCTATATCAGTCTATTCTCGTGTCTTGTGTCAATTTCCAAATATCAAGAGATCTTTAACTTGTTGCTAATGTAATACACACAACCTGGAATTAACTATTCTATTCCTTGCTCTGCCTTGTTAGGCCCTTCGGTGCTGCACCACTGAGAAGGGGGCAAAAGGCTAGAAATTCTTGAGGTCAACAGAGAGAGAGAGAGAGAGAGAGAATCTACTTGACACAAACTAGGTCATTTCAGGACTAACACATGGTTCAATTTTATTTTAATAATTTTTTTGCAGGAAAGAGATTTGGGGAAGGGGCAGAGTATATTCAGGACTAACATATGCTTAGGAATGGGAGAAAAGTGAAGGACCAGTAGAAAAACCTGAAGGTTTGACCAGCGACCATACATGTACAAGTATTGGATAAAGACCATACCACAATGCCAGACCTTATGATCTAAAACACACCCTTCCCTGGATGTACTCTCACCTTACACTTGGTGACATATATATATATATATATACATGATGTTGTTATTTTAGAGGAAATGTGACTAGGTTATAAGGTGTGCTCTATTTGTAGCTTGATGACTCATTAATCCTGTCATATTTTAAACTACAAGTTGACCATACAACATGTAAACAAATCACCTGGCCTCCATTAACAATATCTCCTTACTCCTACACATAACAATAGTTAAAGTGTAACATGCACATGTACACATGTAGGCCTGGGGGTGTAGTACAGTGATTAGTTACATTGTACACCACTCGTTTAGGAAGTGAAATGGGGTGTTACGTCCTACTGTTCTGCTCCTCTGCTGGGCTAATGAAGACAGGCATACGCCATACAGTGTGCTACTACGAGGGAAATTTTGCCCGGGCAGCGGCACTATCGCCTACTCTTATATCGAATTCCAACTGCCAAGGGATCTTTTACGTGCATTCCAATGCATACACGGTTTTTCGTCTCATCCGAAGGGCTAGACAGATGTCCTTGTCAGGCCCTCCGTTCTGCATCACTGACAAGGGGGGAACCACGCTGGAAAATCTGGATGAACTTTCTCGGTCAATGCAGGGATCGAACACCCGACCTCCAGGCTAGTGAGCCAGCGTCTTACCCACTTAGCCACGTGATCCCCTGTTGTATGAATAAAAATGTAAATAATAATTTAAATAACATTTGAAGCCAAAATAAAGACCTGTAATGGACAGATTTAGCTCTTACATAATGTATGTTTAAATATTATCTGGGAATGTTGTTCCTCTCTTTCTGATTCATCAAGTTAATTGTTTACACAGGAAGGCCTATACCACCATATCATACATTAATAACTTATCACATCATAAATTAATACCTTATCTCTTTTTATTAATAATATCATTTCACAGTAATCATAACCATCTACAATCAGTGTTAACTCGACATCTAATCAGTGTGGAGTGATTAAAAATAAAACCTACAACTCTTATTAAAAATAAAACCTATCAATTTTAGTTTTACACAGTAATCGATTTAATGGCATAAAGTTGGAATAAATTACAATAAAAAATAACTTGTAAAAAATGTTTTTAAACAAACCAAGTTTATTATTTGTTATGGAACAGTATCTACATGTAGTCATTCGGATGGGAAAAGAAAACAACACAAGTTTGTGTGTGCACACGTTAAAGGAGAGTTGACAGTTGGAATTCAATGACGTGTACGTGGAATTGCCATTGCCAGCAAATTATCCTCGTCACAAACTCCATGGCATATGCCCGTCGCCATTAGTCCAGTTAGTCAGAAAAATAGCATGTTAAACCAAGTCAGTGATGCAGGACAAGGGGCCTGACAAGAACAGCTACATGTATTTAATCGTTAAGATGGTCAGAAAACATTGGCCTGCATGTAAAAGATCCTTGGCAGTTGGAAGTTTATACAAGAGTAGGCCTTAGCACTGCTGTCTGGGCAAAATTTCCCTCACAGCACACTGTATGGCGTATGCCCGTCTTCATTATAATGTGTAAACTTATGAATCATTCATAGTGAATTTTATAAAAGTCAACCTGAACCAGGCCTGGAAATGATGTTTTTTAGATGTACCGGACAAAATGAAATAGTACCTGACATTTTCAACTTAGTGTCAGACATGTATTAATAATATTAATAAAAAAGACAAATTAGTGCTGGACAAAATGACAGACACCAGAAGTTTAGTGCCTGGCAAAGCCTGAATCTGTGCCTGACATTGTCTGTGACAGGTGCCTTATTTCCAGGCTTGAAGTCAACCCCAATTTGGCAGATCTGTTTAATTTTTCATGTAATCAAACTTAAAAATATCCAATCCACAAATGTAACTTAAACATCCACAATGTATAACGTCAAATAAAAAATCATTTTGATAAAAATAAACAAAACCACTACAAAAAAAAAAAAAATGTGCAAATAATTATGACTAGCCTAATAATTAATCAGCAGTTTTAAATTGACACACAACACTGACATGACTGACCACTCGTACAACAAGTAGACTAGAAACTTGGATACATCGTAACTTATTGCCCGTTTTTATACTTAGTACAACATGAAGTAATCTCTCGGAGACATTTATTATTTAGTGATTGGGAAAAACATGAACAAAACACCGTTTTATTCTGACAGCACGACGTTTTGACTAGTAGTATCCTCTTATCGATATCAAGCACAATGAATTAAGCTTTGTAAGTCTACAGTGGAGCTACATTGACATTGGTATACCAAACTGACGTGGGATTTCGGTCAGAGACTCCTCTAGTACCATTGGCATTACGCCTGCATTACATGTGCGTCTACAATCATGAATGATTATTTGTTGCCGGCAGACAAACTTGGACGTCAAGCAAAAAAATTATATTTAAGATACAAATAAATTTCCATAATCTGATCCAATGCTTCATTACATTATGTAGATCTGGAGGTTAATTCATTAGAATGCCTGGATCTAAATCTATTAAAGTATTTGGGAAATTTGACCTCATTATCATTTGGATATTTGTCTAGTAGACACTGTTCATGTTTTAGACAAAGCTTGACCAGTGGTCTGTACACATACAGTTTTATATGGGAGAAGTTTTTGCTGATAGTCGGCCTAAAGGATTAAAATAACGTGATAAGCCTTCGACATGTTTTGTGAGATTACTCACTCAGTGACTGACTCTTGACAGTGTTATTATGGATTTGGGGATTGTTTCAAAATGAACAAATGAAATACAACCTTCGGATAACTCCAAATCCAACTCGGCCAACTTTTCACGGACATCTTCTGGAAGATGTGAAGGGTCTATTTCTAGGTCTGCCATGATGGTTGTATCACAATGTTCGATATTATTCGTGTACTCATTTATAACATCGTCTACTTTTTCACAAGATTTAGCTGAACGTCGGTAGCCATTTTCTGCACACCACACCTAAGTCTCGCGATATTTCCCGTTAATAAATATGGCGGTCTAAGTTCAACATTCTTTCGGTTGCTTGTGAAATCTTCGATTGTTTTCGGTTTGTTTGCCCCAGTTTCTTCGATTTTTCCGACCTACTCGAAGAGAAAATGTTGCTGCTTTGGGAAATGCACCCAGATCCGGACAAAAAGAAAATGGAAGCGCTCTGTGAGGTAATGTCTGTTAGGCTTAGTGGTTCTTAGGATGTCTGGGGGGGTTCCTGCTGAGCGAACCACTCACGTGATCAAAATAGCACTGACATAACTGTGGATTTTATGAGTAATGCCTATTGGAACAAACTTTCCTCGTTGACATCATTGATTTTAATGTTAGCCTTAGCCTTTTCCGAATTGCATTGAACAATTTGTTAATTAAAAACTGAGGCTAAAACTAAAGCTAAACGAAATTGTTCTTCGGATGGGACACGATTATATTATTGTGTATATAAAAAAAAACAAAAAAACTTTCAACATGCCATATTATTATATTATTATGCCATATGGCATTAATGGGCAACAGTACAAAAAGACCTAACATTGTAACAGTAACAACAAGAACCAAGAACTGTACATGAGTTATATTTCTCGTGATCAAAATAAAACTGTCAGATGTGGGGTTATGGACATCACATTGTGACCCTAAACCAAAACAAAACGGACAAAAAATTTGATCAAACAAAATTTGTTATCAATCCAATGCTATTTACATAAAATAATTTAACATAGTCTTCAGGAAAATCTTTTAATAATATAGCAATTGCCAATGTCACCAAATAGTCTTCAGGAATAGATTTTAAAAAATATTTTGAATATATTACATAAATATATAAATAAATTGATCATCAAAATGAAACTTACAATAAAATCTATGTGTGAGTAAAACATTGTGATCAAGCTTCAGCTCATAGATGTGTTACACATGGTAATCAGTAATACATTAGTAGACTAGAGTGTTGAAGATTCAGTGTATTAGGCTACATGGTAATCAGTAATACATTAGTAGAGCGTTGAAAATTCATTTAGGTTACATGGTAATGAGTAAATACATTATTACTATTTTTAGTAGAGTGTCAAGTACTTAATTAGAGATTAACCACCATCAGTTGATTAATTAGTACTCACCCTTTCCTTTAAAAAATTGCATGCATTTATTTGGGTTGGCAATGAGCATTTTAGTTGATCATGATGATTGGTTGTTATTTTAATCTTGATTGGCAATTAAACTTTTAATGTATTTTATTGTATTGTGCAGTGAAATTGATATGTATCAGTATATACCAGGCTTTATTTCTTTAAAGATACATTATGTAAGATTTAGATACAGAACTGTCTGTTCTTGCTAGAATAGTTCAAAAATAGATAATGAAAAATGAATATATTGAAAATTTCGTTCAAATTACTTTATTCTGGGCAAAATTATGACTGTTTGAAAATAGTTTATTATTATGACAACTGAGACTTCAGTAATCGTTTATTATCTTGACAACTGAGATTTCAGTTACCCATTTTATTGTTAATTGTTTAAATCTTGCAGGTGTTCAAATCCATTTAAATCTCAGCCATCCAATGGTCTAGAGAGTTGATTAGGAGCTGGTTATGTTAATAAATGTCTAATACTAGATTATATAACATCTGAAGCCAAAATAAAGGCAGATTTTAGCTCTTACAAAATGCATCTTTATAAATTAATATTATAAAATATATATCATACGCACATGTAGTTCATTTGGCACCATATTGTATGATGATGTAAATTTATATATTTGTAGAATTCAGCGTATAAGATGAAAGAAAGATTCACTAAGTCGTTATATTATGGAGAATTAACAGATGAAGATGATGATGATAATTATGATGATGGACCTTCCTTACCTCTAACAGGTATACCTTTAATTAGGGAGAACTCTATTCAAATGTTGGGGGTTGGATGGCCGAATGGTTAACCCCATTTTCTCTCTCTCTGGGATTCAATAAGGCCTGGATATCATTTAAACAGGTATTAGCTGGAATTTGTGCAAATTATGAAATAATGTTATTATATTAGATAATAGGATATCAAGATGTGTATGTACTTATCAGGCTAGTAATCTTATTATGACACATCTCTGATATAATGTTGCACAAGCATGTAGATAGTGTTGAATACAGTCTAAGGGAGATAACTCTATTTTATGTCCTCCAATATTTCAGATATTGCTGTGGATTATTTTCAAGATGTGACACCACGTAAACTAGGAAAAGTTGACAGTATATTTGCATCTTCTGTAGCTAGGTATGTATTTTTTATTTGTTTTTTTTATTTAATACTTAATGATTATTTTAATTGTAAGAGTAGGAGACCCAAACCATTATAGAAGCCAAATAAAACAAACATGCAATCTAATTAAAATACAGATCTATATTTCGATATTTTATAATTTCGATGGCCTACACTACATTAAGATCTGACCGATTGTAGTGGAAGGTCCTGTATAACGTTAGACATTCGATTAACCAATCAGTGTTGATGTTTCTAGTGGGTTACCCACAGTTCCATGCACCCCACACTAAAAACTTGCCGTAACAGACCCTCACATCAACCAGAACATAGGTTATATATTTCTAATTGTTCAGATGAGCTGTCTTGATTAGCCCAGTCGAAGCAAACAATAGGACGTTAAATCCCATTTCATTTCTGTTCTGTTCTGATGATTCCGATCACTGCTAGATCAGGGACAGAATTCGACTGTACAACCAACCACTTTTTTTTTTAATGCTTTTGAATAGAAAAAAAAAAATTAAAAGTAGTATTCTGTGGTTAAAAACACTGATTAAGGTTTCAAATATATGAAATAATGTCGAAAGAGGATGTTATTTTACACTTCTTCTTGTATAAAAAATGTTGTAAAATTTTGATATCAAATTCAAACATTGTTTATTATATAAATAATTGGTTTTTTTAATTTCACTGGTGTCTGTGCTTCCCTATATTCATTTATATTACAATGTATATAAATAATTATTTTTAGATTTCACTTGTGTCTGTGCTTCCCTGTGTTAAGTTATATATAAATTATTATTTTGTAATTTCAGTCGAGCTTGTGCTTCCCCGTGTTCAGTAATGATGAGTATGATTTATGCGAAACGTCTACGTCATCGTAGTCCGGAATACCTTGATCACATGTCTTCCTCCGACCTCTTTCTCATCTCCATGGTGAGTTGATGTTTATGTGATGATTATATCTATAGTATTATATGAAATTGATAAACAGTTGTCCAATTCTCTAAAACTTCGGGGGTTTTGGGTGGTCTAGTGTTTTAAAGTATGCCTGTTAGTAGATCATAAGGTCTGTCATTGAGTTAAGTGTCGTGGTTTTGATTCCCCACTTGAACGTGACAAGGAGTAGGGTCGCCTGTGTGTGTGTGTTAGTTGTATTTTACCTCCGCTTCCACCGAGGTGATATCACAGACAATGGGTCGCCTGTCCAACCTTGTGGGTTTATCCGATCCTCCGGTTTCCTCCCACTGCTAATTAACCCTATGCTCAAGCGAATTATTGATATAAAATTGAACCATATGTTAGTCCCGAAATGATCTAGTTTGTGGATGAAAAACATCTCTCTCTCTCTCTCTCTCTCTCTCTCTCTCTCTCTCTCTCTCTCTCTCTCTCTCAAAAACTTAAACAAAAAGTTTTGAATTTTTCAGCCTTTTGAATGATTTAGTTTAAATTTTTGTGAATAAAGCTCCAGAATAAAAATTCTGTTTCCTCTAAATATATTTGTAAATATATGAACCCTCTATAAATCAAACCGTTGCATTCATGACCCAATGTTTGTTATTTAACAGCATATTTACATGTACATGTAGCTAGCCAACAAAAATCTATATTATGGCTAAGCTTCTTTGATATAAATCAAAAATAAAATTAATGATTTTATTGGATTGTATTTGTTGAATTGTTTTGAGGGACGACGATCTGTCTAATGATAAGGGAGTTAGTAATTTTAGCCCTCGTCTCAAGATTTTAAAAATTCTCTAGTAATGATTTCTGGCATGATTTCCCCTTGTCACTGGTGCAGGACAGAGGGCCTGACAACAACAGCTGTCTAGTCATTCGGATGGGACGAATAATGGTGGTCCCGTGTACACATTAGCATGCATGTAAAATTTTCCTTGGCAGTTGGGATTTGATATAAGAGTAAACAGTAGCGCCGCTGTCCGGGCAAAAGGGAGAACTTTGTAGAATTAATGATAAGAGAGTTAGTAATTTTAACCTTCATCTCAAGATGTTAAAAATTCTCTTGTCATTGGTGCAGGACGGAGCTCATGACAAGGACAGCTGTCTATTCGTTCCGATTGGACGAAAATCAAGATCCCAAGTATACATAGGCGTGCATGTAAAAGATCCCTTGACAGTTGGAATATGATATAGGCGCTGTTCGGGTAAATTTTCCCCTCATAGCACACTGCATGGCATATGTCGGTCTTCATCAGCCCTTTAAACTTTAAAACACATTTCATTCATTTTTAGTATGGAATGAATTATCATTTTGTTATAAATTAATTTTAATATTAATATTTTGTTTGTTTTGTATTTAAAGATGATGGCGTCTAAGTTTATTTATGATGAAGGCGTGGACGAAGAAGTGTTTAATGATGAATGGGCAGACGCAGCAGACATGGATATAAGCGAACTCAATCAATTAGAACGAGATTTTCTACAGGCTATTGTAAGTTTCATACAATAAACATGATATATGGTTTAACCCAATCTGATTCCTACACTAGGATCCGGAAGAGTTGTTATATAACCCACGTTCTGGATGATGTGATGGATTAGCCAATGAAACAATCTGTTGCAGCGAGTTCTTGGCGTGCGATGTACAGAACTGTGGATATCCTACTAGAAACTTAAGTGTCTGACATCATAGGCTCAAAAGCCGATTGTATGACCCCTGACATGACCTCCCACTACAACTTGTCAGATCTTCATGTAGTAGAGGCCATCGAAAGTTAAAAAAAAATGATATTTCTAGTGGGTTACTCACAGTTCCCTGCAACTCATGCCAAAAACTCCCCATAACAGACCGTTTCATTGGCTAATTCCTCACATTATCCAGAACACAGGTTATATAACAACTCTTCCAGATCCTAGTGTTGTAAAGACAAGTAAATTGAAATTTTGAACTATAAAAAAACGAAACGAAAAAGAATCTGTCTCAGTTTTGTGTTGACTGGACGTTACACTCCATTTCTTTACAATCTAACCCTCCACCTTCATTAAATTAAAAATCCAACTTTATATAATTAGCATCATAAAGTAATATTTTTATGTAATTTATTTTGTAGGACTGGCAACTTTTTGTAAAGAGATCAGAATTCTTCAATCTGGCCAATCAGATTGAACAAAGGTAATATTTGAGCCAATGATTTTGTATTTCACTGGGGGGGTGGGTTGCTGAATCGTTTAATGTGCGTCATTAAGTTAAGTGGCGTGGTTTCGATTTACCGGTTGTAAATGACAAGGATTAGAATCACCTGTCCAACCTCTTGTGTTTTCTCCTGGTCCTCCGGTTTCCTCCCACTACTAAACACTCCTACGCTCAGACGAATTATTGAAATAAAATTGAACTGTATGTTAGTCCCAAAATTACCTAGTTTGTATCACAGTAAAAATAAAACTGACTTCCACTTACGATTTCAAAACAAAGTATTAAGTGTAGAAATTTTGTATGATCATTAATTGAAATCAGATGAGTCTATATTTTACCCCAAATAAAACGGTTTATTTGCTTTAACCTATAGTATGTATTTTAAAAATATTGTAAATATTGCATTGAACTGTTAAGATATCTTTTTTTTTTTTGATTTTCCTCGGGGATCACCGTGGCTAAGTAGGTAAGACGCTATCCTGGAGGTCGGATGATCGATCCCTGCATTGGCCGAGAAAGTTCATTCAGATTTTCCGGCGTGGTTTCCCCTTGTCAGTGATGCAGGATGGAGGGCCTGCCAAGAACAGCTGTCTAGTCGTTCAGATGGGATGAAAAACCGAGGTCCCGTGTACACATTGGCGTGCCCGTAAAAGATCCCTTGGCAGTTGGAATTTGATATAAGAGTAGGCCATAGCGTGGCTGCCCGGGTAAAATTTCCCTCATAGCACACTGTATGGCATATGTCAGTCTTTATTAGCCCAGGTTAGGAGCAGAACAGTAGGACTTTAAACCCCATTTCATTTCATTTCATTTTTGATTTCCCTCTGTCTTGTTGTCATCTATATATTTATGTTTTTTTCAGAATTGCCTTAAAACAAGCGATAGATCGGGGCTGGTTTTCATATACCGATTTATATATACTCTCTCGGACTGCCCAGATTGATCAACTTTGGTCTAATGTTGGTTCACAATGGCTACAGGTAGGTTTATCTCTCTTCTGGATGGTTGGATGGCCGAATGGTTAGCACGTGCGCGCTGTAGGGTCTGTCATTGAATCAACTGGCAGGGTTTCGATTCCCCGGTTGTACGTGACAAGGAGTGGGGTCACCTGTCTAACATCATGGGTTTTTGCCGGGCCCTCCGGTTTCCTCCCACTGCTAAAGACACCTACGCGCAAGCGAATTATTGAAATAAAATTGAACCATGTTAGTCCCGAAATGACCTAGTTTGTGTCGAGTGGACTTGTTGAATGATACAAAACTCCACATCATATTATTGTGGCTTACCTAGAATCATTGCTGATACTCCATGTAAATCGTGCCGAAAGAAACAGAAAGATCACTGATCTAATACTGATACAGATGAGACAGAAAACTGAGGCCCCGTGTACACATTGATGTGCACATAAAAGATCCCTTAGTAGTTAGAATTTGAAAAAAGAGTAGGCCATAGGGTCGCTGCCCGGGCAATATTTCTTCATTAGCCCAATTTAGGAGCAGAACAGTAGGACGTTAAACCCCACTTGTTTAGGAAAACTATATACATATAGTTTCTCGATTAATTATTGAATGTTGTTTGTTTCAGGTGATACTGGTCAGTTCAACAGCTTATATGGCAGGGGTCATGACCCTAATAGGCTCAACTATCCTAGCATTACAAGTTTCTACAGCCTTGACCTTGGTTGGAACGGCCATGTTAGCTCAACAGCCAATTCCTGCTGGTCCACTTCTGCCGACATCTTTCGACTCCAGCCCATATCTGCCAATCAATGATACTGCCGCTGATGCCATGGAAATAAACGATGCTGCAGAACTGAGTGCCGTCGTCAGGGAAACCAAAGTTACGCAAATTACAGAACCGGGAATTGAAAAGGAGACCAGAACTCCACAAGTCAATCTTCTGGCAAATCTCATTCAAAAACTTTTCGCTCTGGTCACAATGAAAGAATATATGGTTCAGTTTGTTTCTGCTGTGTCCGAGAATTTCAGTTCTACTCAACAACTACGCAGTCAATTTCAAAGGAGACAACCAATACGCAATCAAGTTCAAGGTCACACACTAAATGACACCTTATCAGGCAATGAACATTGTTGTTTCTGTGGCTCAACCGAACTTTCGAATTCAAAACCTGTAAAAACGGAAAATTCAAACCGTTTGGAAATGCAAATGTGTCCAAAATGTCTTCTTGCCTGCCATGCTAGTCTCCAGTCCTCGCGTCACAACCGACAAATCCTGTCCCACACCGAGAAGTGTTACAGACAGTGTCCTAATTTCGCATCCAGACTTCCGGCCGATCACCATGATGTTTGTTTTGTTAGTGAAGTTAGCCATATACACGGAGAAAGTTGGCAGCATGTTCCGTGTGGTTTAGAGGAACCTCCTGGAAGTGTTGATATGGGACGACTCGTAGTCGATGTTAGTTTAGGTTTTAAGACAAGAACACCACTGCCTGTTCTTATACGTGCTTAGTTACCATGACAACTGCTCTCCAAAGCAATTCTAAACAGCGTTTATTCAAATAACAAGAACATAATTCTATGAATGTCAACTTTCTCCACAGTCTGAAAAACCTTTAGTATTATTATGTATTCGTTAAATTGATCCCTATTTCTTAGGGGGGGGGGGCTAAATTAAGAACAAGCAATACTTGGTTTATCTTCTCAATATCATGAAATTAAAAAATTTTAAGTTTTGAAATTTTAGACATAACATTGTTTTTAAGACTCAGAGTAAAAATTAGTTAACAAATTTCCTGGAAATCCTGGGCATTAATCATCCATTGATTTACATGTAGGAAGTTAATGATAATAACTAATTTATTTAACAAGTGAAAATCCACCTCCTGCGGTGCTGCTCTAGGACGGTTTACTTAAATACGATGTTCCAAATAAATAATATGAAGAACAATGAAACATCAAGCATATATGTATTGTTAAAATTACATTTTAAATGTAGAAATGAGGTTTAAATGTCCACATTTATGTAACACCGAGAATTCACCTCTGCGGAGCTGCTCCATTACGCTTTAGTTAATACAATGTTCCAAATAAATAAATAAGAAAAATGATGAAACATTAAGCTTGCACTACACACCAACAAAAACGCTAAGATAAATAACACGGACAATTCATTTCTACTCTCCATCGCTTTACTAAATAATATCGAGATCAAAAAAAACATTGATTATGCTAAAAAGAAAAAGTTGATATCCATAGAATGATTGCTTCTTGTAGCTGATATATTTACAGTCCCTCAGTTATAAATCTATAGTTAGTCTGTTTCCATGGTGATATTAAAATTACTCAGTATACTCAAACTTGGTGTTAATAGGCTCCAAAACTAGAAATTGTACATTTATAAAGAATGTTACGTAGAAATTTGTAATTTATTAAGTTATATCATGACTTTAAACATCTGCCTTCTGACTGGGAACGCCGACAAATGGGAGCTAAAAAATAACCCCTGAAATTAACAGCAAAAATATTTTAACTAGTTGTTGTCTTTTTGGCTTATAGAATTTCTTTTAGCCTAGGTACAAAATATTTCTTTATCAGAATATATTTTATGTTTTGTTATTAAGGTTGTTATGTTAATTATAACCTGTAGCGCTCTGTATTTTATTTGGTTAACGTTACTCTATTTTATATAAGTAGGGTTTGTCATGTCAGTTAGATTTTTAGTAAGGTTTGTCAGTCGGGTTTTTAGGGTAGACATTGTGAATAATAGTCTGAAGCTTTATTTACGAAACAGACTAAAATATTTTACGGTTGCAGCTGAGCCTTAAAATTCTCCAATGAAAACCCTTCATTCTGAAAGATATTTTAGTGCTAGATTTGAAGAATAAAGCTCCAGAAGCCAATGTTTTTACAATAATTATCTGGGTTTGTCACAGAGAGAGAGAGAAAAAGGTTTTAACGTCCACTTGACACAAACTAACGTGGCTCAAATTTATTTCAATAATTTGCTTGCAGGTAGGGGTTTTTAGCAGTGGGAGGAAACCGAAGGACCGGGAGGAAACCCGCGAGGTTGGATAGACAGCCCTACTGTTGTCACGCCATTTGACTCAATGACAGATCTATGATGCAACTCGCACACGTTAACCATTTGGCCATCCAACCCACCCTTGGTTTGCATCAAAGAAAGTTAGGCCAGTTTAAGTATTGTAGCATAAATTTGAGCTGCATTCGTTTTAGGGAAAAAGATCCCAAATGAATAAATCTTGACGTTTATTTATTCCTCTACTGTATAATGTTTTATTCAACGTTAAAATTATATCAGGAAAGACATGAATTATAATAATAATTTTTAAATATATCTTAGCTCAATCAAGAATCAAATATACAATGTCACACAAGTTTCCTTTAAGAATCAGTCTATTTTTACAGTTAAATTTTAATCAAAACGTTACGGCTGTATTTAGTTATATTTGTGCTGTAATATTTCATTTTATTTTATGATCAGTACTGGAATACCGCGTTTTATCAGTGAAATAAAAGTGTTAATCCACTGGCTAGAAGCGGACAAAGTAGTCCATGTTGTTTTTACCTAAAATGATTGTAAAATCATAAAATAAATAGAACATTTTTCGTTTTGTCGTGAATAACATATTTTATTTCATCTCTAAGCAAGAAAACATTTATATTTTCACTCATGCGTAGCATTCGTGAAAATATAAGTTTTCTTGCTTCTCGATGTAATAAAATATGTTATTCACTCTAAAATGACAAATATCCTCTATATATTGGTGCTGTAATATTTATGAAACTTAAAGGCTTGATTCGCCATTTGTATTTTCGTTACAATATCAAATTTCTCACATCTTAATCCATGCGTCTTGTTATTAACGAGCAGAATAGATCGATAAAACTTAAATTATCATAACTTTGTAAATGATACTTAATGGACTGGAACTATTATTGGGCTGATATTCCTATTACCTGTTTTTTGCCTGTAAAATAGAGTTCTGTCCAGAATTCAATTAAATGCCAGATTTCACATTATCATTAACGCAATAGGGGCTGCGAAAATTGCTCAAGCAATAACAAGGTTCTGCTAGTTTATTAACAAATTAACTGACTACAAATCAGACAGAAGATTAATTCAAAATCGTTAAAAATAATTGCCTTGGGGATTGTATTAGTGAGATGATTTTTCTACAGCAATTTCAGGTGTTTATTTGTCTTTAACCAAAGAAGAAATTTTCATAATAAAAACTATTTAATTAGCCAAAAGGGACTATTTCATTAATAAAGAATTATTATAGGCCCTACTTATATTTTATTTCACAGTCCAATATTTAGATTTTTTTGTGTAAAGTGGTATAGACACGAAAATTCAGGATACACATACCATAAAAAAAAACAACATAAATATTAATTTATTTTCAAAGTTTTATCATTATCAAAAATGTCTGACAGTGAAAATTTTGAAATGGAAGCTCCTGGTAGAGTAGTATTAATTATTTACAGCATTGACTATAATCTGTAATTTGATACCAAAATATATTTTATATTTTACACAGTAGATTCTATTTTGTCTTTAAAAATTAGTTAAGAAGAATATTTTTATAAAAATAAAACATACTAAAACTGCCAGAGGTTTTTTTTCTGTTTTAAACGAAATCCTCTAATATTTGAAAATAAACTGATTAAATCAATTACATTTAGAACATTTCTTGTTATTGTTTTGGTGTTCGATCCCTACATTGGGCGAGAGGGTTCATCCAGATTTTCCGGGCGTGGTTCTCCCTTGTCATTGATGCAGGTCAGAGGACATGACAAAGACATCTGTCTAGTCGTTCGGATGGGACGAAAAACCAAGGTCCCGTGTACAGTTGGAATTCGATGTAAGAGTAGGCCGTAGTGCCGCTGTCCGGGCAAAATTTCCCTCATAGCACACTGTATGACGTATGCCCGTCTTCATTAGCCTAATAGGAGCAGAACAGTAGGACGTTAAACCCCATTTTTATTTCGTTATTGTATTGATTTGGTGGCCATTTGTCAAGGAGCTAACCTTCTGATGTGACTGAATGAGAAGGTATTGGGTTGGTACCCAGTGTAGGTTGACCTCAGAGAGAAGAGAGAGAGAGATGGGGTTTAACATCCAGGTTCAGTGACAAGGTTGAACAGGCGATTCTACAACTGGGGAATTGAAACCACGCCAGTTGACTCAATGACAGACCTAATGATACAATGCACACACGGTAATCATACGGCCATCCAACCCCCCTGATGCCACTGAGAGGGTTGGGTGGTTTTCTCTTCTGCTTTAGATCAAAAGGTCTGTAATTGAGTCAACCAGCATGATTTTGATGCCACTTGGGTCATACTTTAGATCATAAGGTCTGTCATGGAGTCTTGAGTCGGTGGTTTTGATCCCAAGCCTATACATGACTAGGAGATGTTGGGCGCGGGTAGAGTGGGGCGCAGAGCATATTTTGTTCCTCCTACATTCAAACATGAAGCATGGCCACTGTTTTGGACTACTATCTACCAGCTAAATGAGCAGAAATGTTTTCCCACCCAGACCTTTCGATGTTATAAAATTCTTGGGTAATTTCCAGACCTCAAGCCAACCTTGACATCATCTCCACCCCGGACCACCTCTGCTCAAAACACAACCATGACACCATCTCGACCCCGAACCACCCCCTGGCATATACAGTCCAAACAGCATCCCTGGGTTGAACCCAAATCCATGCCATAAAACCATTGTCCCGATAGACTAATAAACGAAATACAGAACTGAAAGTGTGTTTATATATAGTGATGGAATTTATTCATAGAAATAATAAACATAATATAAGTTTAATACATATATCACAGACTCCAAGCCAAATCAAAGACATCATCATCTATTGGTATACAAACTCTACATAGATATAGCAACATTAAATACCCAAGGAGATTGTTCGCTCTACTAATTAAGGAGATTGTCCAATCTACTATTTAAGGAGAACGCATTATGGTGAATTCTGCATCTATGAATAATCGAGACTGTTCTATCTACTAATTAAGGAGAATGCATTATGGTGAATTCCCAATTAAGGAGACTGTTCAATCTATGAATTAAGGAGATTGCCCAATCTATGAATTAAGGAGATTGCTCAATCTATGAATTAAGGAGATTGCCCAATCTATGAATTAAGGAGATTGCTCAGTCTCAGAATTATTTTAGCTACATTTCCAGTTCAAAGATGAATTATGTAAGAGCTAAATCTGCCTACTGCAGGTCTTTAATTATTATTTAGACATTTATTAACATGACAAGCCTATTATCAACTCTCTAGGTTGTTTCCGATGGCAGAGATTTAAAAATTAACGATAAAATGGATAGTCGAGACTATGTCTCGCTTGTCCAGTACTGTTGCTATGATAATAAACAAACTACGCTACATCTTCCAACAGCATTAACTTCGCTCAGTATAAAGTAATTTGAATGAAATTTTCAATATATTCATTTTTCATTATCTATTTTTGAATTATTATAGCAAGAACAGCCAGCTCTTTATCTAAATCATACATAATGTATCTTTAAACCATTCTAAATTGTATATTATATATTGAAAAATATTTTTAACAGAAAACAAAGAAATACAGATGAAATGTACAGGTATCAATGAACTTTTAAAAAGGATGAAGTCAATAAATTCTTTAATTTTACAAAAACCATTGCGATGATAAGAAAAATTGAACTGCCATTTTTTTTTTTCAGTGCACAATTTAAAAAATATGTACATTTTACCGGACATAATACTGTTGGTTTCCTCATGCAGTTGAAATCAATCCAGTAGTATTCAATATCTCAGGGGTGTGTCCCTGTTCCCCCACTCTCAAAAATTTTGAAAGTTTGAAGTCAATTTCCTTGCATCTGAGGCCATTTCTGAAGCAAATTTAATCTTTTAAATGTATTGGCTCTCTCCTGGGTCCCTCTTGTATAGTCTCCAAATGGGAAGTTGGGGGGGGGGGGGTCCTGACCCCTTGTATCACCCCCAAAGGGACACGTGCCTGTTTTTAGTGAAGTTACTTAAGCTATATTCGGTAGACAATCAAGCACTTCACAAGAGTTCAGAGAAATTTCTGTATCAAAGGTTTTGATTTGTAGATTGATCCGGATTTGACCAATCACAATCTGGGTATTACTGAAAGAACCCTGTCAAGAAAACGGAGTAATGTTATAATTTTAATTAGACTGAATGGACACAAGATCGTCCAGACCTATATTTGTTGAAGACAAGTGGAGACAGTCTGGATTGGGGCAACGAAGACTGTAAGATACTTTTAGGGGAAATCCAGTGTAGATTGGAGTGATGGAGGCTATGATTCCTGTAAGGGCAAACCAGTTTGGGCTGGAGTGATGGAGGCCATGATTCCTGTAAGGGCAAACCAGTTTGGGCTGCAGCGATGGAGGCAATGATTCCTGTCAGGGCAACCCAATTTAGGTTGGAGCAATAGAGGCTATAAGATTCCTGTATGGGCAAACAAACTTGGGCGGGAGCGATGGAGACAATAAGATTCCTGCAAGGACAAACAAATTTGGGCTTGAGCGATGGAGACTATAAGATTCCTGCAAGGACAAACCAATTTGGGCTGGAGTGATGGCATGTTCCAACATCTAACCGTTGCTTCAGAACTGGACAATTCCCGAAATTTTGCGCTCGTTGTGTTTACACGTGATCAATTAGCATTGTCCAATCAGGGGTCGTCGCACATAACACACTGTAAACAAATATGGCGGCCTCCATAGAAACTCTTTGTTGATCAGGTATGATTTCCAGCAACCTTGACATTGATCGAACCTTGAACTTTGCAACTCGATTGTCACATGTAGACATTTTAGCTATAAGCGCGAGACTTGATAATCGTAACAATATTTTTAACGAAGGAATCTGATAGGATCACAAGCTGGGCTTATACCCAATCAAAAATAGTGCCAAAATATGCGGGGTATTACGTGAAGGGCTTGATAAGATGTACGTAGTTAAGGCGAGATTAAGCCTTCTATTGAAGATGGAGTGATGGAGGCTATAACATTCCTGTACAGGCAAACCAATTTGGGCTGGAGTGATGGAGGCTATAACATTCCAGTAAGGGCAAACCAATTTTGGCTGGAGTGATGGAGGCTATAACATTCCAGTAAGGGCAAACCAATTGAATCTTTTGTTCTTCGGTATCATTATAAACAAACAGCCACTCATTGCTTAAAATTTCAAAGCTAACAATTTCGGAATTCTAAGCTAGGGTAGCCAAGTAAATTACATTTTGTCCTAAAGATATCGGAAATTTATCGGAGGTTTACTCGAAGAGCAAAAATTTCAAAATTGGTCTGGCCTAACTCGTTAATTTTGATTAAACAAAGGTTTATACATATCAGAATATTTACACAAAGTTCAATTTAATTGCACGGTAGTATATATATATATATATATATATATACTTATATAAATAAATACACATATACACAGGCCTGGAAATAACGGTTTCAATTCGCTTTACATCATAAGGGCTGTCATTGAGTCAAGTGGCATGGTTTCGATTCCACGCTTCTACGTGACAATTAAATTGGGTTTTCTCTGGGGCCTCCGGTTTCCTCCCACTGCTACAGACCCCTACACGCAAGCAAATTATGGAAATAAAATTGAACCATATGTTAGTCCCAAAATGACCTGGTTTGTGTTGAGTGGACATTAAATGTCTTACTCACTGATCCACTGTGGGCCCTGTCGTATTTCCAGGCCTGTATATAAATCATGTATATCATAAACAAAATATCATTAGTTTATATACAATATCATATATATATATATATCACATTCATAAAAACAGCCACAAATAATTATTTTATTTCAATTATAATTTTATAAATGATGATAATTATAAGTAGAACTACTAAAGTATACTAGGGGCTAATGTCACAAAAAAAACAAAAAAATACAGTAGCAGGATTTATCCAAATCTCCACACATCCACCATTATCTTATTCAACCCATATCGTAATAACTTTTATCCATATTAGCTAACACTGTAATCCGGGTATCATTTAATCTTGTGTATCTAGCACTAATTTCATTTACATTCGTTCAATATCAAATGGGTGTCCAATTTACAAGTATTTAATTTCCTGACCACTGTTCAAAAATTAATTATTATACATCAATAATCGATTGGGTTGTTAAAATAAAATGTTATTAACATGTTGAGCGTATTGATAAATATAGAAACCATACAACCTTGTACAACATTCAAACATATCACCATCACACATAAATAAACTAAACAGTATTTCTACTTAATTCACTACTTCATTCCTTTAGCACTTGGACTGAGTGGAACTACCCAAAACGTCCTGGCTTCCTGAGTTCACAAAGCATTCTCAGACTTAAGATTTACATGTACTGTTTACTTTCAATCACTGTTTATGAGAAATATCTTTGATCCAGAAACACAAAAATTTGCACATTGCTTCTTATTGATGTATTTGATACATTAAAACAACAAAGGTTTTATAAAGGGCTATATTTTAGACTATCTGAAGTCTGAGAATGCCTTGTGAGCCCAGGGCTTGAGTACCGGGGCTTGAGTAGTATATGCAAGAACTACATGTAGATGTAGTATACGGAGAGTTATTCACATAACTCATGTCGTCTTGGTAACAGTAGCTTTAGGCCGTTTAGGACTGTCCATGGTAATACCGGTATGGAATATAAAACATTTCTCTTAAACATACATTATGCACGAGCTGAATCTGACAATTGCAGGTCTTTCTTTAGGCCTCAAATGTTATCTAAATTATTAATTAGACATTTAATTAACTTATCCAGACCATAATCAACTCTCGATGTCATCGGATGCTCTTGATTTTCAACAGATTAGAAAACGATTGTCAGTTAATGATTTAATGAAAAAATGGATAATCAAGACTTTGTTTACTATTGTAACATCGGTAGCAATGACAATCGAGATTCCACTATTCTCCAAACAGCCCTAACTTATCTCAGAATACAGTTATTTGAATGAAATTTTCAGCATATTCCCTTTTCATTATCTAGTTTGTAACTATTATAGCGAGAACTGTCACCTCTTTATCTTATCTTATATAATCTATAGTCAATATTTATAATTACCAAGTGCTTAAGGATTATACATCAATAATATTTTTGTTGCCTGAAAAATCACTACATCATAATTTACAATTTCAAGTTTTTTCACTCAAACTGCCGTTAATCTAGTATACTTGTGAACTATTGAAGGTCTGTATCGTCTCACCAGACATTTATATAGAAAAGAGAGAGACAGATGGGGTTTAACATCCACTCAACACATATTAGATTATTACAGGACTAACATATGGTTCAATTTGATTTCAATAATTCGCTTGCACATAGTGAGGTTGGACAGGTGACCCTTATCCTTGTCATGAACAAGCGGCAAATCAAAACCTGGCCACTTGCTAAATGACAGATCTTATGATCTAAAGAGAGAGAGAAATGGGGTTTAACATCCACTTGACACAAACTAGGTCATTTCGGGACCAACATATGGTTTAATTTCAATAATTCGCTTGCGCGTAGGGGTCTTAGCAGTAGGAGGAAACCGGAGGATCCGGAGAAAACCCACGAGGTTGGACAGGTGACCCTACTCCTTGCCACGTACAACCAGGGAATCGAAACCACGCCAGCTGACTCAATGACAGACCTTAGGATACAGTGTGCACGTGCTAACCATTCGGCCATCCAACCCCCTTATGTTCTAAAGCTCACACGCTAAACTATTCGGCCACCACCCAAATATAGAAAACCATGACTGATCAAGAAACTGGAGTAAAATTTGTGATATTTTTCCAATCTGATTAAAATACAGATCTATATTTCGTTTATTTTTTTTTATACTTTCGATGCCCTACACTATATGAAGAGCTGACCAGTTGTACTGGGAGGTCGCTTCAGGGGTAATATGGGTGATTTTGTTTTTTTACCCTATGACGTCAAGCCATTAATTAATCAATCAGCGTTGACATTGCTAGTGGTTTAACCTCAGTTCCATGAAGAGCATGCCAAGAACTCGCCGTAGCAGACTGTTTCAATTGGCTAATTCCTCACATCAACTAGAACGAATGTTATATATATAACAACTCTTCCAGATCCTAGTGTAGTAAAGACAAGTAAAACGAAATTTTGAACTATAAAAAACGAAACGAAATGAAATAGGATCTGTGTTTTAACAAGATTGGATATTTTTCAGGCAACAAGTTCACTGGGTTTTTATTTTGCCTACTTATCTACATTCTATATTACATATCTTTCACACCAGACGTCAAAATCATATACAACATCTCTTAAACATAACAATTTCACTTTATATTACTTTTTATCCTTCGCGATGCTCCATAACGGATCCAAGTTACTCAGAGGGTCAGACGTATCTAAATTATCTTTAATGGAAGTCTTCTTGGATGCCATAAAACTGGCCTTCGTGATTCGCTTTTTTCCCTTGTCGTTGGAATCTAGCGTGAATGTATTTGGATTCTGTAAATCTGCCAGCGGAGACGATTTCACTTCTGCTTTATGTTGCGGAGATGATTTCGAAGTTGCGGAACTCAACGAACCAGAACTAAGCACAGACGAATTTGATCCAGAACGACTACGATTTAGTGGACTTGTTGGACAAACATCTTGCGCAACACTATCTATGATTGGCTGACTAGGTGAGACGCCATTATCAGTTTTCGACTGCTGTTGAATTAAATCGGGTAAACTTGACAGATTATCTCCTTTTGTACTTGTGTCGGTCACAGTAGTTGTCTGCCCCTGTAAGAGTATCTGTCCGGTACTATCGTGTTTTTCACCCAACCGGCCGACGTTTTGCTGTATTGTTTGTAAATTAACAGAACCAAGAACGATGTCATCTGCCGACGTGTGTGCTGTCGGAGGTTTTGGTTTCTGTTTTTTATAATGGGGGTTATACACCAATATATTACCTGAAATAAAAAAGGAATTATATTTTTATTGTGTTGCTAACACCCATATAAAATAATTGGAGATTGATGACATATCAGATTATGTCATGTGATTATGTCAACTGATAATGATAACAGTTTGGCCTAAAGGTTCTCTTTTAGGATACAAGTGTTTATTAAAAATGAAATTTAATTTGTTTTCAAATTATGGATAAAACGTGATGTTTTGAAATGAAATGAAATAGGGTTTAATGTCTATGAGGGAAATTTTGCCTGGACAGAAATGAAATTGGGTTTAATGTCCTACTGTTCTGCCCCGACTGGGCTAATGAAGACGGGCATACGCCATACAGACAGCGGTGCAACAGCCTACTCTTATATCAAATTCCAACTGCCAAGAGATCTTTTATGTGCATGCCCATGTGTACACAGGACCTCGATTTTTCATCCCATCCGAATAACTAGACAGCTGTCCTGCCCACATGAACAAATCTACATAAACACTACAAAGCAACATGCCTCCCAAATTTAGTTTTGTCTTAGTTATGATCCCGTTTAACATATGAAATGTGCTATACTTCTACTCCAATGGGCACACACCATATAGCACAGCACACCGCACCACACCACAGCACACCATACACTACCACATCACACCATACACTACCACATCACACCATACAGCACCACATCTCATCACACCATACAGCATCACACCACACAATACACCACCACACCACACAGCACCACATCACACCACAACCAAACGACTAGACACTTTTTCTTGCCATTTCAAATTTTTTATAAATATTTTATAAGTACTTACGTCTTTTAAGAAAATCTTCGGCAAAATATAACAGAGCTTCATAAGCAAAACGGAGTTGTTCTGTATTTTGAATACAGTTTTTACGTTTACTCAACAATCGTTTGGTTAATACTGGTATCTCTATCATACCGTTGCCATGGATAATCTCCTGCATTCCGGTATATATTAATATAAACGTTCCACTTCGACCAATACCATTCCTGAAAATATAAATAATCTAAGTCATTCCAGTTTATATCCTTTTCTTAAACTATAAATAATCAGAGAAAGAGAGAAATGAGGTTTAACGTCCACTCGACACAAATTTGGTCATTTTGGGACTAACATATGTTTCAATTTTATGTCAATAATTCAATTCCACCTACGAAGGGTTCTTTTACATACACATTCGCGTGCACATAAAAGAACCCTTCGTAGGTAGAATTGAATATAAGAGTAGGTCAGAGTGCCTCTGTTTGGACAAAATTTCCCTCATAACACAGTGTACGCGTATGCCCGTCTCCGTTAGCTCAGTAGGAGCAGAAAAGTAGGATGTTGAACCCAAATTTTTTATTTTGAAATTTTAAAGCTGTTGAATTGAAAATGGTACAAGTAGTTAGGAAATGTAAAACAAGGGAAAACTAACATTAAAAATAAAGAAAAAAAAGTTGTTGGCAGGGTAACACAATTTTTGGGAAAAAAATTATGAAAAAGGTAGGTACACCATGCAGGATATATAAACTAATATCTACCACAAAATCAGACAGAAAGCAATTTGAATGATCATTAATATTTCAAAAGTTATCAAAATATTTCTCCAAAGACAAAATATTGTGGTGAGGCAATGTTTTAAACACCATTTTCCGAGAAACTAAAAAAATTATACAGAAAAACTCTCTGTCTGGTTTTGGGTTTATCATTAAAGAATAAGCAGTCCGAAAATGAGACATTTATCTTTATTAATGCCAGAGATATGGTGTACCTACATTTTTCATACTTTTTCTTAAAAAATGTGTTACCCTGGCAACAACTTTTTTTTCTTTATTTTTAATGTTAGTTTTCCCTTGTTCATTACATTTCCTAACTACTTGTGCCATCTTCAATTCAATAGCTTTAGAGTTTCAGAAAGCATTTTTCGGGTAGCCTCACCCTGAACTGTTATTTCTTTTAGAGATTCAACTTTAAGTGAACTTTAAGTAAATTTTCAGTCACTATTAATAATACGTACCCACAATGCACTATGATAGGTTTCATGAGACTTCTTTGTTGTTTATAAAACGTGTGAGCCTCGTTGATAAATTTAACAATATGAGAAACATCGTCAGGAAAACCACTGAAAATACGAATAAAACAGAATAAAACAAACCATCAACAGAAATGTTTGATAAGAACAAGAGGATACTTGTGTGTGTGTGAGAGGGTTTAACATCACTGGATACAAACAAGGTCATTTTGGGACTAACATAAGGTTCAATTTTATTTCATTAATTCACTTACGCGTAGGGGTCTTTAACAGTGGGAGGAAACCGGAGGACCCGGAGGAAACCCACAAGGTTGGAGATGATACTTGTTGAATCGTCATGCTTATATAATAAAACCAGTGATTGTTTCCCATAGAAATTGTATTGTGTTATGTTAATGTGTCTCAATTATTAAATGCCACTTAAAATTAAAATAAACCACGTTTTTTTAGGCCTTCTCTCAACTCCTTCCTGAAGATAATATCTTATGCAGAAATATCTCTATAAAATTTGGCTAGTCTGTCAAATTTTGACTTATTTTGTTTACTTCAGATTAGCCGAATATTTTATCTCAAAAAATGTGAAATCGTTTTAAGACATTATTATTATAACCTGGTTCATAGTTAACAACACTAGTTAGTATTTTATCTTGTCAGTATTTTAGCTAATTAGTATAAGTATTTTAGACTGTTAGTATATTAGCTTGTTAGTATTTTAGCTTATTAGTATTTTAGACAGTTAGTATTTTAGACTGTTAGTATTTTAGACTGTTAGTATTTTAGACTGTTAGTATTCTAGCTTGTTAGTATTCTAGCTTGTTAGTATTTTAGACTGTTAGTATTTTAGACTGTTAGTATTCTAGCTTGTTAGTATTTTGGCTTGTTAGTATTTTAGACTGTTAGTATTTTATACTGTTAGTATTCTAGCTTGTTAGTATTTTAGACTGATAGTATTATAGTTTGTTAGTATTCTAGCTTGTTAGTATTTTAGCTTGTTAGTATTCTAGTCTGTTTAACTCCATTTTATTTGACATCTTGATTTCCTGAGATATAAAATATACTGTTTATCGTAATATTAACAATCAATCATTATAGATAATTGAAGACTAACCTAACTGGCCAATTCTTGTACAATAAATGTACAATTGTTCTTCCTTGTTTTGTCTGAAAAAAAAAAAAGAAAGTCATTTTATCTATAATCTGTACTATAAGTACATGTTCAACAGGTATAGACAAACTTGTTACTTGATTATCAGATGAAATTATTCTACACTCAACTTAAAGACAATATTCTAACAGACTTACCTCTGTATGTAACATGTATATTATTCTCTCGGTCCACAGGCCTTTATATTTAACACTCTGGAGATTCAATATAACCTGACCGTGCTCCATGGCTTTACCTTTCTCTGTGGGCCAGTAGATAGGATATTTCTACAAACAGAGAGAGATAGAGATAAATATAGGATATTTCTACAAACAGAGAGAGATAGAGATAAATATAGGATATTTCTACAAACAGAGAGAGATAGAGATATAATATAGGATATTTCTACAGAGAGAGATAGAGATATAATATAGGATATTTCTACAAACAGAGAGAGATAGAGATAAATATAGGATATTTCTACAAACAGAGAGAGATAGAGATAAATATAGGATATTTCTACAAACAGATAGAGATATAATATAGGATATTTCTACAAACAGAGAGAGATAGAGATATAATATAGGATATTTCTACAAACAGAGAGAGATAGAAATATAATATAGGATATTTCTACAAACAGAGAGAGATATAGAGATATAATATAGGATATTTCTACAAACAGAGAGAGATAGAGATATAATATAGGATATTTCTACAAACAGAGAGAGATAGAGATATAATATAGGATATTTCTACAAACAGAGAGAGATATAGAGATATAATATAGGATATTTCTACAAACAGAGAGAGATAGAGATATAATATAGGATATTTCTACAGAGAGAGAGAGATATTATATAGGATATTTCTACAAACAGAGAGAGAGAGATAGAGATATAATATAGGATATTTCTACAGAGAGAGAGAGATATAGAGATATAATATAGGATATTTCTACAAACAGAGAGAGATAGAGATATAATATAGGATATTTCTACAGAGAGAGAGAGATATTATATAGGATATTTCTACAAACAGAGAGAGATAGAGATATAATATAGGATATTTCTACAAACAGAGAGAGATAGAGATATAATATAGGATATTTCTACAAACAGAGAGAGATAGAGATATAATATAGGATATTTCTACAAGCAAACAGAGATATTTTGAATAACAATACAACTAGGTAATTTTCCAGACAAATATTTAACATAACTAATTTTAGTAATTTTACTTGTGCTCAAGACAGGCGACTTAAGAAGTGAGGGGAAACCCACAAGGTTAGACAGGCCAACCGACCTTATTCCTTGACACATACCACACCACTTGAATCAATGACAGACCTTTCGATCTAAAGCCTAAAGCCTTAGTAAAGCACACATATAAAATTATTCAGCCACCCCCTTCCCCTATCAACTGTGGAAAGAGTTTTAACCACTGTTTGTGTATATATAGGGGATCACAGTGGCTAAGTGGGTAAAACACTTAAGTCGCTTGAATTGAGGTCGCGTGTTCGATCCCTACATTGGCCAAGAAAGTTCATCCAGATTTTCCGGTGTGGTTCCCCCTTGTCAGTGATGCAGGACAGAGGGCATTTCAAGGACAGCTGTCTAGTCGTTCGGATGGTACGGAAAACCGAGGTCCCGTATACACATTGGCCTGCACATAAAAGATCCCTTGACAGTAGGCAGTAGTGCTGCTGTTCGGGCAAAATTTCCCTCATAGCACACTGTATGGCGTAAGCCTGTCTTCATTAGCCCAGTTGGAGCAAAACAGTAGGACGTTAAACCCTGTTTGATTTTGTGTATATATAGTTGTTGAATGAACATCGTGACTGACCTTGCCCGTTTCATATTCACTGGTTATCATAACAACAACTTCTGTTCCTTGTTCGTATACCATTACCCAGAAATCTGTTGTTGTCACGGGTAACGGGGTCTGCGTTGTTATAAACTTTGGACAAGATGGTGCTAAATCCTGAAATTAAAAACAATCAAATTTGAATTACCGTAATCCCCTAGCAACACAATAAACAATCACAGATAATAATTAAGAAATAAATGAACAACTTGTCCCATAATAAGAGAGTGTTGAATTAAAGATATATTATGGGAGATTAGATAAAGAGCTGACAGTTCTCACTATAATAGTTAAACACTAGGTAATGTAAAGGGAACCTGCTGAAAATTTCACTCAAATTGATCAACTCTGAACTGAGATTTTAGCATTTGAATTTTCGGCCTAGCCTCGATCATCATTACTAAAGTCTGTACGATAAAAAAACTTAGTCTCAATTATCCATTTCATGATTAAATTATGAATGGAGAGAGAGAGAGAGAGAGAGAGAGAGAGATGGGGTTTAACATCCACTCAACACAAACTAGGTCATTTCGGGACTACACGTTTCAATTTTATTTCAATAATTTGTTTGCGTGTAGGGATCTTTACCAGTGGGAGGAAACTGGAGGACCCGGAGAAAACCCACAAGGTTGGACAGGTGACCCTACTCCTTGTCACGTACAACCGGGGATTCGAAACCACGCCAGTTGACTCAATGACAGGCTTTATGATACAGCGTGCACGTGTTAACCATTCGGCCATCCAACCCCCCTGGGATATGAAACCTGGACAGTCCAGTCCAGTGACCTTATCGCTCATCTACCCCAGGTCCCTATAATCATTTTAAAATCTATATGAAAGAAATGACTTGTTAATTGAGATATAAATATAAAGAATACTTACATTGATCCAACTAGCATTGATATAATCATCTTTTACAGTAGATAACATTACTCTAGTAGCATCATCTAAAATACAATATATTCTATTCTTATTAGTATCATTAAATTATAGTTTTATCACTTTAATTAAAATATATATATTGGTGTTTTATTAATTATATAATATTATAGTTTTATCACTTTAATTAAAATATATATATTGGTGTTTTATTAATTATATAATATTATAGTTTTATCACTTTAATTAAAATATATATTAAAGGAGCTAAATCGCTAATATTTTGGACCTAGAAATTGGCACAAATGGGTCGCAACACATATAATAATGTAAAATGAATTTATATAAACTGTTTTACATTCAATCGTGTCCGTTTTACTGTGAATTGTCATCAGTTATGTTCGGCGAAATACGTACGCCAGAAGTCTCAACGGCAAGTCAGTTTCTAGCGTCTGGTTATTCCAGTCAACACCAATATTATTTAATGCGCATGCTCTCCAAATAAGAATATGATATCACCGTTTGACATGACTTGTGAAAAATATGTCTAGCCTCATTCTTTGTCTTTGAGCACCTTGTTACAAATGGCACTGAAACGCATTATGGTACACAATTCGTGTACCAATGGTAAAACGTTTATTTTGTCTTAAATATTGGATATCAGAAGCCCATCTTTTCCTGCTAAGATCACAACACCAATGCTGATTTAAATTGCAAAAAAATTCGTGTTTACAATGTCGAAGATTTTGGATGATATTGAGTTACGGACTTAGCTACTTTAAGTTCCCATTTAAATAAGAAAACAAAATAAAAATATCAACGCAATCTGATTAAAACACAGATCCTATTTTCGTTTTGTTTTTTATAGTTCAAAATTTTGTTTTACTTGTCTTTACTATACACTAGGATCTGGAAGGGTTGTTATTTAATCTTTACTATACACTAGGATCTGGAAGGGTTGTTATATAATCTTTACTATACACTAGGATCTGGAAGGGTTGTTATATAACCCGCGTTTTCGTTGAGCGATAAGCCAATGAAACGATCTGTTACGGCAAAATTGTGGGTAAACCACTAGAAACGTCAACGCTGATTGATTAATCAATGTCTGACGTCATAGGGTCAAAAGCTGCTCATATGACAAGACCTTCAAATACAACCGGTCAGATCTTCGTGTAGTGTAGGTCATCAAAAGTATGAAATAAGATCTGTAATTTAATGAGACTGAATATCAACAGTATTCTCCCAGCTTCGATTCAATTCGATAAAAAGTAGAGAGAGAGAAATGGGGTTTAACGTACACTCAACGCAAACTAGGTCATTTCGGGACTAACACATGGTTCAATTTTATTTCGATAATTTGTTTGTGCGTAGGGGTCTTTAGCAGTGGGAGGAAACCGGAGGGCCCGGGAAAAAACCACGAGGTTGGACAGATGACCCTACTCCTTGTCCGTACAAGCGAGGAATCGAAACCACGCCACGCAGATTTAGCTGTTACATAATGCATCTTCAACTGCAACGTTTCAATGTGGGTGCTCTCATCATAATGTTGCAGTTAATTAACCCAGTGATTGATATCCATAAAGTTATATAAATTATCGATGGTGTATTCAAATACACATTCTATAATCTATATCTAATAAGTTCTATAAAACACACAACTTACATGGCATGATGTCTTGATCTCTATTTTTCATTGGATAACATCGTGCAATTGCGATAGAATTCTTCTTCCCTTCTTGCTCTTGATACTCCATTAATTCCTTAAGCAGAAATCAAACTCAATTGAGGGAACATTTTACTAAAGTTGTGATAAATCTGTATTCTCTCAAATTTGTATGACTTGTAAATTCACAGATAATAGTAGGAGTGGGGGGTGAGGTGTGGGGTTCGGGTGGTACAGATGTGACCTCTTCATTGGAAATGTCACAGGTTTGAAAATTTCCAAACAGCGAGGGGATCACTTACGCCCTGTAACAAATTATAGAAAGGACTTTTCTGTCGATCTCAAGTTCTGAATGTGTCATCTTCAACATGCAGGAACAAGGCTTAGAGAGTCTAGAAGGATTTTTAGACCTAATTACATACATGTAACCCAAACAATCGTTACTATAAATGGAACGAAAACACAACAAAAATAATGGATGTACCAAATATTTGAAATGAAATGGGGTTTAACAGCCTACTTTTCTGCACCGACTTGACTGATGAAGAAGGGAATACGCTATGAGGGAAATTTTACCAGAAAAAGAGCCGCTACAGCCTACTCTTTTATCGTAATCCAACTGTCAAGGGATCTTTTAAGTGCATGCCAATGTGTACACAGGGTCTTAGTTTTTCATTCCATCCAACATGGTGGAACCACTCTGAAAAATCCTTATGAACTTTCTCGTCCAACGCAGGGGTCGAACACAGGCCCTTCAGGTTAGCAAGCCAATATCTTACTCACTGAACCATCATGGCTCCATGTAAGGCCTACATTTGATTATAATACAACTATATACCTACCCTCCATATGATGTCCACTCGAGAATGAGCTGAAGCTTCATTAGCTGATAAATCATCAACACACTTCCCAAATGTCTCCACGTCCAGAACTAGTTTATTCAGGGCCGCTGGATGTGAGTAGGGGTCTTTGGATTCAGGGATTCCTCTATTCTTCATTGCTTCTTCTTTCTGCTGCTGTTTTTCTTGGGCTGTGAGAACTTTTGGCGCAATCACCGGATCTGGAATAGCAGCTTGCTTGACGCTATCTGGACTAGAAGATAAGATTTCATCGAGTGAAGAACTCTGTCTTGATAGATTTGGAGTAATTGTGGTTGGAGGCATGTTCACAGGGGTAGAAGGATGACTTGATTGGGGCTCTTGTGGAATGACTGGGGCTTTCTGCTGCTCAGTATTTCTAACTTCAAGCGGTGCCTGTGTTGTCTGTCTCAAGGGTAGTGCTGGGGTCTGAGATGGAGCTGGTTGCAGGGGCTGCTGAAGATTTACTGGAAGTTTCAGACCTGTAGAAGGTACCTGAGGAGCCATGGGCATTCTGGTAGTGCCAGGAGTGAAGCCTGTTGCACCAACATCAACTCTCTGATGGACTCCTGTCTGTTGTCCTGACACTCCACTATATTGTTGAGGTTTCTGCATGCCACCGGTTACCGGCTGTCCTGAAATCTGACTGAGATTAGGACTTACATACTGTCCTTGAGATGTCTGATAAGGCTGATATTGTTGTTGATAGACACTTTGCCCCCCTGGTGCTTGCTGTTGTGGAACAGCTGGTCCTCGAGGATTGTACTGCATTGAACTGGAATTTGGATTTTGATACGGCGATGTCTGATGGTAAGTTCCTTGCTGATTTGGGAGTTGCGCTGGCTGTGTTTGTCCGGGTGCCATGTATTGACCTTGTTGATTTGAAAATTGAGACTGCGTAGAACCTTGAGGAACTTGTGACATACCTTGCTGAACCCCAGAAGCAGTCGGTTGCTGTGAATACTGATTTGGCTGTTGCTGATAACCAGGTACTGGTGGTCTAATATGTCCTTGATTCTGTAACATTTGTCCAGTATTTCCCATTTGTGCACTTTGAGGCAAGCGGGGGCCTTGACCTGTTCCCGGCTGCATATTTACTGGAGCTACTTGCCCAGGTGGTGCCATAGGTGATGTTTGATTTGGCATCTGTGGAGGTTGTTGCAGAGTCTGTCCTGAATATGCATTCTGTCCCCCATACTGTCCCTGTTGAATGTTGGTACCTTGGGGACACTGAGATTGAGGTGCATACTGTCCAGCACTTGCGGATGGAATCGTCTGTGTCTGAACAGGATTGTTCATTGGTTGTTGGTTAGCAGAAGGTTGGTAAGTTTGATGCTGGGGACTTTGTCTTGGCTGTTGATAACCATATTGAGTTTGGACACTTGATCCAGTGGGATTTGGGGTTTGTGTTGTGACTTGACTTTGAGGTATAATTACCATATTTGGTTGACTTTGTTGATTTGAATAATATCCTGGAACTGAGGAGTGAGGTGCATTTGGCTGAAGCGGAAACCTTTCACCTTGTAATGGATAACCAGTGTTATTCTGATGTGATTGAGATGGGTAGGTCAATCCCGCAGGTTGGCTGGTGTTCACTGATTGATATCCAGTAGGCATTGGACCTCTAGGATGATACTGGGGATTTGGAGGAACCTGTTGCATCATCGTTTGAGGCTGTGATTGTAGAGAAGTCTGTTGATACACGTAGCTTTGTTGAGAAGATTGCTGTGAGTTCTGAGGATATTGTTGAGGCGGGGTCATGGACGTTCTCTGAGGATACTGTGTATGCATAACTGAAGCTTCATTTTGCACTTGATTGGGGGAGGGAGATGGGCTTGGTCTTTGCCAATACTGGGAACCTGGTGGAACTGCTTGTGGGTTTCCAGAAAATCCTGCTTGTTGGTTTCCAGGATACATCTGTTGTTGTTGTCCAGCCTGCATGCTAATCTGGTTGCTCTGATGCATTGGTTGTTGAGCTCCAGGATGTATTTTTGATTGTGTGCCTTGCACAGTTGGTAGTTGATGCCCTTGTTGGTTGACTAGATGTCCAGGTTGCTGGTAGTTATACTGTTGATTCCCTGCTGATGGATTGTAAGCCTGGGAATGTGATGATGGAGTTTGACTAGAATTTACTGCGCCGTGTTGAGGAATGTATGGTTGCTGTGCTGAGACAGGGTTCTGATGCCGAAGTGAATTATTATACATCTGACCCTGGTTTCCTGGAGGAGCAGCATATTGCTGATGCATCTGATTTGGAGTGGAATAAGTAGGCAAGCTCTGGGGTCCAGAAGGCCCTCGTGGGTTTACATTTTGGTTCCTTTGCGGATGTCTCTGTGGTAAGCCATGATGCAAGTGTTGACTTTCATTTGTCGGAGAAATCACTGGGGTATCGACGGACGACACTGTTGATGTACTATCCTGTCTGTACATTTGGTTTGCTCCTGGGTTCACAGGATAACTAGCATTCCCTGCATTAGGTTGAGAAGGATACTGGTTCATCATATTTGGGTTGTACTGTGAACTAGCTGAAGCCATTGGAAGATTTGGTAGAGAAGCTGGCTGACGTGGGATTTCTTCTGATCTTTGATCTTGTCGAAGAGTTTGTGCAGCAACATCAGGAGGCAGATTTTGGCCTTGTACCAAATCTGGACCAGGAAGAGATACTTGGGGAATCTTTGGATCATATGGAACATTTGGATAACTAGCCGGAATATTTCTGCCATCAGGAATTCCCGAATGCACACCTTGAAAATGTTGTGGAGAATCAATACCATCTAAGCTGGGGCTAGGACTGGGTGTTGCCGATCCCCTCTTTGATTTTGGTCCAAATGTTGCTGGCTTCATGAAAGGGAGATAATCTTTGAGCTTTGGTCCATCAAATGAAGGTAAAGTGGGCTGTGGAGAACTTGGGCTGGGTGTTGGTGGTTTGGGTGCTGAAGGTCGAGATGGTGGGGGTACTGAAATCAAACAGAAAAATTAAAGTTTAACACTGAGTAAAATAAATAAGAGACAAAATTTCAAAGTTATATTTAGAGAGGGAGAGAAATGGGGTTTATCATCCACAAGAGATAAACTAGGTCATAAGGTTCAATTTTATTTCAATTATTCGCTTGCACGTGGGGGTAGTACACCGGTGTTAGGAAACCAGACAACCCTGAGAAAACCCCACTGCTTGTCACATTCAAGTGGAGGATCGAAACCATGCCAATTGACTCAATGACAGACCTGATAATGCAACACCCACGTTCTAAACCAGAAGTTATGATCAGATTATATGTTCCTGAAGTTTAGACGAAAGATCAAATCATACCAGGTTGAAAAAAAAATTAAACAATATGGCCATTCGTTAATTATTTTATTGAGTCCAACCACCAAAGTTTTAAGATGAAATTAAGAATTTATTTTTTATTCTTAAAGGTACAGTAGAACTTGCTCGGGCGTGCACTCCTAATCAGCGAACACTTGCTTCAATGAGCACCAAAGATTCCCCCCGAGCGATTTTTAAGTAATTTAACCTCTACTAAGCATGCACCTGTTCAACGTGTGCAACGGGCATCACAATTAATTCCCCCCGTAACAAATCTACTGTTTCAACGGTCACTCCTCTAACACGGCCAGCGGTCACTATTTTACTAATAAATTCAATAAAACATCGCCCATTCAACGGCCATTGTTGAATGATACCATCTTGTCGTTCTTTCTTTGTAACACTCCCGCTAATTCCGTGAGTAGTAGTTAATTAACTGGACCCCCACTGATCAGGTAAAAAGAAATGTAAAAATAACAATCAACCCGGGATTATCTGCTTATTAATCTTTTGTTTTATTAAACGATTAACTTGATCATTGTTTTCACGCGTAATGACACATTATTTGATTCTGATTGAATAAAATGTAAGTACCGAGTTTTGTCACGATCACCTAGTATCTCTTTTCCATTGCCACTTTGTTCAATTGTTGTTAAACAGACGTTTTAGCGCCCCCTATAATATTACATACAGAGTTACACCCCCTGTAAATCAGTGATAAAATCAGCGATGTTTTATTGTTCATGTGCTTTTTTGATAAAATAAAATTAATTCATCGATTTTCTTCACAAAAATGGATAAATATTACCGAATGCATCACAATGGTAGACAGTAGTATCGAAGAAGTTATGTTCGAGATTTGAGTAAAGAATTTTCGTTCGGCGCAATATTCACCGACGGTCAAATTTATCGATGCAAGTATTGATGTTCGCTCCCAATGCACCCAAGCGTAATTAATTTATGTCAGCACAAAAAGCACCGAGATTTTATTAGGTGGTCGCGTAATCGCTAAAATAGTTGGGGTGGGAAATACTCAAATTCACGGCATTTTGAAACGCTTTTAGACGCTATGATTCAGTATGATGAAAGTAAAAGAAATATTGGGGGGCCAGAAATCCAGCATTACTAAACAAACATGTATACGCGATTACTTTGAATTCACATGTATTGTTATTGTTATACTACATAAATAAAAAAATATATGCAATCTATATCTTTATTTTTTGTGGTTGGGGCAATACCTCTAGTCAAAGAGCACCTCCATTAAGCAAGCATTTTTAAATTTCCCTTGGGTGCTTGCTTAATACAAGTTCTACTGTATATATTTATTCTTTGTTAAATTCATATATCAATTGTACACAATAGTTGCTTTGTTTGTTGTTTTTGGTGCTGGGGAAATAGTATTAGTTTAGAATAGGAGTGAGAGAACGAGAGAGAAATGGGGTTTAACCTACACTCGAGACAAACTAGGTCATTTTGGGACTAACATATTTTAATAATTTATTTGCGCATAGGGGTCATTAGCAGTGGGAGGAAACCAGAAAACCCGGAGAAAAAACCCACAAGGTTTGACAGACGATCCTACTCCTTGTCACGTACAACCGGGGAATTGAAACCACGCCAGTTGACTCAATGACAGACCTTATGATTTCACGTAACTTGACTCACTGACAGTCCTTACGATCCAACGTGCATGCGTTAACCATTTGGCCACCCAACCCCCAGTTTAGAATTGAGAACAGAAATACCTTTTGGTGCAAATCTGTTTTGTATTTGCTCTCGTTCTTCTTGCTGTACCTTACAAACACCACGACATCTTTGTAATAATCTGCAAACCGTTTCTTCTAACTTCTTATAAAACTCTAAACCCTTCTGACTCTTCGCCATTAAATCTTCATAAACATTGTACGAACTGATCAGTTCTTTTACTCGACTTTCACGCCTGAACAAAAGGGAGAGGAAAAAAGGGGGGGTTGAATTCACTCAATATATTGTATGGTGGGGGGGGGGGTGAGTATTCTAGGGTGAAACCCCACACACACCAATCACAGAGGAGAGTGATGGAGTTTAATGTCCACTCGACACAAAAATATGTCATTTCGGGACTAAGATATGGTTCAATGTTATTTCAGGGACTTTAGATGTGGGTGAAAACCGGAGGACACAGAGAAAATCGACAAGATTGGACAGGCAACCCTACTCCTTGTCACATACAAGCTGGGATTCTAAACCTCGTCACTTGACTCAATGACACACACAGACTAATCATAGAATTGAACCCACGAGGGAATTGATGACAGACTAAAGAACTACAGGACTTGATAAAGAGATGAACAAACTAATCTTACTCTTCTTCAATTTCCAATCGACAAGGGTTCTTTTACACGCATGCCAATAAATACGTGAGAACCTTGATTTTCCATCCCATCCAACTGACTAGACACATATAGGAGCCACTGCTGATAAGTGAAGGCTGGGCATAAAAAATCCCCAAAGTTCTTATAAACCCACAAAGGAATTGAGATCTAGAACCTTCTAGTCTAAGAATCCAATGCTCCAACTGCTCGACAACAATGATCAATTTATACAAAGATGGCCACCGTACCTGGCAACCGACACGGCTGTATTTTGTCGTATTGTCACGTATTCAGCATTATATTCTGTTAAAAATCTTAATTCATACTCAAAAGGGATCACAAACAGGGCATTCGAGTTACGAATCCAGAGCTCTGACTGCTTGACAATTATGTAATAAAAATTGCGTCAATTCATACAAAGATGGCTACCATACCTGACGACCGACTTAGCTGTATTTTGTCGTATCGTAGCGTATTTAGCATTACATTCAGTTAAAGCTTGTAATATATTATTCTGTGCCATCATATTCTGTTCTAATAATGTCTTTAATTTATCATGTTTCTTTAGCTGTTCATTAAATATAGTCTGAAAAAAAAAAAGAAATGCCTCAATGTTGCTGATCGTGATTGGCATTTTTCGGACAATATCTATCCAATATTGGACAGAAATGGGGTTTAACGACCCTACTGTTCTACTTCAACTGGTCTAATTAAGACGGGCATACAAAGTGCAATGTTTTATGAGGGAAATACGTCCTACTCATATATCGAATTCCAACTGCATGGTTTCCCCATGTCAGTGGTGCAGGAAGGAGGGCCTGACAAGGACAGCTGTCTATTTGTTCCGATGGTACGAAAAAACCGAGGTCGTGTGTATACATTGGCGTGAATGTAAGAGATCCCTTGGCAGTTGTACATGCTAACCATTCGGACACCCACACACCCCTTGGAGAAAAAGAACTTTTTTTTTATGATTGTCGTAGAACAAATATTACTCACCTCCTTATTTCCGCCATCTTGAGTAACAAGAACATTGGTTATATCATCTGATTGTATCTGATCACGTAACTGATCGTGTAACATTGATCGCTGATTCTTCATCTCCTCAACTTTATTCAACAATTTACGGAGTTCGTCTACAACAGCCTCATCACCGGGACCTGAAATATTTAAAATAAATAGGGTCATATAAAACAAGTATTCTGGTTCTCAAATACTGCATCAATCAAATAGGGCCATAAAAAATTAAAAATAATCTCGGTAATTACTGCATGTAAATAATTTAACTCAGATTACAGGAAGTAGATCTAAATAAAATTTGAATGAATCCAGAGATGTTACTGACAATCATTAATGATACTGGATAATCATACATTCACGAATGATACTGGATAATCATACATACAATCAAGAATGATACTGGATAATCATACAATCATGAATGACTGGATAATCATACAAATCATGAATGACTGGATAATCATACAAATCAAGAATGATACTGGATAATCATATATACAATTAAGAAGAATGATACTGGATAATCATACAATCCCTAAACATGTGCCGAATGTCCTGAAGATATTTGTCAATAAAGATTTCAGGACACTGTAATATTCATACGCGAGGTGTCCATTTCACCACAGTTTGCGACCAATATGAATCAAGGAAATTTCCGATTTGTGCTATAATTGTGTTATAATTTTTTTTTTTTACTTAATCTGTCAACTGTTATAATCACTAATTTTACACCACTGACAAGGGGGAACCACGCCGGAAAATCACGATGAACTATCACGGCCGACGAAGGGATCAAATATGTAATTAATTAAACACATTGAACATGTTTCACCTATTGTGGTTCATTGCAGCCCAAGGCCCCCTTTTTTCACTCCATTCTCACTGCTCAAAGAGAAATAGTGAGTTTAACATCCACAAACTAGGTCATATCAGTATGGATACAATATTATTTCAATAATTTGCTTGCTTGCGTGTAGGGCTCAGTAGCAGTGGGAGTAAACAGGAGGACCCGGAAAAAATCCATTTGGATGGACAGGTGACCTTACTCCTTGTCACGTACAAGCCTTGGATTGAAAACATAACACCCAGACTCTGTCCAAAATAATAATATACTTTAGAGTCTTACTTTTCTCTGGCTGGCTCGGTGGAAGTGATGTAAGAATGGTCTCCGGTGGTCCTGCTAACAAACGTAAATTTGTGATATGCATATTCATAGCTGCATGAAGATTCTCATTGGATAACGTTCCTTGTTTATGTTTCTCCTGACAGATCTCTGTTTCTTTACGAATCTCCGATAATATAATATTGTTTGTACGATTTCCCATTAATTTCTGAAAAATAAAAACAGGCACCGAAATTAAGAGAGAGAGAGAGATTGTTCAATTTTATTTAATAATTTGCTTGCGCGTAGGCGTCTTTAGCAGTGGGAGGAAACCGGAGGACCCGGAGAAAACCCACAAGGCCAGACAGGCGACCCTACTACTGCTAGTCACGTACAACCGGGGAATCGAAACCACGCCAGTTGACTTAATGCCAGACCTTATGATACAACACGCACTCATTAACCATTCGGGCAAACATATAATACACATCATCAAATGAAATGAAATGAAGTTTAACGCCCTACTGCATCGACTAGGTTTATGAAGACGGGCAAACCCCATGCATTGTGCTATGAGGGAAATTTTGCCCGAACAGCAAATGAATTAAACTGTCAAGGGTTCTGTTATCTGCCAGACGAAATGTCATAGGCCCTTGATTTTTCGTCCCAACGACTATACGTTGTCCCTTGTCAGGCCCTCCGTCCTGCACCACTGACAAGGGGGAACTATGCAAAACAATCCTGATTAACTATCTCGGCCAAGGCTGGGATCGAACATGGGACCTCCAGGTTAGCGAGCCAATGTCCTACTCACTGTTTACTCTGAATTTAAGTTACAACAAACTATTTTTACCTGAAATTCCTCCTCTTTCTTCATCTCTTCTTCCAGTAATTCCAGAATTTCTTTAATGTTCAAATCTACATCTGTTGATACACTAGAAACAGCTACAATACAAAAACTCAAATATTACACTAGAAACAGTTATAATACAAAAACTCAAATATTATACTAGAAACAGCTTTAATACAAAAACTCAAATATTATACTAGAAACAGCTACAATACAAAAACTCAAATATTATACTAGAAACAGCTACAATACAAAAACTCAAATATTACACTTGACATAAACTAGGTCATTTCAGGACTAACATATGGCTCATTTTCATTTCGTTACTTCATTTGCATGTAGGGACCTTTTTCAATGAGTGGAAACCGGAGAAAATCCACAATGTTGGACAGGTGAGACAGGTGAGACAGGTGATCCTACTCCTTGTCACGGTAGAAATTAAACTCAACTGACATTATTTTGATCTATGAGATCTTGTATTGCGTGAGGATCTATACCAGGGCAGAAGAGTTTCAGTCTAATCTTTTTAATTTTAAGAGACCTCATATTTTGTCCCATCCGAATGACTAAGGACTTATGACTCACCTGACATTTGATCTATAAGATCTTGTATCGCATGTGTTCGTACACTCAATGCCGCACACTTCTCCAGTAAATCTTCCGGTAATCGATCAACAGGTGGAGTTAATTTACTTTCATCTATTTGTAACGACGACAGAAACTGACTGAAATAACAAATATTCACCCAAATAAAGAGAGATAGATAAATGGGGTTGAACGTCCACTCAACACAAACTAGGTTATTTCGAGACTAACCCATGGTTCAAATTTATTTCAATAATTCGCTTGCGCTTAGGGGTCTTTAACAGTGGGAGAAAACCGGAGAACCAGGAGAAAACCCATGAGGTTGGACAGACCACCCTACTCCTTGTCATGTAAAACAGGGAAATCGAAACCATGCCAGTTGACTCAATGACAGACCTTATGATACGGAGCGCACATGCTAACCATCCGTCCACCCAACCCCCCTTTACCCAAATAAACTCTTCGTTCAATTAATATCATATATAAAAAAATGTTTTTTATTTTTAATCAATGGAATTTTTTTATATATTACATTGAAGGAAACACATCTCAGTGTGGCTAGAGATAGAGATAGAAATGTAGTTTAACATCCATTCAACACCCATCATGTAATTACCTGACATATGTGGTATCATAAGCCCAATGAAACATATTAGTATTTTTGTAAAAACATTTTAAATAAGTAAAAATAATATAAATATAATTACTCTAATTCTGCGTTCTTTTCTTCTACTTCACCAGCTACAAGTCGTAAAACTTTCGCTTTCTCTTCACTATAATAAAATAAAACAGGTTTTAACGCACGGGTTCTATGATGGCCGTATACGTGGGTCCAGAACGAGGGCTACGGAAAATGACAAACTTGAACTGACCCATTAGTTATTTTTGCACGCTGGTAAAATAGTGTATTTTTCAAATTTTCACACACAGGTACTATTTTTCAAAACCCAATTTTCATCCAAGGCTACAATTGACCTCCGCTATGTAACTATAAAATTCTAAATACTACAGCCTGTACAGTGAGAGAGAAAGAAAGAGTTTGGGAATAATAAATGGATGAAAACCCATGAGGTTGGACAGGTGACCCTACTCCCTGTTGCGTCCAAGAGGGGAATCAATAACAGACCTTGTACTCTAGCGCCTCCCCCTTTTATTACTAAATAAAATCTCCAAAATTCTGCACAGTTGCAAGCACTATTTCAACAGACTTGTAATTTAATAATTTAAATCTCCAACTCTCCGCAAGAATATTTCACCTATTTTTTTTACCGGTCAAGTATTTGTCAGAACCGCTATTACATCTATATCTCTCTGTGGGCAATGAAGAATATTTTGACTGTCAAGTGTTGGTCGGAACCGCTATTTTATAAAATATAGTTTACCTGTAGACTGAGGATGCTTCATGTGCTTCCATGGGAACCAGTTTTTGAAAGATATCAGGGCCAGATATTTCTGTATCATTGGGATTAAATGGAATACCTTTCACTAAAGATGCTCCTGGAAAGTATATCAGAAAATATTTCGATTTTAATTAATGAATGTGATTCATGAACAGGGCTTTGTTTTTGGGGTGATTATTAAAAAGATATTGTACTTACTAGAAATGAATAAAAGTTCGAGGAACAGGCACTCGCATTCATTTATATTTATAGTGAATAAAATATCTCTGAGACTTCGGTGAACAGGCATGTAGGCTTTATCACTTCGATGGAATCGGGCGTTAAATAAAGTTATTTGACACACACAGGGAACTAGTAACTTGTCACTCTTAATTATCAATGTCTCACATTAACCACAGGTACACAAACATTATTAAATTGTTTTGGTCCTTATTTGGATCCACATCAATATCGTGATATAAAACAGTTTTATTTCTTCGACATCGACAGAACTTAAAATATCAATTTTTCATTTATCCTGTTGTTTTCTTGGTATATATTTACCTGGTTATGAATCGTGATATGAATTGTATCGTAGCACCTGAATCGCAATAGGTATCATATCGTGACTGCAGTAGCAATATCCAGCACTACAGGGAACAGGTAAAATGCCTTTGTGATGCAAGGGTTGTATCATATAAAGTGGCAATATCCAGCACTACAGGGAACAGGTAAAATGCCTTTGTGATTCAAGGGTTGTATCATATAAAGTGGGTTAAGTATCAGTTAATAATGTAGGATCTCAACCTGGAATTGGGAAGGTCCTTTACCACCTCCCCATGAGAGACATGCACTACAAATATTTTGATCATGCTAACTTATAATGTCCCAGTGCATCATTTGCATATTTTGTGGACAATACCAAATTTTCCACAGCTTAATTCACATGGAAAAAATATATCAATGACGGACAATCTCCTGACTTAGATAAACATCAATGATGAACAATCTTCCGATGGACAATGTCCTGTCTTGGACAAATATCAATGGCGGACAACCTCACAACTTAAATAAATATCAATGACGAACAATCTCCCGTCTTGAATAAATATCCAATCTCCCGGCTTGGATAACTAACGTAATCATGATAGAGGGAAAATGTTTTTATTTCTGGATTTATTCTCCGACTAGGCATACGATCAATCAATGTAAGTATTTTAGTTCTTGGTGAATTTCACTGATTGTTGATCGGGCGCTATCTGGATACAGTTAGGCAGTTTCATTTTTCGCGCGCTGCCGCCATATTTTTCGGACAAAAATGATAATGATACGACCCCCTTGCAAGTAAAATCAGCCCGTACACCTATGATTCTCAGTAAATTACCTGTACTTACCTTTTATTTCTGGTAAGGTGTCTAAAGGTGGCACTTTATCATGATAAACAAAATCATTGTCTTTTTTAGCTGAGTTATACCTGTAATACAAGTTTATTACATTAGAGATCACTATGACAACAGATGTTTATTACATTACAGATCACTATGACAACAAAACATGATTTATACAGATAAATTAACAAGGACAGAAAAAATGAAATCTTTTAAAATAATTTAAATTGTTTGAATCCTGAGATAAAATAATGTGATATATTCTACTTACTTTCCTCCTACAACATCCTGGGCAAATTTTAAGGCATCTTGAATTTCTGGTACCTCATTCTAAAATACAGGTAAATTAATACAGTTGAGTGAATTGTATTTTTAAATTGGGTTGAAATCAATGTAAACACAATAATCCACATGTTGAACATGAATTGAAAGTAGATCAGATGGTAACTTTCAAGGGACAAAACTTGATAGTGTGTTCACAACATTCTACAAAGTGAAACAAGTACCATAACTCTATAGACTTCTTCGTTTCCCTAATTTGAATGTTAATTTTTGCTGTTAAGAGTGTTCTCTAAATAATCAAAAGTATAAAACAGGGTCCATAACTCTTGATATAATGAACAGAAATAGATGAAATTCAATAGGCTTCTTCATCTCACCAATTTAAGCAACATATATAAATTCTAAAAAGATTGGATGATACATTAAGTATATAGAGTTTTCCCAAGAAATTGTGGACACCTGACCTATGGAGAAATAGGGGAAATGAAATGAGGTTTAATGTCCTACTGTTCTGTTCCGACTGGGATAATGTAGACAGGCATACATCATACAGTGTGCTATGAGGGAAATTTTGCCTGGGCAGTGGCACTACGGCCTACTCTTTTACGTTCATGCCAATGATTTTTTTACCGTCCTACTGTTCTGCTCCTACATGGACTAATGAAGATGAACGGACGGACAGGTGTGAGGACTATATACAAGGCATATTATAAACGTGTACAAACCTTGGCTAATTTGACACTTTCATTAAGTTTATCATTTGATGCTGTAAAATATGCCAAGGTCTCTCCCCATTTTCCTTTCTCTTCGGACTCTTTACCGGTGTAGTAATATGTTATACATTGATATAAACTCACTTTTAACTCCATCCGCTTCTTCCAATCCTATTAATATATCAATAACACATTAAAACATAGTTTAAAATATAGAGAGAGAGAGAAGTGGGGTTTAACGTCCACTCGACACAAACTAGGTCATTTCAGGACTAACACATAGTTCAATTTTATTTCATCAATTCGCTTGGGCGTAGGGGGTCTTTAGCAGTGGGAGGAAACTGGAGGACTCACGAGAAAACCCACGAGGTTGGACAAGCGACCCTACCCCTTGTCACGTACAACCGGGGAATCGAAACCACGCCAGTTGACTCAATGACAGACCATATGATACAGCACGCACGTGCTAACCATTCAGCCATCCAACTCCCCTAGTTAAAAATACATGACACAATCCAATCCCATTAATACATCAAAAACACAAGATATTTAAAGATACATTATGGGAGATTAGATAAAGAGCTGACAGTTCTCACTATAATAGTTACAAACTAGATAATGTAAAGGGAATTTGCTGAAATGTTCAGTCAAATTGGTCCAATCTGAACCAAAACTATAGCGATTGAATTTTCGGCCTAGTCTCGATCATCATAACCAAAGTCAGTATGATAAAAAACATAGTCTTGATTATCCATTTCATGATTAAATTATGAATGGAAGTCGAACAGGAAATCGGAACCTAATCCAAAAAACATCGCAGGCTAGCGATGGAATCGAGAGTTGATTATGATCTGGACAAGTTGATTAATGTCTAATTAATAATTTAGTTAACATTTCAGGTGTAAAGAACGACCTGCAATAGGCTCTTGCATAATGTATGTTTAATATCTCGTTTTTATAACATTTCAGGTGTAAAGAAAGGCCTGCAATAGGCAGATTTAGCTCTTGCATAATGTATGTTTAATATCTCGTTTTTATAACATTTCAGGTGTAAAGAAAGGCCTGCAATAGGCAGATTTAGCTCTTGCATAATGTATGTATGTTTTACTGAATTGTTTAGAGCTAGTTGTATATCCTCTGATCATTTTAGAAATAAAATAAAATGGGGTTTAACGTCCTACTGTTCTACTCTGACTGGGCTAATGAAGATGTGCTATGAGAGATCATCTTTTTAGAGTAAAGGAGTGAATGAATTCTACTTTACCTTATAACTCCTTGAGTTGACCAGTCCTTCTGTATTGCAAATATCTAGATTTTTAATGGCTAATTTATAAAATTCGACAACTTGTGCTGCCACTTTAGCTGTTATAGTATTCTTTCTACTGTCTATCATAGATTTCTCTAATATACATTCTTGTGCTTGAGCCTACAAAATAAAATATACCATACATTCTTAGCTTGAGTCTACAAAATAAAATATACCATACATTCTTAGCTTGAGTCTACAAAATAAAATATACCATACATTCTTAGCTTGAGTCTACAAAATAAAATATACCATACATTCTTAGCTTGAGTCTACAAAATATAATATACATTCTTGACCTTGAGCCTACAAAATATAATATTTAATATAAATTCTTGTGCTTGTGCCTAGAAAATATAATATACATTCTTGTGCTTAATACGGACACTAGCACACCTAAAGATCGCCGTTCTAGGTCGGCTTCAGCCTACAGGAATAGAGAATATGGCCGCTGTGACTTGTCACGTGACCATAATCCAACCTCAGTAAAGAAACGAACCCGATACGAAGATGTACCTGAAAATTGGTCCTCTAAAAATTTTGTCAAGAATTACAAGAATTAGGGATGGTGATATTAAATGAATGTGAAAGCAATTTGTGCTTGATACACAAGATTAGATGATACCTGAGTTACAGTGAAATGTGCTGTGCTTGAACCTTCATATTTGACTATATTTCATTAGAATATAATATAGATACATTCTTGTGCTTCAGTCTTCGAAATATAATATTTCATTTAAATATAATATACGTAAGTTGTTTTATCTTCTGGGGCTCACTATCACAGAATGTGGATTTACTGTTTTATTTATTTCTTGCATCTATTTACCTCGGTTCTTTTTTTCGTACCATCCAAAAGACTCAACACTGTTCCTTGCAAAGCCCCGAAAAGTCATTTCAATTCCGATTCCCAGGAGCTCTGTATTTCTGACAATATTTGATGTGAAACAATAGTTACTAGCGGATGACCCAGCACTGCACAGACTGTGTCCGTAACTCAGAAACCGGAAGTCGTAGGCCAATGCCATCAGGCCTATGTTACTCCCCGGTTTGAGCTACCCCTATACACCAAACTTCCCGCCTCAACCATGATCAGACAAACGATATTAGTACAGATATCAGAAACTTACCAGCATGAGGTTGACTTGAAAGGTTAACATTTCGTGCGCCATGTCCGTACTCATGGCAGAACTACCAAAATAATCACGAAGATGTTCGAATGCCCAGGCGGCACATTGAAAATGTGTACACGATACTTTCATGCCCTGAAATAGAAAATAAATCTTATCTTAATTCAAAACCAAAATCATTGTGTATTTAATTCCTTGTAGAAAAAATGCCCAGACAGCACACTGAAATTGTGTACGCGATACTTTCATGCTCTGAAATAGACAGATGGAGTTTAATGTCCACTCAACACAAACTAGGTCATGTTGGGACTAACACATGGTTCGATTTTATTTCAATGATTTGCATGCGTGTAGGGGTCTTTAGCAGTGGGAAAAAATTGGAGGACTCTGTGTAAACCCACAAGGTTTGACAGGCGCCCCCTACCCCTTTTCACGTTTAACGTCCTACACCGGTTTGGCTATTAGGGAAATTTTGCCCAGACAGCGGCACTACGGATTACTCTTAAATCGTATTCCGTCAAACATGCTATGATGTGCATGCCAATATGTACACAGGACCTTGTGCTTTTTTTCCTATCCGAACAACTATACACTGTCCCTTGCCAGACCTCACTGACAGGGGGAACCAAGCCACAAAATTCTGATGAACTTTCTCTGTCTACACAGGGATCGAACACGGGACCTCCAGTTTAATGATCCAACGTCTTACTCAGCGAGCCATGTACGTACCTCGGCATTTTGTCTGGTATCCACGGCACCCAGTATAGAATGTAATGATCCTATATTATATAATATACAAGCTTGTTCAAACTTTATATCGGCTATTATATGTTCTCGTCCTGTCTGTATATCCTCCCTGAAAAATATTAACATCAATTAAAATATATACCCAGATCAGAGAGAGAGAGAGAAAGAGAGAGATTGGGGGGGGGGGGGGCGAGAGAGGGCTGAGAGAGAGGGTTTAACCTCCACCCGACACAAACTAGGTTATTTCGGGACTAACATACAGTACGATTATATTTCAACAGTCCACTTGTGCATAGGGGTCTTTAGCTGTTGGAGGAAATCAGAGGACCAGGGGAAAACCCATTAGGTTGGACCAGTGACCCTACTCCTAGTCACGTAAAGTGGGGATTTCAGAAACATGCCAGTTGACTCAATGACAGACCTTATGATATAACGGCCACCCCACCCCCTACAAGTAAGTAAAAGTTTTTGAATATTTACCATGTGAAAGCTATGGCTGTTTCTCCACCCTCGGCTAACTGAAATCTACCCTGTAGAAACTGTAACTGTGCGTAATACTTCTTTAACGTCGTACAGCCTATAAAATCTCTTGATACATGAACAGCAGACTGAAAATAAACAAAAATTAATATTAAATTTTATTTAGTAACTAGCAGATAAACCAGCGCTGGCCAGGATGTGTCTGTATATACGAAACCGAAAATGGTTGGCCAACGCCATTTAGCCTTTGTCACTCCCGGTACACTAAATTTCAGCCTGGGGACAGCCCTTGTGTAGCCGCCAACCCTGAACAGACAACCAACAAATATCAGTATAGATAAACATCTTTATAGTGCTAGGTTGATCCATGAATACCGGTAGCAGACGGACGGCGAACAAATTAATAATATCATATTTTATTTAGTAAAAAACTTCTTTATAATCTTATAGTGGTATATTAGGTTGATTATGTTGCCTATTTAAATACAGTAGGCCATAATCCAACAATAGTCATTCCCAGAGTTCAAAAAGCATTCTCAGACATAAAACAAGAATTTACTCAATTTACTCAACATTCAATTACTGTTTATGAGAAATATCTTTGATCCAGAAACAAAAAACATTGCACATAGTTTCTTATTGATGTATTTGATACATTAAAACAACAACAGTTTTATAAAGGGCTATAATTTAGTTAAAATAAGGCAAACAATTTTGAGTAAATTCTTAACTTAAGTCTGATGAAATCCTTATACTGCATTCAGTAATTGAATATAAAATAATAACACACAATTTATATGGAAAACAATCACTGATTTTATTTCAATGTAGTGTTGAAATGCAGTGTGAAATAAAATAAGTGATTGTTTTACATATAAATTTGTGTTTTTAAACTAAAGTCTGATAATGCCTTGTGAACTTGGGGCCTGGTTCTTGACAAAAGGACTTCTTTATAATTTCATCATGTTTTTTATACGATATGATTATTCAGTTTCATTTATGATAAATGAGTCATCCCCATATTTCTGGATTCATAGAAAACATTTTTATACAGCTAGATCCTTTAACTGGGGTAAACATTTTTATAGAGCTAGATCCTTTAACTGGGGTAAACATTTTTAAACAGCTATATCCTTTAACTGGGGTAAACATTTTTATGGAGCTAGATCGTTCGTTCATTCCTGGAGTTTTACGTTCACTTCCACCAAGGGAGATATCGTAGACAACAGATCTAGATCCAAGGCTAAACATTTTCAGATATGTGCGCTACACACCCAGGTATCATTTAATCTTGTGTATCTAGCATTAATTTCTTTCACATATGTTTAATATCAAATCTTTGTTTAAAAATTAGTAAAAACTGTTTAAAATCACCATAAATCATTTAATTTGTACATGTGTCCAGTTTAAAGCTGATTGATTAATTTTGATAATGAGTGTCGCATATTTTTACTTTTTTCGGTAATGAAACATTTATAATACACTAAAACATTTTCAAAGTGATCAAGGGCCATAACTTTGGCAGTAATTAATCGGAAATCTTTGAAAATCAATAGGATTCTTCGTCTCATGACCTCAAACATTGTGTATCAATTTAAAGTCAATTAGATATCAACTTCAGCCTCTAGAGCATCCACAAGATTTTTTTAAGTGATCAAGGGCCATAACTCTGGCAGTAATTATCGTAATTCACTGAAAATGAATAGACTTCTTCGTCTCATGACCTTAAACACTGTGTATAAATTTAAAGTCAATCGGATATTAACTTTAGCCCCTAGAGCATCCACAAGATTTTTCAAAGTGATCAAGGGCCATAACTCTGGCAGTAATTATCGTAAATTGCTGGAAAATCAATTGGCTTCTTCGTCTCATGACCTTAAACCCTGTGTATAAATTTAAAGTCAATCGGATATTAACTTTGGCCTCTAGAGCGCCCACAAGATTTTTTGAAGTGATCAAGGGTCATAACTCTGGCAGTAATTATCGGAAATCGCTGAAAATCAATAGGCTTCTTCGTCTCATGACCTTAAACCCTGTGTATAAATTTAAAGTCAATCGGATATTAACTTTAGCCTCTAGAGCGTCCACAAGATTTTTTGAAGTGATCAAGGGCCATAACTCTGGCATTAATTATCAGAAATCGCTGAAAATCAATAGGCTTCTTCGCCTCATGACCTTTAACACTGTGTATAAATTTAAAGTCAATCGGATATTAACTTTAGCCTCCAGAGCGTCCACAAGATTTTTTGAAGTGATCAAGGGCCATAACTCTGGCAGTAATTATCAAAAATTGCTGAAAATCAATAGGCTTCTTCGTCTCATGGCCTTAAACACTGTATATAAATTTAAAGTCAATCGGATATTAACTTTAGCCTCTAGAGCGTCCACAAGCCATTGAGGACGCCGGACTGACGGACGGGGGCGACGACAATATATGACCACATTTCAATGTGGGCGTATAAAAATGAAATGGGGTTTAACGTCCTACTGTTCTGCTCCGACTGACCTATTAAAGATGGGCATACACCATACAGTGTGCTACGAGGAAAATTTTGCCTGGGCAGCGGCACTATGGCCTACTCTTATATCGAATTCCAACTACTGCCAAGGGATGTTTTACGTGCACGCCAATGTGTACACGGGACCTCTGTTTTTCATCCCATCCAAATAACTTCACAGCTGCCCTTGTCAGGCCCTCTGTTCTGCATCACTGACAAGGGGAAACAACGTCAGAAAATCTTTATGAACTTTCTCGGCCAATGCAGGGATCAAATACGCGACCTCAAGACTAGCGAGCCAGCGTCTTACCCACTTAGTCACCGTGGCTCACTTTCCTCTATATGGATTGTACAATACATGTATGTCATTTCAAAACAGTTCTCCCTTTATGTAGTTTATACAAGGAGGAAACTATTTCAACTGGGTTTCTTTGAAAAAGTTCAAAACTTAATATCACAATATGAATCATGACCTCATCGTCTGCTGTGAATCTTCTTTTCTAATCATTTAATTTCTTCATCCTAGATATACATATTGGCTACATGTAGATCACTGAAAAATGAAACTTTAACTGCCTACACTCCTGAATCGATGGGGCTTATGAGGACGGGGAGACACCGTGCAGTGTGTTATTAGGGGGAAATTTTGCCCATGGTCAAGATTCAAATGGATTTAAACATCTGTGAGATTCAAAACTTTAACGATAAAATGAACAATCCATGTTTAGTCTCAGTTGTCAAGTACCATTGTACGATAATGATATGTACGTTATATCTATCAAACAGTCCTAACTTCACTTAGAATAAAGTAATTTGAATGAAATTTTCAATGTATTCATTTTTCATGATCTATTTTGGAACTTATTCACTTTATCTAAATCTTACAAAATGCATCTTTAAACATACAAGAACTAAATCTGCCTATTGCAGATCTTTCTTTAGGCCTGAAATCGTATCTAAATTATTAATTAGACATTAATTAACTTATCCAGACCATAATCAACTCTCGATGGCATCGCTAGAGTGCAATCTGTAGTGTATAACTTTCCTTCACGATTTAATGATTAAATGGATAATTGAAACTATGATTTTTGTCGTACCGACTTTAGTAATGATGATCGAGGCTAGGCAGAAATTTCAATCCCTTAATTCTTGGTTCATAGTGGATCAATATGAATAAAATTTTCAGCAAATTCCCTTTACATTATCTAGTTTTTAACTATTATAGTGAGAACTGCCAACTCGTTATCTAATCTCCCATTATGTATCTTTAATAAAAGTAAGGCCTGTATATTTATTGTTGTATTAATAAACTAAAATCAAGGTAGGCCTATCCAATTCTTACCTGTCTCAGTTGTTCTATTTCAGCACAAGGTTTATTATAAAGGGCTGGATCCTCTCCATAATGTTCTTGTATATACTGAAAAACAACAAACACTTCACTAAAGACATGCTCCCTCAAGTATAACTAGGTCTTAATTTAAAGACATGCCCCCTCAAGTATATTAAACAGATATCTTTGAATTATAGTGCCTTTAAAGTATGCATTATTTACATTTTTCAGAAAAGATCAAATTTTCCATGACTAAAAAAAACCCATCTTCTTATTGATACAGGGTAAATTGTTGGTTGCATCATATATTAAACTTTATTACATTTATAGAGAAATCGCTGAAAAATGTTTCGGGGTACACAGCGGACAGTCTAAATGTACTTCGGACAGTATTTCCAGTGGTGGCACTTCTTGGTCTACTGTACTAACAAATAGGTGGGATTTTAAGGGACATTAGAAGGATACAGGATCACTGACAATTATTTTTTCCCACAAAACACTAATTAAATGAAATGAAATCTAACGTCCTACTTTTCTGCATGGACTGGGCTAATTAGTAATGAAGACAGGTATATTACAGTTAGTGTCTGAGTGAGAATGGCTCCATTATCAAACCTTCTTTTTATAATTTTATATATTATATAAGCTTATACATGTAGGCCTAATAGTAATGTCGAAACATATTTATGCTTTTTCTATACATGAACGAATAAAATTAAATTACGAATACAAAATGTACATTAAGCAGAAAATAGACACTTATCTGATGAGAGAGTTCATTGTACCAAGACAATGGCCTATTTAATAATATTAATAATATACCGTAAACCTAAAGATAAGATGCATCATGCGTAAACGTAAAGCTAAATCTGCCTTTTGCAGGCTTTTATATTTACAATATATTAATTTTGAATTATCTATTTTGGAACTATTATCGCAAGAACGGTCAGCTCTTTATCTAAATCTTAAATAATATATCTTTAAATTGACCCCAGAGAATCAACTGTCATAAATTGAGAGTTAAACACTCACTAGTAGATGATAGACCAGCCTACAACATCACATGCATGACCATGAATCATTTCTAATAATATTGACAAAAACATAAATAGACCCTTGATTGATCAATTAATCGTTTGGATCATATAAAAAATAAATAAGTATATTGGTCAGGTTATTATTACATAAAATATGAAAAATTTTATATTCACCCAACATCCGTCGGATGACATGACATGCAACCAAAACAACATTATTTATCGCAATGTATTTTTCATTTCATTTTTTTTTCAGGTGGCCGTCAGACGTCACACTCACCATTTCGTTTGATTCACTAATCGGATGTGATTTAAAACGAGTTCTAATTAGAAATCGAAATTTCGACTTTTATTATTTACCTGTTTAAGTGTCGGGGCGAATTCCACATATTCTGGGCTGTGTTTTAAATCGAACGACAGCATCGGCAGTCTCGGAACGGCCTCCATCTTGGTTATTTACAGATTTACTACTAATATTTAGTCCTGGCGTTACAACCGGAACGAAATTCAATTTATAAATATTAATTTTTTAATATGTACAACTATTCTTTTCAGTTTTTGATGTAATATATATTTCATAAAATATTTAAAATGCTTTGAAATTTGAAGAAATGTTTAGAAACAGCGAATTGTTTGAGGTTGCGTTAATATTGGGAATGCCTAACCAAGAAATGCGTAGCATAAATGTGACCTTAAAATCCGAAACAAAAATCCATACCAAGCGTTACCCATATTTAAATAATCGATTTAATGTAGTCTTATTTGTGGGTTTGAATAATTATCTTCTTCCGACTAGCTTAAAATTATGAAATGCAAGTTCAAACTATCGGACATCGGTTTATTTGGGCTTGCATATAATGGAAAGTGACGTGCATTAGGCAGATTACATTTACCATCTTTCTATGGGAACAGACGTTATTATTTTTTGATATGTATCTGCGTTCACGTAACAAATAATTTCGATTGTACTTTGATATAATAATTCATGTTTGAAATGATAAAATGAAAAATGGAGAGAGAGGGGGAGGGGGTGCACGTTAACGTCCACTCGACACAAACTAAGTCATTTCGGGACTAACATATGGTTCAATTTTATTTCAATAATTCGCGTGCGCGTAAGTCGGGGACATGGAAGGACCCTGAGAAACACTGCACGATCAGGTTGGCGGGCGACCCTGTTCTCTGTCACGTTCAAGCGGGGAATCAAAACCACGCCACTTAATTGCCTCAATCACAGACCTTGTAATTTCACGCGCATACGTTAATCCATCGACCATCCAACCCCATTTTTCTCAGATAAAATAATATTATAATTATTTCTGGCATACAAAACATCACCCACGTATACAGACCGTTTTTATGTTTTCGGTACAACTGAGTTCATTTTTCTTCGTGTATTTTTTTCTGTATCATTTACAGGATAATGACTTGGAGGAAATTGAAATATTGTGTTTACGACCGAAGAATATGGAGTGGGGAGTTAAGAACTATGCAGACGTATAAGCATATAATTAACGTATTTTTCCATTAATGTTTTTAACAAGAGAAGGCAGCGTGCCGTGTCTGGTTGACCATTTTTTTGTCCTACTTCCAAGCCCGGAAGTCCATCTATTTCAAAAAGCTCAGCATAGAGAAATATTATTTGATAATGATCAGGGTACACGTGACCGCCACCTGAAATTACAATTGTTTAAAATATCAAATCATGGTTGGGGGCGAGGGGAGTGGGGTTGGATGGCCGAATGGTTAGCATTAGGTAGGATTAGATAACTGACAGTTCTCGCTATAATAGTTACAAAATAGATAATGAAAACAGAATATGCTGAAGAGTTCAGTCAAATTACCTTACTCTTAACATAATAGCGATTCAATTATAGACTAGTCTCGATCGTCATTACTACCGTTGTTACTATAATAGAACATATAGTCTCGTTTATCCATTTTTATGGTTAATCATTAACAGCTGTCGCATCGCAGATTCGAATCTGTTTAAAATCGTACGCAACAGATGGCACCGAGAGTTGGTTACGGTCTTGTCATGTTAATAAAGAAAGACCAGCAATAGGTAAATTTATCTCTTACATAATGAAATGCAATGATATGAAATGTGGTTTAACGTCCTACTGTTCTGCTCCGAACTGGGCTAATGAAGACGGGCATACGCCATACAGTGTGCTACGACGGAAATTTTGCAAGGGGAGCGGCGCTACGGTCTACTCTTGTCAATGGATCTTTTACGTGCAAGCCAATGTGTACACGGGACCTCGGTTTTTCGTCCCATCCGAACGACTAGACAGCTAGACCACTGACAAGGAGACACCACGCCGGAAAATCACTCCAGCATAATGTATATTTAACAATTTATGAACGTTTGATGCACATTTTGTTGGGGTTTTATTTTTGTGGTAGGGGAGGATGACTTGGAGTGGGGGGTGGGGGGTACGGCACATTTGTGCACTAGACCCACCAGATATGAACCCCATTATCGATTTTAAGGTCATTAATATATGACATGATGAATTTAAAACTATTTTAAGATCCACCGACCGATATATTCGTCTTATTACATAAACACATGTCTGTAATAGGCCGTGGCATTTCTAAAACCATTTTAATTATCCCGTACTCCTAAACAGGACTGTTCAGCTTTATATTTCGGTAACTGCAGGAGAGGTTTTGTAATTTCTGGCCAACGGGTTGCCTGAAACACATCAGATAGCCTACCGTCTGTGTGCATTGAGATGAAGCCATAGAAATTTAAATTAAAAAGCTCCTCCTCATTTGATGATTCTGGGAGAATTATGGCGGGAAACCTTGTAAGTAGAATTGGCGTCAGATATTAAATGAAAGCTGTGAAGAACTCGAACATTAATAAAAGAACTTCTGCAAATTACATTTGTGTCCAAATTACATTAGAGCCCCGGACTAAACGGATTTCTCTACGACATGGAAGCGCTATATTCAAGCAGAAACACACACACCAACGATTCCAATGGTCGCAGAGAGGGATTTTACCATTCTTTGGAATTACCAAATGATTTTTATTTGAGGAATTCTGTCGGTGTTTATACGTTACAGGGTCTTTTAGGATCGCAACATAATCCACGAGATGTCAGTGACGATATGGGGGAGACACCAGACGGTGAAGGTGATTTTGACGGGAATAGATATCCGAACTCAGGTAAGTGTGTTTCCTTCATGCGTGAAATGAAATAAAATGGGATTGAACGTCCCAGTGTTCGGCAGCGACCGGGATAATAGGAAAGAGAGAGAGAGAAAGGGGGTTGTCTACTCGACAAAAATTAGGTCATTTCGAGACTAACACATGTTTCAATTTTATTTCAATAATTCACTTGCGCGTAGGGGTCTTTAGCAGTGGGAGGAAACCGGAGGATCCGGAGAAAACCAATGAGGCTGGACAGGCGACCCTACTCCTTGTCACGTACAACCTGGAAATCGAAACTCCGCCAGATGACTCAATGACAGACCGTATGATACACGCGCACGTGCTAACCATTCGCCCCCCCCCCCCATGGGCTAATGAAGACGGCATACGCCATACAGCGGACAGCGGCATGCTGTTAAATTGAATTCCAACGTTGCTCCATGCCAAGCCCTGCACCACTGACAACGGGGAAATTTCGCGGCAAACAATGGGATCGAGCACAACCAACGTCTTACTAACTGAAACACCGCGGTTACTTGTTTTTGTATATAAACCCTCTGTATATTATTTGTATTATCATTTGCTTGAAAACGTTGAGAGAACCCTCAACGAAACATTGTTTTAATTAAAATAGTAATTGTGTTCCATATTATGTTTTTGTGTTTATTACGTATGTCAATTGATTAATGCCGCTCAAAGAAGAAAATATATTTTAGTTAATTTGATTGTTATATGCCTGCACGAAATTCCCAAACTTCTCTAAATCGTATCAAATATATTATAGTTATCTGGGCGATCGACTATTACAAACACTTTTCGTTCCAAATATGAGAGGGTTTTTTCAGATACCACAAAAGCAATGTTGGCCATAATGTCCGGCATGAATTTCAAAATATACGGATCTGAAACTTTCAGACTATGTTATTTTTTTTTTATCATTTTGGAATGAATGGGTAAAGGAGTTTAAGAGCCTATACCAATCTGTACCTACAGGCTGCAGGGTTAATGACGATGGACATACACCATTCTGTACCGACAGACTACAGGGCTAATGACGATGGACATACACCATTTTGTGTGTTATAATGAGGAAAATTCTGCCCCGACAGCAATTGAAATCCAACGTGGGGGGGGGGGGAATTTGGTGCATGCTTAAACCCACACATAGTTATTCATACCCTAACTCTATAGACCGTGATTTTTTATCTGAGAATTCCGAATGCACATACCCTGTGAAATCTGGAAGCCATTCTTTTAAAAAGGTCATGTGAAATTTTATATGGCGGCCCTCCAGAAAATACACCCAGTTTTTAGGGGGTCTCCGAAAATGAAAATTCATCATGAATAAAAAACCCTCTCAGCGGCGTGCCCCGTCTCCGCGGTCAGTGCCCTCATTTTGCGCCCCCCCCCCCCTTTTCAAAATTCCTAGATCCGCCCCTGATCCCAATTGAGTATTCACTGGTGACTTCTGAAAAAGTTCATAGCTTTAATTGAGTTTGAGCCATTTTATGTGTGTATGACTAGTCTCTGTCTACGGTTGTATGCCGTCTGACTTACCTTTTTTTTTTCATTTTGCAAAACATAAATATTTTTCATATATATATATTTAGCCAGGTGTGTGCGCTACTTTTTTCACGTGTTCTAAAGTGTGCCGTTGGCAAAAAAAAAAGGTTGAGAACCACTGGACTGGGGGAAGGGAACGAAACATCAATACAATATTTAAGTCATTTTGAAACATTTTTATCTTTTGGGTTATGTGTGCTTTATGTGTGGATAACACGGATTGCATGGAGACTAACACCACTCATTAAAAAACTAATTAACTTTCATTTTACCGGTAATCTCAGTTTTCATTTGGTATTTTATTTTTATTTTTTATATTTTTGTTTTCGATATTTCAGATTTTGAGAGATCGTGTGGAGCGGGTAACGACGAAGGGGGTAAGGGTGCCGGTAACCTCCCGACGGTCACCAGTCAAACTAATGCCAATAACCATCGTTTTAACGTAGAAAACCTCACCAAATTCGCTGACAACAACTCATTACGTAAGTATAAGGGGCGAGGAGGGGGGGGGGGGCGAACTGGTGTGGTTTCGATTCCACGGGTGTACGTGACAAGGAGTAGGGTCGGATGTCCAACCTCGTGGGTTTTCCTCTAGTCCTCCAGTTTCCCCCCACTGCTAAAGACCCTACGCGCAAACGAATTATTGAAATGAAATTGAATCATATGTTAGTCCCGAAATGACTTAGTTTGTGTCGAGTGGACTTTAAACCCTATTTCGCTCTCTCTCTCTCACATAAGTATACGATTCACTCGTAAAAGAAAATGAACAGATTTATCAAATCTAACCCACAACATATCTTATATAGTAGGCCCAGCAGTCTATATTTTAAAACAACACGACATGCCTACATATTCTACATCATTTCGAACTGTACAACCTATTCTTGATATCGAATTGTACAACAATTTATTGATAACTAATTGTTTAGCCTCATTTTGATAACGAATTGTATAACCTTTTCGTGATAATTAATTGTGTAACCCTTTCTTGATAACTAATTGTATAGCCTTATTTTGATAACTAATTGTGTAACCCTTTCTTGATAACTGATTGTATAACCTTTTCTTGATTTCTAGTTGTATAGCCTTATCTTGATAATTGTATAACCGATTTCTTAATAACGCATTGCATAGCCTAATCTTGATAAGGAATTGCATAGACAAATCGTGATAACGAATGATGTTAATCATTGTGGGGAAATTCCGACTAAGGTCTGATTTTATACTTTCTCGGCCCTGTCTATGAAAAAAGGATAAAGTCCTATCAAATTTTTATGGTATTATGAGCTAACAGTGATTTCCATTATGGACTGGAAGCCATTATAATCCGCGGGATGTTGTTTATAAAATATAACAACGCCGATGGCCAGCCAGCTCATGGTGTTGGATCTGAGAGGGGTCACAATAAGCTAGACAGGTGCCTGTAGCCTATTTTATGATAGAACAATAAATGTTAAACACGTTTTATAACTGGATCCCTGCGGTGTGTTCAGTTAAAGGACAATACATGTATTGGTGTCAGTCATTATTACATATGTGATAGAACTGGTTAATCACAATCTGATTCAAATACAGATGTATATTTAGTTTCGTTTTTTTATACTTTCGATGGCCTACAGTACATGAAGATTTGACAATTTATAGCGATAGGTCACGTCAGGGGTCAAAAGACCGACTTTTGCTTTTAACCCTATGACGTCAGACATTTAATTAATCAATCAGCATTGATGTTACTAGTGGATTACCCACAGTTCCGTGCAAAACACGCCTAAAAGCTCGCCGTAACAGACCGTTTCATTGGCTTATCCCCGACATCATTCAAAACACGAGTTAAATAACAACTCTTTCAGATCCTAGTGTAGTAAAGACAAGTAAAACGAAATTTTGAACTATAAAAACGAAACGAAATAGGATCTGTGTTTTAACCAGATTGGGTTAATCACTTTCCAAATATAATTTTAACACAGAGATCATTGCTACGATATATGCGTTATGATGCTTTCAACAAATGGAAGTGACGAACGCAAAAGGAAAACACGAGTTATCCTTCTATATAACTATCTGAAGTGACGAGTGATAACAGATTCACGGGCGAATTTCTGCTCACTAATAATTCCTTCGAAGACCAAAAGTTGTTATATGAGACTGTGGGAGGATATCTGACAATTCAAATAAATAATTGACTCTCACTAGATTAGAGAAAACGAGAAAAATAGAATGAATAAAAATAAGCGAATGTACAGGCTATTTCTATATTTCTCGTTTTGTCTTATCTAGTGCCAGTCAGTTATTATTTTTAAGTTGGCCCCTTTCTAGTGCGGGGACCAATTTGGGGAAATTGATCGAACGTGGCCAAAAAATGGCCCTGACATCCCCATTAATTCACCAATGAAATGAAATGGGGTTTAACATCCTACTTTACGGCACCAACCGGGATAATAAAAACGGGCATCTGTGATAGAGTTAAGCGACGTGGTTTCCATTTTCCGCATATACGTGACAAGGATCGCCTGTGAAACCTCGTGGGTTTTCCCCGGACCCCGCCGTTTCCTCCCATGCGAATTAATGAAATAAAATTGAACCATATTTTAGTTTGTGTCGAGTGAACGTTACCCCCCCCCCCCCCTCTCTCTCTCTCTTTCTCTCCAGCTAGCTGCGCAATTTCCCCATACGCACAAGCGTATTATTGAAATAATATGTTATGTCATTCCCGGGGGGGGGGGGGGAATGGCCGAATGGTTAGCACGAGCGCGCTGTATCATAAGGCCTGTCATTGAGTCAACTGGCGTGGTTTCGAATCCCCGGTTGTACGTGACAAGGAGTAGGGTCGCCTGTCCAACCTCGTGGGTTTTCTCCGGGTCCTCCGGTTTCCTCCCACTGCTAAAGACCCCTACGCGCAAGCGAATTGTTGAAATAAAATTAAACCATATGTTAGTCCCGAAATGACCTAGTTTGTGTCGAGTGGACGTTAAACCCCATTTCTCCCTCTCTCTCTCTCTGTCATTCCCGAAATGACCCGTGCCAGTTGGACGGTAAGCCCCATTTCTGTCTCTTTCTCTTTAAGTTAATCGACATTGGATCCCACGATGATTATTTTGGACGTTGATATCCCACGATGATTATTTTATTACATTTCAGCGTCCAAAATAAATTCTGAAATATTATGTAAGAATTCTATTTTTATCTTATATGTTTGTTTGCTCAAATAGTCACCTTTTATTATCAAGTCAACGGCTTGAGCACGCGAGGTTAAACGAGGACAGAAACACAAAAGTAGAGGCCTTTAATTTGTATGATTTAATATGACAAAATAAAATGAAATAAAATGGGGTTTAACGTCCACTATCATAACATCAATAATAACACAAGATATTTATAGTTTAAAGATGCACTATGCAAGAGCTAAATCTGCCTATATTTAATGAAATGAAATAGGGTTTAACGTCCTACTGTGTTGCTCCTAACCGGGCTAATGAAGACGGGCATCACCATACATTGTGCTATGAGGAAGATTTTGCCCGGACAGCGGCACTACGGTCTACTCTTATATCGAATTCCAACTGTCAAGGGATTCTTTACCTGCACGCCAATTTGTAGCCTACACGGAACCTCGGTTTTTCGTCCCTCCCGAGGGACTATACACTGTACATTGTCAGGCCCTCTGTCCTGCACCACTGACAAAGGGGACTCGCGCCGGTAAATCTCGACGAAATTTCTCGGCCAACACAGGGATCGAACACGGGACCTCCGCTTTAGTGAGCCAATGTCCTACTCGCTGAGCCACTTGTAAGTTTACGTGTAAGACAACATCGTGGACGTCATCTACATATGACGTCAACGGACCACAATATACGAACTATTTTCACTTTCCCTTGATGCAAGATGACGTATAAGACAGGGGTAACTCAGTCGCTGCCTTTATTTGGTGTGATTTTATATGACAGATCACATAGCGAAACACAATAAACAAACTATTTTCAATTTCTCTTGATGGAAGATGACGTAGAAGATCCATGATTTAATTAAAACAGGGGTCACTCAGTCGCCATTTGCACGATTTCGCTTCATTCTGTTTGTGCCACTTGAAAGGAATCTTTCCCGATCCGCCGAAAGCTGATGCGTTACTAAGGATTCTTCAAGAAGTATTTAATCAATTCTAAGACGTTTTTTTTTTCTTTCCGTTTTTTTTTCTGGTGAATATATGTCCTCCGGCGGATATTCCTTTTGTTGATATTGTGGAGCACGAGACTTCTTGTTTAGTTTAAACAATACGTTATTCAATAAGCTGAATTGGATTGAACAACAGGCAAAGGCCTATATAACTTCTCCCCAAACTTCTTGTTTGGTTGGGGGGGGGGGGGGGGGAGTGAGAGAGAAAGAGATATCCACTGAAACCTTTGTAAACTTTGCGGATTTTTTTCACTGATGATAAATATATGCCCATCAGAGACAGCGTTTAGTCGTTCTGGTGGGACAAAAAACCGAGGTTCCGTGTACACATTGGCTTGCACGTAAAAGATCCCTTGGCAGTTGGATATAAGAGTAGGTCGTAGCGCCGCTGTCCGGGAAAAAAATTCCATCATGGCACACTATATGGCGTATGCCCGTCTTCATTAGCTCAGTGTCGGAGCAGAACAGTGGGACGTTAAACCCCATTTTATTTGAAATTTAATTGATATCCATGAAATATATTTTATGTTAATGTAGATGTTCCCAACAGGAGGAAACAGAGAAGATACAGAACAACGTTCACCAGTTTACAACTTGACGAATTAGAAAAGGCATTTCAAAAAACACATTATCCAGACGTTTTTTTCCGAGAAGAATTGGCGTTAAAGATTGACCTTACCGAGGCAAGGGTTCAGGTAGGCAAGGCTAAGTTTTATGGAAGCCGATAACAGGTTTCTTAGTGTTTTGGTTCTGTTATGCAAGATCTTTTTCGACGTTCCAAAGTAAAATTTCGGTACTAAAACACCTAAAGAACGTGTCCGCCTTATACTGTTCGTTGAATTCTGTCAATTGCTCTTTAACGTGCACGCCAACGGTTTTCGTACCTTCCGAACAACTAGACACTTGTTCCTTCAGCTGTTATTTAGCGCAGTGTCCTTGAAAATGGAGGGAGCCACTGTGGCTAAGTGGGTAAGACGCTGGATTGCCAGCTTGGAGGTCGCGGGTAAAGCGGTGGGTTCGCTCCCAGTGGTAGCCGAGAAAGTTCATCGGGTTTTCCGGCGTGGTTTCCCCTTGTCAGCGGTGTAGGGCGGAGGATCTGACAAGGACAGCTGTATGCTCGTTTGGATGGGACGAAAAACCGAGCTGGTGTGCACACATTGGCGTGCACGTAAAAGATCCATTGATAGTTGTAATTCGATATAAGAGTAGGCCGTAGCGCCGCTGTCCGGGCAAAATTTCTCTGTATGGCGTATTCGGAACAGTAGGACGTTAAACCCCATTTTATTTCATTTCATTTTGAAAATGGAGATCGTAGCTCTTGATACTAGTGAATCTACGACGTTATTCAGGAATTTGTCGGGCCCTGCACAACTAGCAAGTGCAAATCACGCAGAAAAAAAAATTCCAAAATAATCCTCTGGTTAGTTGGATAGCGCCTTCCCTACGAAGTCACGCGACCCAGTGCATATAATGTATTTATATTGATATCTTCTTTATTTCATTAACTAAGGTCTGGTTTCAAAACCGTCGGGCAAAATGGAGAAAACAGCAAAAAATAGAAAATAAAGACTCCGGCAATTCTCAAGGTAATATTTGAAGATATTCTTCTTCTATCATAACAAATAATTGCGGCTTCTATAATAGGGGGTGAGCGGGGTGATATTTGGAGACCTAATTGTATCAAACAATGGCGACTTCTATAATAGGAGGTGAGCGGGGTGATATTTGAAGACCTTGTATCAAACAATGGCGACTTCTATAATAGGGGGTGAGCGGGGTGATATTTGAAGACGTTATAACAATGGTGGCTTTTATAATAGGAGAACTTGAGGGTAGGGGACGGTACACGGAAGTTTGCTGTTAAGATACGTTCTTTGGATGCGTCTTGTAGGGGTTGAGATAAATATCAAAATGTTTACTAATTTTAAATGACCTAGCACACAATAAAAAAAAAACTCGAAAAAAGAGAAACCTCGGACTGTCGGCCTCGGGTTTTTCTTTTTCCTCGTGTTTTTTTCTTCAGCCTTTCTTTCCCCAGCATTATCCCGGTCTCGTGCTTTATCCTACACAGAATGGAATGAAATGGGATTTAACGTCCTACTGTTCTGCTCCTATACTGGGCTAATGAAGACGGGCATACGCCATACAGTGTGCTATGAGGGAAATTTTGCCCGGACAGCGGCACTATGGTTTACTCTTATATCCAATTCCATCTGTCGATGGCTCTTTTACCTGCACGCCAATGTGTGTACGGGGCCTCGCTTTTTTTGTCCCATCCGAGCTACTATACATTTAATCCAGTTGGGCCTCCAAAAGATTAATATTATGTGTATTATATTTCAGCACTGCCGCCCAACACAAAGATTGGTCGAACCACTGGCATTTCTTCAACACCAAACACCACAACCGTCACGCCCATAACAAGCATGTCTTTATCTAACATGTATCTCCATGGTAACCTGGGAATCGATTGGCAGCAACCTTTCACATCCAGCCTGGGAGCTTCGTCTTTCCAGACGTTTCTCAACAATCAAAAGTCGACCAATAACAGATCCCCCTTTATTGACGGTGGGTATATATTGTTTACTGAAGTTTCAAACACACGTAGCGAATGGGGTTTAACGTCCTACTCTTCTGCTTTGACTAGGTTAAACATGCATTATGCAAGCGCTAAATCTGCCTATTGCAGGTCTTTGTTTCGGCCTGAAATGTTATTTAAATTATTAATTGGACATTAATTAACCTATCCAGACCATAATCAACTCTAGATGCCATCGCTAGCCTGGATATTTATTCGATTTGAATACATTTTGTGATGTACTATTTAACGTAATGACGACTGAGACTAGCCTAAACTTCAATGACTGAAATTTTTAGCATATTTTGTTTACATTATCGATTTTTTAAACTATTATCAGTTCTATATCTAATCTTACCTAATGCACCGTTAATGAAGAAGGGCATACGCCATATGGTGTACCATGAGGGAAATTTTGCCAGGACAACCGCTATGGCCTACTCATATATCAAAACAACTCCCACGGGTTCTTTTACGTGCACACCAATGTGTACACCGGACCTCGGTTTTTCGTCCCATCCGAATGACTATATACGTTGTCCCTTGCCAGGCCCTCCGTCCTACACCACTGACAAAGGGGGAACCACGCCGGAAATTCACGATAAACTTTCTCGATCAACACATATGGATCGAACACCAGGGCCGGCGGAAGCAATTCTTGATTGGGGGGGGGGGGCTTCCATCCTAGGTCCTTATAGGCAAGGGTCCAGGGGCCGCAATAACCTGGAAAAAAGAGTACTTGCGGCCAAATTATTGGGGGCCTTTAGCCCCCCCCCCCCAGCCCCCCCCCCCCCACTCCACCGGGCTTGTCGAACACTGGACCTACTGTCCCTGATTTCACAAAACATTCTCAGGCTTAACTAAATTTACACAGAATTGTTTGCCTTATTGTAACTATAATATAGCCACGTATAAAAGCTTTTGTTGTTTAAATGTATCAAATACATCAATAAGAAACATTTAGTGTTTCTGGATCAAAGATATTTCGCATAAACAGTGATTGAAAGTTGAATAAAGTCTTAACTTAAGCCTGAGAATGTTCTGTAAAACCGAGGCCAGTCAATGTCTTATTCACTTGACGGTATAAGAGTAGGCCATAGCGCAGTTATCCGAACAAAGTTTCTCCGAATTGGACACTGCAAGGCTTCATATACGTCATGTAAAATATACAAGAATGCCTATCGGTAATTGTTTTATAATAAGCCTAGCTGAGACATAAAAATGTTAGATGTTGTCTTTTTTATCACACATTTTTGGCAGACAAAATATTAATATGGCGGTAAAAAAAATATGAACATTTTTTTTATATAAAAATTGTCATCCATTTTGGCGAAAAAAAAAAAGAAAGCCAGTATGAGCCCTTATGGCGTACCACCGTGTTCATAAGCCCAATCGGAGCAGAACAGTGAGAGAGAGAGAGAGAGAGAGAGAGAGAGAGAGAGAGAGAGAGAGAGAGAGAGAGAGTTTAACGTCCACTCGACACAAACTAGGTCATTTCGGGACTAACATATGGTTTAATTTTATTTACATAATTCGCTTGCGCGTTGGGGTCTTTAGCAGTGGGAGGAAACCGGAGGATCCGGAGAAAACCCACGAGGTTGGACAGGCGAGAACAGTGGGACGTCGAACTATATTTCATTTCATTTCATAACGAACCCGTGAAAGTGACCACACTGTTTATTTTTAGTGTAGGCCTATTTTATTTTTCAGTTCGAGAGTCACCAAACCAAGAGCACATCAGGAGCACGTGCGGATCAGTGGATGCTGGTGGCCATTCTTCGGAGTCTGATCCTAGATCGTCCAGTATTGCCCAGTTACGCCTGAAGGCCAAGGAGCACTCCCAAGCCATCATTACCCAGTAATATCGAACAATAAACAAAAACTCAACCAGAAAACTACTTATTCTTAGGCCCATTTGTCTCTAAAGAAAATTGATTTGGTCATATCAACGTTTAGGGGAAGCAAACTTGCGTTATATTTACAATGTATATCACACTGATGTATTTAATGAATTTGTATTATTTTTTCCAAATATAATAAAAGATTGGAATGTTTCGCCTTCCAACTAAGAAAATGTAGAAAATATTAAATAGTTTTCACATCCATCTAAAGAAAATTCATTTGGTCATATCAATGTTTAGGGGAAGCAAACTTGCGTTATATTTACAATGTATATCACACTGATGTATTTAATGAATTTGTATTATTTTTTTCCAAATATAATAAAAGATTAGAATGTTTCGCCTTCCAACTAAGAAAATGTAGAAAATATTAAATAGTTTTCACATCCATCAGGTTTTTAAACTTTTGACAGATGATCGATTTGTTCGATGAACAGATTTACTCTAATACTTTCACTTTAACAATTTCAAGTGAACACCAGTCTCGGTCGAATTAAATGTAAACACATGATTAGCGGCTTTATATAATATGGAAACTACTTACACATACATTATGCAAGAGCTAAATCTGCCTATTGCAGGTCTTTCTTTAGGTCTGAAATGTTATCGAAATTATTAATTATACATTAATTAACTGATCCAGGCCTTAATCAACTCTAGATGGCAGCGCTAGCCTGCGATCTTTAGTGGATTGTAAGCCGATTTACTGCATAACTTTCCTTCTCTATTAAACGATTAAATGGATAATCGAGACTATGCTGTTTATCGTACTGACTTTAGTAATGATGACCGAGGCTTATGGGAATTTCAGTCGCTTAGTCCTCGGTTCAAAGTGGTTCAATTTGAATGAAATTTTCACCAAATTGCTTTTACATTATCTAGTTTTTAACTATTATATTGAGAACTGCCAACTCGTTACCGAATCTCCCATAATGTATCTTTAAATATATTAACTGAATTTCAAAAACTCTCAAGCTCTGAGGCAACATTGGTAGTATAAGTTCTTTCTCCATGTAACAACACAACATGAGTTGTGTCCCGGGTCGCCATTTTTGGGGAATGCTCACTAATCCGCGGGTTCATTAGTCCACCGATATCTATTGTTAGAGTTAGGGTTGGACTAGACCACGGGTTGTTTAGTCCATTGATATTTATTATTAGAGTTGGGTTAGGGTTAGGTTTATTGATACCCATATTTATAGTATTTCTTATATCGGCGGAAAAGTGAAACCCTCTCCTATTTTTAATCTGACTTGACTAGCCTTAACCGACCTCTAAAGGCGGGTTAACCATAGATCGTTTATTATACAGATCTAGGGGTTAACCACGGAGACTTTAGTTTCCAAAATGACGGGTTGCCTATGGCCAGGAGCGTGGCCCCCCAAAAACAATATTTATATGTGTGTGTGTAGGGGGGGGGGGGGGGTCCTGCCTGTGCCGCCAGGTGATATTGGGCTGTGTGGAACATGCTAAGAATCGATTTGTAGCATATCTGACCCACGTATATGTTTGATACTTACTGGTTAAGAATTATGATTATAATGTTGAAACCGCGTGATTTTTTGTCGGACGGAGGGTCTGGCAAATATCTGTAAAATTTCGCGTATCACACTTCATTACCAATGTTGGTGGAGAAAAACAGGACATTAACCCCAATCTTATGGACATCTTGATACAAGCATCTGACATTCTGTGTGGCACAGCAGAGATGAAACTCACATTTTAAAAACAATATGGGAAGCTTATTCAAACCATGCATTTATTTGTCACGACTTTCCTGAACCCATTACTGATACAGATTTATACGTATTTTTTGCTCCCAAAAAATAATTTCAATAATGATAGAGCATTCTAATTGGCCAGTGGTTCATGCAGTGCCGGACTGGGCCTAAGCCTATAAAGAAAAAAGAAAACAGAAAAGAGAAGAAAGGAGAGGGGGAGGACAAAAAGAAAAGAAGGAAGGAGAGGACAGGATACTTGTGTGGGCCTTGGTCAATGACCTGACACTGGGCTCATGCAATGGATAATCACATACTCCATGGAAACAAAATTGAAACCATTTGATTGTCACTGAACAGAATGTCCGGGGTTCGATCCCGGTGTTGACCAAAAAGTTCTGCAGGATTTTCCAGTGTAGTTTATTCTTGTGTGTGGTGCAGAGCGGATGTTCTGTTCGTTCGGGTGGAACAAGAGAGAGTAGGGAGAGAGAGTTTAACGTCCACTTGACACAAATTAGTTCATTTAGGGACTAACATATGGTTCAATGTTATTTCAATAATTCGCTTGCGTGTAAGACCCGGAGAAAACCCACGAGGTTTGACAGGGATATAACAAGTAGGAGATATAATCTTATTTACTTACTTGATATCCCAATAAGCCGTATCTCATATATTTCATAGTTCGTCCTTGCGGTACCGTTAGGCTTCCAAGTAGTTGCCGTGAACGGTTTGTCCGAGTTCTTTGATGATTCGTCCTGTAACATTAACAAGGGCAGGGGAGGATTCAGGGGGGGGGGGTCGACCCTCAGCTACATAATTTTTTGTGTAAATCAGTACTTTTATGAGAAAAGTTTCTCGGCCGTGTGCTTTATCCTTTATCGTCAGATGTGGGACAGGATGGGCACTCACAGCACGGAGATAATGATATAGACATTATGTGATATCACAATTAATGCTTTGCATCCATGAAATTGAATGACAAAGTCATTGTATTAAATTCATAATAAAAATTGACATCAGACTAGGTTTTGAATTTCTCTGTTTAAAAAGCTCAATGTGTATGTATATACGCTAAAATGACGATAGAGACCATGCGGGAGCGGGGGGGGGGGGGGATACATTGTCTCAGGAACCTGGCAAACCCCTCCTGCAAAAATTCCTGGATCCGCCCGAAAAATCCCGATAATCTTTTTCGGTCAACAACGGGATCAGACACAGGGCATCCAGGCTAGGGAGCCAATATCTTACAAACCGGGCCAGTTCAATTTTCGTCAAGGTCGCTGAGATATAAATAAGGTTAGGACACGTGGTTGTTGGCGACATTGTATCTTAGGGTTAGGGTAAGCATTAAGGTTAGGTCCAGGTTCAGGGTTGGGATTGTCGCTAGCCTGTTTACATCTTGAAGTTGGCCTTATAAATTAGATCTAACCCCAGTGTAAATGAAATGAAATTGGTTTTAACGTCCTACTGTTCTGCTCCGACTGGGCTAATGAAGACGGTAACCCCCGTGTAACCCAAGCGATTCGCACTAGAGCTGGGAGAGAATGCGATCGTATAGATAATAGTAGGTTGACCAAATATAAACAAACCAGTGCGTTTTATGGGACTTGGGGACCCTTTTATAGTACTGGGGGCCCCTCCACTGGACTTGTGGGCCCTGCCTCATGGGTTTCATATCATTCGATGTTTTCTTTCAGTTTTATTGTTTGAGATTTTTACAAAGAAATTTGGGTCGGAGGATGGCGCCTCGCTACTGCCTGGGCCATCCCAGGGCCAAAATCGACTATAATGGGCAATTTCGTACTCAGTAAGAAGTACTCTTTCATTTAAAATTGGTGCCTAGAATGTACGCGTATAACCCATTTTGGGGGTCATTCTAGGGGTCACCAGGCCAGTGCAGACGCCTATTTCTGGACATCCCTGTTCAGTATGTCCATGGCTATATGGTCAGATATTGGTATACTATGTTCGCCTAGGTCCAACTCTCTTGGCTATCGGTCTATCAGATAAGCAATGCAATGCGCCGAAAAATACAGTCCTCTTATTTGAATTCCAACCGATTTTTTTATTACCCTATCAACATGCACACAGGACCATCGAAAAGATTAGACACATTTTTTGTCCGTCTAGTAGGTGTCCTACCCACACAATCCCAGTGGCTCCTATTAATAAAATACAAACTCTAGTTGTTTTTTTTAATAACATAATTTTATTTTGTCACTGTTTAGTGTTTTAATCTTGTAATAATACAATAATTACTATTATTTTACACGAGATGTACAACCTGTGAGTGAAACAAACACACTGTAAACACTGTGTACACAAGTGGTGAACATTAGTTGTGTACACTAGTGGTGAACACCAGCTGTGTACACAAGTGGTAAACATTCGTTGTGTACTCAAGTGGTGAACATTAGTTGTGTACACTTGTGGTGAACACCAGTTGTGTACACTTGTGGTGAACACCAGTGGTGAACGACATCTGTGAACACCAGTGGTGAATGACATCTGTGAACACCAGTTGTGTACACTAGTGGTGAACATCATCTGTGAACACCAGTGGTAAACACTAGTGGTGAACACCAAATGTGAACACTAGTTATGTAAACAAATTTGTTAAATATATTAACAGTCCATCACGACAAACTTCAATATAATAACATATATGATCCGAATCAATAAAACAAGAATACATAGGAACTGGTGTGCTCAGTTCATTTTACCTGGGATAAAGATGAACTTTATATAATGTTGATGACATGAAGTGAAATAGGGTTTAACATCCTACTGTTCAGCCTTACCAAGGCTAATGGTAGATTATTCAATGTATTTATAGAGCACCTGTTAAAATCCAACCATATATCATATCTTGTCTGGTCTATTACACTCTTAGCTGATGCCCTGACGACAAGATACAATGTGCTGCCTGTTACATTAACATAGCCTCCGACACCCAGTGTTGATTATGTCTAATATCTAACTTTAATACAAGTTAACGATACATTAGTTAACAGTTTTATAAAGAGTTGGCCATTCTTTCTATAATAATTCAAAAATAGATGATTAAAAAAAAGAAAATGCTGAAAACTTTAGTCAAATTACTTTGTTCTGAACGTAATTGTCACAGTTGGAAGTTTGGACTAGAAATGACATTAATTGTGTCTGCACTGTCTATGAGAATTGGCAAACGTTTGATATTCTCGATTATCAAGTAACATGCTCAATGGCTATGGTAGCCTCGCTTGGCAGGCCTTTCATCACCAGTTTCCGGTAGTGACATCAGCGACTAACGGTAAACGTTAGCTTGGTCCGCCATTTTACACTTTCCGGTAGTGACATCAGCGACTAACGGTAAACGTTAGCTTGGTCTGCCATTTTACAGTTTCCAGTAGTGACTAATGGTAAACGTTAGCTTGGTCCGCCATTTTAATTTTAGTTAGTTAGTTAGTTGTTAGTTGTGTTTTACGTCCGCTTCCACCGAGGTGATATCGCAGACAATTTTAATTTTAAATGGACGACTGTTTAAATCCAAACTGTATCCAAGCGATCCGTGTGTCTACAGAGTTGATTTTAAGCTTGTCGTGTAAATAAATGTCTAATTAATAATTTATATAACATCTGAGGCCTAAAGAAAGACTTGCAATAGACAGATTTAGCTCTTGCATAATGCATGGAATCCGATTCAAGAGAAACAAATAATGGCTGTATATAATATATTATATTGTGAACAATGTATGATATATATTTGTGTGGGAGGAGATAAATACAACTTTAATACAGAAATGCATTTGAAAGATGACAAGGTGAATAGAATACAAACAAAATTAAAAAATTTCTTGCATCTCGGCAGGGTATCCCATAATAATAAACAACATAATAATATACTTCTAGAATTTTCTTAATCTATATATTTGCGTATCAACTTCTATATTCGCGTATCAACTTCTATATTCAGTCTATTTGCGTCAATTCTATTCACTGGTCACCAAAGACCATATGCTATCTATTTAGAAGATATTCAATCTTATGTAACTATACATGTACATACTCTATTAACTGGGGGACTTATTCACAAAATTTCAAACTAAAATAGTTTAAGAATCCAGCCATTTCATTGGCTTAAAGCTAAAAATTATCAGTTAGATTTTAAACTTCAGCCAATGAAAAGAGTGCTTAGTCGTTTAAATATTTTAGTTATCATGAATAAGGGTACAGTTCACCAAAAACCATTGTACATAGTAAAGCATAATTTCTTGTCAAGATAGGTTGCCAGGCAACGAGACACAGATTTCATAATGTAAAACTAGGTTGCCAGACAACAAAACATAGACATCATAATGTAAAGATAGGTTGCCAGGCAACGAGACATACAGATTTCATAATGTAAAACTAGGTTGCCAGACAACGAAACATACACATCATAATGTAAAGATAGGTTGCCAGGCAACGAGACATACAGATTTCATAATGTAAAAACTAACACAGTACATGCACCTTAATCTAAATATTTGCGTATTGGATAATTTATATATTTGGTATCAGTTTCTATATTAGTGCTTTGGAAACTACACACATGCATCAATTCTATTAATTACTCATCAAAAATCATCAAAGTAGGGCATCATTCCTCTCACATACAGATGATTTCATAGTTTAAATACTAAAACAACACATGATGAAAAACTAAATCTATGTATTTGTCACATATCTATTTCTGTACTCGGACTCCATGGTAACCCGTTCCAAGTAAGCTGAAAGCACACTTTGTTATGTCTATTCTGTACCTATCAGATCAAGCCAAACGATAAAACAATGCTGCCATTTTTTTAAGAAGAAGAGAAAAAAAAAGAATTCGCAATGCAACTGTATCAAAAGTCCAAAATCTAGTTCATTTTAGCTTTAAGTCCAAAATATAGATCCTTTCAACAATAACTCAAAAACATGTTTTTCTTAAAACTTAAATCAAAAACATAGTTCCTATTAGTCTAAGTCCAAAACATAGTTCATTTGAGCTGTAAGTCCCAAATATAGTCTCCTTTAGCTGTAAGTCCAATATATAGTTCCTTTCAGCAATAAGTAAAAAAAAAAAAAAAAAAAAAAAATAGTTTGTTTTACCTAGAAGTCCAAAATATAGTTACTTTTAATAATAAGTCAAATTATAGTTTCTTTCAGCAATAAGTCCAAAATATAGTTTCTTTCAACAATAACTAAAAAATATAGTACCTTTCAAGTCCAAAATATAGTTCCTTTTAGCTATAGGCTCAGTTCTGTTATTCAGCCATGTACATGTGTGAAAGATGGCCCTTATTAAATTCTAACATTTTAAACATACACTATTTAATATAAAACATATGCCCTGAGTCGCTACATGTATATTTATCGTCCCATTTAACAACCACCTTAGACGAGAGAACGAAAACTTGCTTAAAGCCATTATGTCCCCACCCTCTTTTGTTTATATTTGCCATTAGCTGAGAGCAAAATACATACCAGATATCAAAAACTTCAAACCCAGCTAATCGGTAGTTTCGTAGTTAAAAACAAACATGGGCTGCATTTTCAAGGGGGAAGAGTGAGTGAGAGAAATGGGGTTTAACGTCCACTTGACACAAACTAGGTCATTTTGGGACTAACATATAGTTCAATTTTATATCAATAATTTGCATGTGCATAGGGTTCTTTAGCAGTGGGAGGAAACCGAACGACCTAGAGATAACCCACGAGGTTGGACAGGCGACCTTACTATTTGTCACATACAAGCAGGGAATCAAAACCACGCCACTTGACTCAATGACAGACCTTGAGGTTTCACTCTCACGCATTAAACCACTAGACCCCCCCCCCCCCCCTCCAAAAAAAACCCAACATTTTCAAAGCAATACGTACTCGGATGTTTCGGACACATGGTCAACCCTATAAATAAGGCATGTCACAGACAATGTCCGGCACAGATTCAGGCTTTGTCAGGGTACAAAATCTCTGGTGCCTGTCATTTTGTCCGGCATGATTTGTTTTTGTTTTTGATATCTTTAATATCTGTCCAGCACAAAGTTCAAAATGTCCGGTATCAGCGGTATTTACCCAAACCCACCATTATTTTAACTCATATAATAATAATTTATATCAATATTTGACAATATACCGTTCTTTATGCCAAATTGTCTTTTTACTCTGTATTTGTTTAAAAAAATGACAGATTTATGAAAGAAAGAAACACAGTAGGAGTGTACGAGTTGTCAACATAACTACGTCATGATCTTAATTTACAAATTGTCAAACATAATTCAAAATACATTAATAACATATATATAAATTAAATATGGCACTATTAATATATTGCTACTTAAAGCAAGGCACTATAGATAGAAAACTGGCTTCAATTCAAACTAATTCTTATCCTTTGAAAGAAACCTCTAAATTTACTAGACGGTCAGTTTCTTGTGTATCATTACAATTAGCTTTATGTCCCCAGTTTTTGATCAGCACTATCTCGATTTATGTAGAAATCAACTAAAAAGTCTTCTTATTTGAAACTAGAAGTAATTAACGGAAATATTGGAAATTCAATAGGCTTCTTAGTTTCACTACTAATTCAAAAATATAAATATTCGGATCATGATTTATGTCGTGGAAATCAATAGGCTTCTTCATCTCATTAACATTAATATTTTTAATTTCTTTGAAATAATTATTTTTATTGCATGTACGTTGACTGGCAGTAACAGCTCTGGGCTAAACTTTTTCGATATGAAAAGTATTAAATTCCCGGTTTTAATTTCCGTGTTATGAAATTATAATTCTTATAAATAAATCTATGTAAAATTTTGATCAAGAGAACAAGTATTGAAATCTGAAAATAAAACCTTAAATTTGATCAAATTGAATGACTTTTGACAAAGGGAGAGAGAAACGGGGTTTAACGTCAACTCGACACAAACTAGGTCATTTTGGGACTAACACATGGTTCAATTTTATTCTAATAATTTACTTGCGCGTAGGGCTCTTTAGCAGTGTGAGGAAACCAGACGACCCAGAAAAAATCCACGAGGTTGGACAGGCGACCCTACTCCTTATCACGTACAACCACGGAATCGAAACCATGCCAGATGACTCAATGACAGACCTTACAATACTGCGCGCCCATGCTAACCATTTGGCCATCTCCCCCCCCCCCCTCTCCTTTTGACAAAGGATTAAATCTGATCTATAATTAATGATATACAAGATTATTTGGTCTATTCCCATACATTTGTTCCAGAAATACCGGTAATAGAAACATTTGTTCCATTCAGTAAGACTTTAAGCACACAAAGGTCCTAATAGAAATACCAGTAATAGAAACTACGCAAAACAAATCAAAAAGCAAATCAAAAAGCGAAAAAAAACCCCAACAAACCAAAAACAGAATTAGAAAATTTTAGAACAGTAAATAACTTAAATATTTTAAAGTCCTAGCCACAGTTCACAAAGTATTACTCAAAATTGTTCGCCTTATTTTAACTAAAATATAGCCCTTTATAAAACTTTTGTTGTTTTAATGTATCAAATACATCAATAAGAAACTATGTGCAAATTTTTGTGTTTTTGGATCAAAGATATTTCTTATAAACAGTGATTGAAAGTTGAGTAAATTCTTAACTTACAATTTGAGAATGCTTTGTGATCTTGGGACCTGGATGTGTCATTTTAAGTAATCTCTAACAGATATACAAGCCCTGTTCAGTATTTACAAACAAAGATATGGTCAATTGAAATTTCATCCATCTATGCTGTTCGCTATGCAATAAGCCACCCGCCTATTTGTTGTCTACGATAATTTATTGATAGGTATGTTATAAATTTGATTGAATCAATCTGAGAGATTATCTAGCTTTGGTATTTTGATTTTGTTTTCTTAATTAAATAATGAGTTAGCGTGGTTTTAGGCGTGAGAAATATAACATCTTAGCTCTTAACTACAAATACAAATGATACATTGATACCTTAAAATGTTACATGTTAGAATCTCTAGTGATAAAAATAAAAATCTCTTGGCGGGGTTTCATGATTTAAAAAAAATATTTGAATGACGCAAAAGTCGCACTTGTCCTAGATAATAGATGACCATATCCACGGTTGTCATGCTCAGGTCTAGCAACAGGTTGTCATGGTAACAGATGTCCAGAAGGCCGTGGAATGTTCCATGATAACAGTCTGCTGACAACATGTTTGTGTTTGAATCTGAGGAGCTGTGGAAGAAACCCTTGAACTCTGTACCCTTAAAGAAATATACATGGGGTAGGTAATAATAAAGTTGGTATGGAATTTACAAACAAGCAACTGAATTCAGTCAAAGCAACAAACTGACAAACCGTTTCTAACTCAAAGACTCTTCCACAAAATCTTGAATTCTGTACCCTTAGGTTCCGCATATGGTTTAGGTATTCGACAACAGTCCCCGAAAAAACCCACCCCAAAACAATCAACTTGGATGATGTTATGAGCTTTGTACCTTATTTTGAAAATACACACAAAATATTTCCTTCATCTGGGAATCTTCATTATTGGATAATGATGCAAATATTTTTTTCATTTAGAAGAGGGATTTTCACATCTATTTTTCTACATAATGATGAGTAAATGATGATATTGTTCCATTCACACAGAGGAGGGGAGGGGGGAAGGAGGAAAAGAAAAACCCAAGTTTCAAAAAATTCACTAACAATTCTGTTCACATCACTCTAATATTATATTCTGATTGAATTTGAATATAAATTACTTATAAATATTAACAATATAGTTATCATTTCATAATAGCACAACACTTTATATATATATACAGTGCTAGGTCTTTCATAGTCATAACAAAACTTCTCTACTTTCGATTTCAGCTGTACTTTTACTTTAGTTATCTTACTTTCACTTTATATTATAAGCCTTCTTCAACGCTTCTATATCACTAGATGAAAACTCGGTAGAAGCGGATTTTTCAAGTTTTGCAAAAGCACTTGATATGTCTGAAAAAGAAAATAAAGTGAAATGAAATGGGGTTTAAGGTCCAACTTTGACTTGGCTAAGGAAGATGGGCGTACAGTGTGCTATAAGAGACATTTAGCCCGGACAACGACACCACGGCCTACTCTTATATCAAATTATAAATAATAATCATAAGTGAGTTCTTATATTTAAACCGCCTAAAGATCTTTTTCAAGAATTTTCGGATAATTCCTTTTTGTGAACATAAGAACCTCATTTTTTTGTCCCATCCAAACGACTATACATTTTCCCTTGCCAGGTCCTCCGTCCTATATCGCTAACAAGGGGGAACACACCGGAAAATCCAGATGAACTTTTTCGGCCAGCACTGGTGTCGAAGACACAGCACCCCCAGGGTAGCACTGCTTGGGAAAGTAAAATAGCACAACTACAAGATACTCATAACAAAACACAACATAAGGTATATATGGATATAACTACTTCTCTGTTATTTAATAACGACGTTTCGTAACACATACAGGTCTGAAAACGTGACCTGTGTATGTTACGAAACACTGTTATTAAATAATAGAGAAGTAGTTATATCCATATCGTCGGGAAATTAGCCAAATACACTTTTTTCGCATTTTTAAAATCTCCCAATTAATATACACATTTCTGTCTAAGCTGTGTATCTCTACGCCAATTAGAACTGTTCTGGGTATCATGTGTCCAAATGTTGTATTTTGATTTGTGGAAATTTGGAAATGCAAAATTTTCAATTTCTTAATCTTTAGAAATTCTTAGATACACCCTTTTGCCACTTCACCGACGATATATGCCTTGTGTTGTGTTTTGTTATGAATAGTTAACCGTGCTTGTAGATGTTGTTTAAAGAACTACAAGATACCCAAGTTATATAGAACTATATTAACCTTTTATATCTTCTGTTGACAGAAACATGGAAACTGTAGAAAACCTTGGTACAGTTGATAAATGATGCAACATTTTATAACCGAGATCATTTTCACCTGAAAGAGACATAAAATCATCAGGTTAATATACAAATAAAATTAAATGAAATGGAGATTAACATCCTACTTTTGTGCACCAACTGGGCTAATGAAGACAGGCTCGCACAACATGTTGTGTATCATGAGGGAAAATCTTAAGCAGACAGCAAAGTTACTGCCTAATCTCTGAGAACAATTTGGCTGCATTATCCCTAGGCAGTAGCAGACTTGCTTTTAAAAACGGACTTTAAGAGTTGAAGAACAGGCCATGCTGTTCAAGACATTTTTAACTTATCTGATTAACGTTTTGAAGGGGTGTGTGGTACCAATTTACCTTTAGAAGGGGTGTACGGTACCAATTTACCTTTAGAAGGGGTGTATGGTACCAATTTACCTTTAGAAGGGGTGTACTGTACCAATTTACCTTTAGAAGGGGTGTACGGTACCAATTTACTTTAGAAGGGGTGTGTGGTACCAATTTACCTTTAGAAGGGGTGTATGGTACCAATTTACCTTTAGAAGGGGTGTACGGTACCAATTTACCTTTAGAAGGGGTGTATGGTACCAATTTACCTTTAGAAGGGGGTGTACTGTGCCAATTTCCCTTTAGAAGGGGTGTACGGTGCCAATTTACCTTTAGAAGGGGTGTATGGTACCAATTTCCCTTTAGAAGGGGCGTATGGTGCCAATTTACCTTTAGAAGGGGTGTATGGTGCCAATTTACCTTTAGAAGGGGTGTATGGTGCCAATTTACCTCTAGAAGGGGTGTACGTTACTAATTCACCTTTAGAAGGGGTGTACGGTACCAATTTACCGTTAGAAGAGGTGTATGGTACCAATTTACCTTTAGAAGGGGTGTATGGTGCCAATTTACCTTTAGAAGGGGTGTACGGTACTAATTTACCTTTAGAAGGGGTGTATGGTACTAATTTACCTTTAGAAGGGGTGTACGGTATTGTAGGTCCAATAAATATTAACAAAACGCACACATCCATGACTTATATATTTTTCCATAACAAATCAGTCAGTTTACAGCAACGACCCACTATCTTCCAAATGAAAATATATCAGCCCTTTCACTTATTTATCGGCACTGGGCTGACATGAATCTTAAACACTGGTGTACGGCACAACCTTACCGTTTTCCAACTGCCAAGGGATCTTTTATGTGCACACAAGACCAGTTTTTCGTCCAATCCAAACAAACAAGTATGCTACGAACTTACCTTTTGAGACAATGTCTTTGTGAATACATTTTAACATCGTAGTCAACATAGGACCTTCTAATTTATTAGTTAACACTGAAATATATATACCAAATATTCATAACATCACTAGAATCAACAAAAAGTTTAGAATCTGTTTTAATATAACCTTAATGTTAGGGAGGAATGAAATGGGGTTTAACGTCCTACAATCTGGTTAAAACACAGATCCTATTTCGTTTTATTTTTTATAGTCCAAAATTCGTTTTACTTGTCTTTACTACACTAGGATCTGGAAGAGTTGTTATTTAACTTGTGTTCTAAATGGTGTCGGAGATAAGCCAATGAAACGGTCTGTTACGGCGAGCTTTAGGCTTGTTTTGCATGGAACTGTGGGTAATCCACTAGTAACATCAATGCTGATTGGTTAATCAAATGTCTGACATCATAGGGTCATAAGTCGGTCTTTTGACCCCTGACGTGACTTATCGCTATAACCGGTCAGATCTTCATGTAGTGTAGGCCATCGAAAGTATAAAAAACGAAACGAAACGAAATATAGATCTGTATTTAATCAGATTGAATGTCCTACTGTTCTGCTCCGACAGGGCTAATGAAGATAGACAGGTATACGCCATACAGTGTGCTAATGAAGATAGACAGGTATACGCCATACAGTGTGCTATGAGGGAAAGTTGCCAGGACAGCGGCACTATGACCTACTCTTAGATCGAATTCCAACTGTCAAGGAATCTTTAACGTGCATGCCAATGTGTACACAGGACCTCAGTTTTTCGTCTCATCCGAATGACTAGACAGTTGTCCTTGTTAGGTCCTCCGTCCTGGGAGGAATGAATAAATGAAATGGGATTCAAATCCTACTTTTCTGCTGCATCCATGCAGGAGGCGAGGGTTGCATCCATGCAGGAGGCGAGGGTTGCATCTGCGCAGGAGGCGAGGGTTGCATCCGTGCAGGAGGCGAGGGTTGCATCCGTGCAGGAGGTGAGGGTTGCATCCGTGCAGGAGGCGAGGGTTGCATCCGTGCAGGAAGCGAGGGTTGCATCTGTGCAGGAAGCGAGGGTTGCATCCGTGCAGGAGGCGAGGGTTGCCTAGTGGTCAATTGTGTTTATGTGAAATATAAGGTCTGTGATTGAGTCATTGTGAGAGAGATACACTGGGGTTAACATCCACTCAACACAAACATTTTGGAACTAAAATACGGTTCAATTTTATTTTGATAATGCACTTGAGCATAGCAGTCTTTAGCAGTGGGGGAAAACCGGAGGACCTGGAAAAAACCCACAGGGTTGAACAGACGACCCTACTCCTTGTCATGCACAAGCGGGGAGTTGAACCCACACCACTTGACTCAATGATAGACCTTGTGATTTAACACGTACACTTTAAACCAAATCGGCCACCCAAATTATATCTAAAAGAGACATGAGAGATAATAGTTGCCACATCGATTGTTCGATAGTTTTCAAATTTTTAATTATTGGAATGGTTTTGAAGTACAGTAGAATCTGCATTAAGCAGCCACCCAAGGGAATTTTCACAACTGACCGCTTAACGGGAGTGGCCTCTTAATAAAATCTCGTTGCTTTTTGTGCCGACATAAATTAAATATTACGCTTGGATGCATTGGAAGCGGTAAATTTGGCCGTCGCTGAATCTTGCGCCGAACGAAAATTCTTTACTCAAATCTGTAAACTTGTCATTTTGTACCAACCTTCGATACTACTGTCTACCATTGTGATGCATTCGATAATATTTATCCATTTTTGTGAAGAAAATTGATGAATTCATTTTATTTTATCAAAAAAGCACATGAACAAAAAACATCGCTAATTTTATCACCTATTTACAGGGGGTGTAACTCTGTATGTAATGTAGTGACCGCTGGCGACGTTAGAGGAGTGACCGTTGAATAAAGAGATGAAACAACAGAATTTCTACGGGGGGAATTTATCGTGACCGCTTACAAGGAGATGTCGCTGAATAGGAGTGGCTGCTCATACAGATTCTACTGTATTGTCAGATTTCTAGAAGTTGTAAATCTTTCGAATAAAGCACATTTCCCATATATTTGTATATTTTTTAAAATGAAATGGCATTTAATGTCCAACTATTCTGCCTCAACTAGTCTACTCAAGATGAGCATATGGCTGCCATGTACTATGAGAATTATTTGGCCTAGACAGCGGTACGACGGTATACTTTTATTTTGAATTCTAATTGTCAAGGATTATCTTCTGTACATGTCAACAGGTAACGGGAGAGAGAGAGAGAGAAATGGGGTTTAACGTCCACTCGACACAAACTAGGTTATTTCGGGACGAACATTTGGTTTAATTTTATTTACATAAATCGCTTGCGCGTAGGGGTCTTTAGCAGTGGGAGGAAACCGGAGGACCCGGAGAAAACCCACGAGGTTGGAAACAGGTAACGGACCCTTGTTTTGTTGGTGTCAACTGAAGAACTAGACATTGCAGGGACCAATCTAATTAAAATACACATCTATATTTCGTTTTATTTTTTTATACTTTCGATGGCCAACACTACATGAAGATCTGTTCAGTTGTAGTTAAAGGTCACGTCAGAGGTTGTATGAGCAGCTTTTCACCCTATGAAGTCAGACATTGATTAATCAATCAGTATTGATATTCTAGTGGTTTACCCACAGCTCCATGCATCGCACGCCAAGAAGTCGAAGTAACAAATGGTTTCATTGGCTAATCCCTCAATTCAACCAGAACGCAGGTTATATAACAAGTCTTCCAGATCATAGTGTTTGAAAGACAAGTAAAACGAAATTTTGAACTATAAAAAACGAAACGAAATAGGATCTGTGTTTTAATCAAATTGGTCACTGAGCAACAATGGCTCTGGTTTCTTTTAGAATATAACTCCTAGTTCATTCAATACAAAATGGATGGTTGGGTGGAATTGTGGGACATATCTATATTTACCTTTAGGTAATTCTTGTGGAGGCACTTGTCGTAAAAGATCGGTGTAGGGCTCAGATTGTTTTGATGATTTCAATGAGTTCCAGGCCGTCATAAATTCATATGGTGTGGCTTTTATCTTTTTCGGATCGATGGATGACGTTTGCATCTGACCCATGACGGGAGAACTTTCTTTCGATCCCTGTTTCTGTTTCTTCTTCTTGGTGGATTTTGACTGAGCAGCACTATCAGTGGGGGATTGAGCATCTGTTTCCGTCTTAGGGGAAGCCTCTGATTCTGACGATTTTTTGGAATCCGCCTTTGACTTTTTTGAGGATTTTGACTCTGTTTCTGACCCATTTTTGCTATCTTTTTTCAACGATTTTGAGTCAGATTTCTGTGATTCGGATGACGTCCGTTCCTTTTTCGTTGCTTTTCCATCTGTTTTCGTCACTTCAGCTTCTTCCTCTTCTACTACTGTTTCGCCAGTTTTCTTTGCTTTCGCTTTTGCTCGTCTTTTCGCCGACTTCGATAATGGTGCCTCGGGCTGCTTCGGTTCTAACCAATCCAAATCTTCTTGTATCTTCTGCATCTCGTCCTCTTTTGACACAACAGGTGATTTTGCTGATGATTTATTTACTGTTGTCTGCAGAGGTTCGTCGTTCTTGCCTTTGTTCTTTTTATTCTTAAACGTCCTTCCCGTATCTGTTGGTTCTTCCGATGACTTTCTAGAATCTCTCCCCGATGATGATTTCGCGCCTTCTGATCTGTTTGCCTTTGAAGATTTTTGAGTAGATTTTGATTCTGGCTTGGTATCTGGGACGGCTTCTTCTAAAACTTAAACAAACAAAAACAACAATATATGACCACATTTCAATGTGGGCGTATAAAAATAGAATAAAATTTGAAAGCTGCTGACTGCGTCTCAACAAAAAAAACTAATTCATTTCACGAATAACATATGATGCCATTTGCAATATTTCGCTTGAGCACAGTTGGAGAATACTGGAGAATCCAGACTAAATTTAACGATAAAATGGATAATCGAAACTTAGTCTCAGTTGTCCAGTACCATTACTATCATAATAAACAATCTACGCTGCATTTTCAAACAGTGCTAACTTCACACAGAATAAAGTAATTTGAATAATATTTTCAATATATTTTTTTTATAAAATTATTATAGCAAGAACAGCCGGCGTTTTATCTAAATGTTACATAATGCATTTTAATTAATATTTTCCATTTTTGGACGACAAAATTCTTTTTATCAAAATACCTTTTTTAACATCCGCTGTGATTTCTTCTATTGTACGTGGCTTCTTCTTCGCATTTGTCTGCTCTGCTGGGGGTGTATTTTCTTTTATAAAATTCAATTCCTATAAAAAACACAAGATATTTATAAATATCAATTCCTACAGAAATTTATAAATATCAATTTCTACAAAAATCCATAGGCAATGTAAGACCATTAAAAAAACAAATATTTTTGTTCTTGATGAAAAATGCCAGTCCAAACATGTTTAGTCCAAACATGACATCCATGCCTGGATGAAAACCTCAACTTGTCGTCTCATCGGTTCACTAATAGCCCGATCTATTAAATGGGCAAATGGGTCAATTCCCGATAAAGAGAAACCTCAACTTCAACACAATAACAGTATCCGGATCCAGAAATCTAATAAGAACTTCTGAAGACACCCGCCCCCCCCCCAAATCCCAATCTATTTCACTTACCTCTTTATATATTTTTCTAACAGCATCAAATTCTTTCTGAGCTGCTGTATTTTTGGGATCTAATTTAAGGACTTGCGAAAGATCCTGAAGACAATCTTTATAATGTTTTAACATCTAGAAAAAAATAAAATCAATCAGACTTAGAATGACATCGTTTTAAAACTTAACTTGACCTCGGTTTTATAATACCATCCAAATGCCTACCAGTTAGTCTCTCAAGCACCACCCCTGATCACGGAAGGCCCTGGCTGTCTGCCAACACTTCTCTCATTTCCAGGTTTCAAAAATTCGGTTCGTCCATCGAATGATTAGGCATATTTTCCTCAGAGTTATCCCCCCTCCCCTGCCAAGTGAACTCTGGGATGGGAAAATCCTAATAGTTCTCGACTTCCAGGAGTCTAGAATTTGGTTGGACCTTGCCTGTTTCGTCCATCGAATGATTAGGCATATTTTCCATATCAGCCTCACAGTTATTCCCCCCCCCCCCCCATGTCAAGTGAATTCTGGGATTGGAAAATCTTAATGGTTCTTCCCTGTTTTATGTAAATATAGGCGATTGATACTGAATAGCACGGCACGGGTACAGCCATTAACTGGAAGAGAGACATCGAGACAGAAATGAAGTTTAACATCCACTTGACACAGACTAGGTCATTTCAGGACTAACACATGGTTCATTTTATTTCAATAATTACCTTGCGCATAGGGGTCTATAGCAGTGGCGGGAAACCGGAGGACCTGGAGAAAACACATGAGGCTGGACAGGTGACCCTATTCCTTGTCCTGTACAATCGGGGAATCGAAACCACGTCAGCTGGCTCAATGACTGACGTTATGATACAGCGTACACGCGCTAACTATTCAGCCATCCAACCCCCCCACAGACAACAGTCACAAATATAAGTATAGATTCAACACAAACCTTATTTGCCAGAGCTCTTCTATATAGAGCTTTACAATTTGTACTATCGAGTTCTATCGCTCTATCACAATCCCTAGCAGCTTCCGCAGGCTGAAATAATAACATTTATAAATCAATCAATTTAAATTTGAAAACAAGTTACAACAATTTCTACATATTGTTCTTGGCATTTTCAAAATTGGAAGAGTGCTCTTCACGTATTACGTGGAAAATTTGGATATTATGAGGCTAGATTTTGTCAGGATAACACTATTTCTGCCTACTTCAAATTCCAACCAATCTGTACACTACACTAGATTTCATAATCTGGCCCCAAGTTCACAAAACATTCTCAAACTTAAGTTAAGAATTTACTCAAAATTGTCCGCCTTATTTGAACTAAAACATAGCCCTACATAAAATTTTTGTTGTTTTATTGTATCAAAGACATTAATAAGAAACTATCAAAGATATTTCTATCAAAGATATTTCTCATAAACAGTGATTGAAAGTTAAGTAAATTCTTAATATAAATTTGAGAATGGTTTGTAAACTCTGGGCCTAGTTTCATCTGAAGACAAGAACATATCGTTCTGTACAAGATATATTAAATATTATCTATATATTCACTAGAACTAACCTGATTTAGTTTGAGGTAACAATGAGCTCTATTGGTATAACCCACAGGATTATCTGGACACTGTTTTATACATATATTATAACATTCAACAGCTTTTATAAACTCACTCTATAAAATAATAACATATTTATTATAACATTCAACAGCTCATATATATTATAACATTCAACAGCTTTTATAAACTCGCTCTATAAAATAATAACACATTTATTATAACATTCAACAGCTTTTATAAACTCGCTCTATAAAATAATAACACATTTATTATAACATTCAACAGCTTTTATAAACTCGCTCTATAAAATAATAACACATTTATTATAACATTCAACAGCTTTTATAAACTCGTTCTATAAAATAATAACACATTTATCATAACATGAAATGAAATGAAATAGGGTTTTAAGTCCTACCGGCCTCTCTGACTGGGCTAATGAAGACTGGCATACACCATACAGGGTGCTATGAGGGAAATTTTGCCAGGGCAATGGCACTATGACCTACTCTTCTATCTAATTCCAACTGCCAAGGGATTTTTTACATGCATGTCAATGTGTACATGGGACCTCAGTTTTCCGTCTCATCCAAACGATTAGACAGCTGTCCTTGTCAGGCCCTCCCCGTGTGTCAATTTGGAACACTCTGTACTCAAAATCGATACCCTCCCCCCTCCATTATATATCTAAAATTATATCACCAATTATATATGAGAAAATGCAACTGTTTAACTGTTTTTAAAAATTAAAAAAATTTGCAATAAGAACCTTTTGAACGTGACTATTGCCTAACTTTTTGCATTCTTCAAATTCTAGATCGGGATTAGGTAGTTCCTCTGGTGGTGGACTAGATTCGCTGGGGAGAACAGACGGGGAACTTGTAGTGCCATCTAGAATTATCTCTGGTATTTCCCAGGATAAAGCTGTGACCATGGGAGGTAACTTTTCCCTCCAAGTTGGACCGTCTAATTGTTGTAATATATTTTGACACCTGAAAATAAAAAGATGTTTATAAAGACAGGTTGTCGAAACAGCAACTCAGTCGTCCCAGGACTCCATAAGTTGTCAACAGTTTTTTTTTATCTTTTGTAGGTAATCAACACAAACTAGGTCAGTTCAGGACTAACACATGGTAAAATTTTATTCCAATAATTCACTTGTGCGTAGGGGTCTATACCAGTAGCAGGAAACCAGAGGACCCGGAGAAAATCCATGAGGTTGGACAAGCGACCCTACTACTTGTCACGTACAAGCGAGGATTCGAAACCACGCCAGTTGTCTCAATGACAGACCTTATAATACAGCGCGCACGTGCTAACCACTCGGCCATCCACCCTCCCTGATATATTTAGATTTCAATGGTTTCTGCCAAGCCGTTTAACAGAAGGGGATGTATTTTTAACAGCGTGTTGTGTTGCACATACTGACTCTAGTGAGTTAAACAAGGTCTTATTTTCTCACTAAAATGTTCCTTTACATTGTACAGGTGTTCACAGGGACTGACACAAGACCATTTAGAAGTAAAAAGTTTGCCCAGTAACATTGAATGGGGCCTATTTTAGTTTCGACCAGGATTCAATATGATGGATACTGAACGTACAGGGCGAGTGTAATGAGACCAACGTTCAGAGCTGAACTAGGGTATATCCATGATCTGGAAGTATCATAGCTCTGAAACTGGAAATGGTAGGCGAATGTCACAAGGCCTACCGATCCAAGCTACCCCTATACACCAAATTTCAGCCTCGGGAACAGCCCTAGTATAGCTGCCAACAGACAGACAAATGACAGTTACAAATATTAATAAAAGATATTCACCTGGATGCACCTGATAGAGCTAAGACTACTGATGAGTCTATACTTAATATATGTTTATAATCTACATAGGCTTGACTATATCTGAAAAAAAATATACAGTGTATTCATAAAAACTTATATCGAGTATGTTGATGTATCACGATTCACATTCTCACAATTAAGTATTGAATCGTTAGACGCTGAATCGATGTATCCTGATTTTTTTCATGTTTTTTGTTGCTTCAGTAAGTACCCTGTCGCTTTTCATTATCCACATCACACATTATCCATAGGTACACATTATTTGATCCACATTAATATTGTTACATAAATCACTTTTATTTCTTTGACATCCGCAGGACTAAAAATATCAACTATTCATTTATCCTGTTTTCTTGGTAAATACTGCCTTGATTATAAATCGTGATACAAATCGAATCGTAGCACCTGAATTGCAATTCGTACCGTATTGTGACTACAGTAGCAATACGCAGCAGATACCCCTGATAATAAGTTGGAATTAGGCCTTAATAATTCTGAGATATATCTTGGCTCATTTTGGGATTTGAACGTGGGATATTCTAGACAAGAGTACACTACCCTGGCGACCCCCTAATTCTAGCCAAGAGTACACTACCCTAACTGTTTTATTACCCTGGCGACCCCCTAATTCTAGCCAAGAGTACACTACTCTAACGTTATCAAAGATGAGTTTCATATCCAAGATGAGATTAATATTATCTCATAAACATGCGTTAATCCATAATGAGTTTTATATTAACATTGTAAACATGCGTTAATCCATGATGAGTTTTATATCAACATTGTAAACTTACATTAATCCAAGATGAGTTTAATATTAACATTGTAAACTTAAGTTGATAAATAAATCTGTTAATTACATAACACCTTTTGAGAAACTAAACAATTATAAACCCAACACTCATTAAATAAGCCCCAAGGAAGAGTGGCACCGCCCTGCTATTCAACCGGACAGAATGACCAGACCAATACAAACGACCAAATTACTATATATATGTACATAATATATGTTTCCGTTCACTCTGTCTGATCTGTCATAATGTTTACATGTCTGTCCCAATGTTCGACCACATTTATGTCTGTTTTGTAAAAGTCCACTTTCACCTACTAATTCATGTCTCTTGCTGTTACCTATTGTCTTTTGTACATATATACAAAAACCTAATCATCCTATTTTCCACTAAACACATTGTAAATTATTGCACCTTGTACAAATAACATGTTATTGTCTGCGATATCACCTCGGTGGAAGCGGACGTAAAATACAACTAACAAACAACAACATATCTAATCTAGACAGACCATTTAAACTAGTTGACAGTAGGAACCCAATATTTTTTGCCATAATTCTCAACAAATTTACCTATAATGGTTTTAAACTAAACATTAAATACAGAAACTACCCCTAAAACTACAGGATACCTGAGATGTAGTGACGTAGATGAGTTTTATATAAACTTGCCAACTTACTTTTCTAAATGTTCACATGCTGCCGCCCGCCTGAGTAATGGTTTAACCATATGAGGAATGATATCCAGAGATCGTTGACAATCAGTAATAGCCGCTTTACAATGACCTGTCTTCAGATAACACGCTGCACGATTACTGTACATTAATGATAAATTCACTAGTTGATGGATCACATCTATAAATAGAACAAAAGATGGGGTACACATGGATCTCATCTATAAATAGATTTATATCATAGGAGAGAGAGAGAGAGAGAGAGAGAGAGAGAGAGAGATGGCACCTGATAATCTATGTCTGACAAAGTCTATGACAGATGCCTTATGTCATAAACATATCCCAAAAGACAAGTAGGAGATTTTATTTATCACCCAACCCTTTCTTACGCCCACTAATAAGTAAATATAATTCTTTGGTATAGATTTAATAAATTTCATTACATTATGGTGTAGTGATACTGCTAAAGTCATCCAATGATTTCCACATTGAAAACATGAATTATTTGTCAATTTAAATCAACACTGATGTTGTGATCTTATCGATGAAAGCATGTGCTTCTGATATCCAATATTTATTGTTTCACAATGTCAATCCTTCAGGTACCACAGAATATACTTTTAAACATACATTATGCAAGAGCTAAATCTGATTATTGCAAGTCTTAATTTAGGCTTCAGATGTTATAGAAATTATAAATTAGATCTTTATTTAAACAACAAGACCAAAATCAACTCTGTAGACCCACGGATGGCTCGGCTACAGCTCGGATTTAAATAGGATTTCACTAATTGATTAAATCAGATAAGGGGTAACCTGATGAAAATACGTCAGTTAGATCGAGGCTAAATGATAGAGTGTACTTAGCGAGGCCGCTGTAAAGCGTTTCCATATGCCATTGAAAACTTTACTTGATAATCGAGATATGTAGGTGGAGTTAACGCCTGTCAATCAAACGTTCGGCGAAGGTGAAGACACATTTCGCTACCATTTCTAGGCAAATATTACAACGATGATAACTATGTTCAGAATAAAGTAATTTGACTGAATTTTTCAATATATTCTTCTTTCATCATCTTCTTTTGAACTGTTATAGCAAGAATGGCCAACTCTCTATAAATATCTCCCATAATGTATCTTTAAGACAAAATAAACATTTTACCATTGGTACACGAATCGTGTACCATAATGTGTTTCAGCACTATTTGTAATAAGGGACTCGAAGAACGAGGCTAGACATAATCCACAAGTCATGTCAAACGGTGATGCCATATTCCTATCTGGAGATCATGTGCACTAAATACTATCTGTGTAGACTGGAGTACCCAGACGCTAGAGATTGCCATCCGATTGAGACTTCTGGCGTATTTTGCTGAACATAACTGATTTGAAATTAGAGTAAAAACGGAAACGATTGAATGTAAATCGGTTTATATACATTCATATTACATTATTATATGCGTTGCGACCCATTTGTATCAACAATTTCTAGGTCCCAAATATTAGCAATTTAGCTCCTTTAAGGGGAGTTTTGTAATTGTTTATGGTAATTGAGAACTTTTCTCCAACAATATTACTGGATCCAAAAAGTAGTTCCAGTTTAATAAAAAAAAGTAGATCGTTTTTAATTGACCACAATCGATATCTATTGTAGAATGTGTTATTGGGTGATAAAGATATATATCTGTACAATCAGAGTTACCTACCTTTTTCTAGTTCGTCTATGAGATGTGTATATCTTAATATTGCTTTTGGGTATTGACCAGTTCTAAACAACGCACTACCCTCTTCCTTAACAGCGACCATATTGGGCGGCAACTTCTCTTGTTTAAATACCGTACGTCTAGAATAAGCGCCCTCTGCTTGTGGAAATGTTTCAGCTGGTTTGGTTTCCACCTTAACTTCTGCTTGTGTTTCTGGAGACACCCAATCGTCCTTTTCGTCATCTGAATCAGATGACACCGATTGTTGTCGTGGAGACATAGTTTTCGGCCTGGCACCAGTTTTGGCCCAATCCTCTTTTTCTTGCTTTTGGATGTCTTCTTGTTTTACAGATTCGACTTTTGTAGACGTTGTGTCAGCGTTTTCGTCTTCGTCTGTTATTTCTGTAATTGTCAAACCTGAAGGTTTTTCAACTTCAATTTCTTCTTCACCTTCTGAGTCTCTCGAATTATTTGTAAATCCTGGAGGTTTCTCCGGAAGGGTCTCGGTGTTAACAATACCCATGCCCATCGCATTAAGGTCGATATCAGAGTTTATATTTACGCAGTTTTCAATTTCATCGAGAGACCAAATGTCTTTTTCTGGCTTTTTTTTGTTGGTCTCTACCTTCGCTTCTACGACCTTTTGAGCAGTTCCCGTGTTCTTTTTCGCAGGATCCTCATGCAGGCCATTTTGTTTATGAACGGGAATTTCTTCTATTTTAGTTTTAGCGTCCACTGCGTTGCTTTCTGGAGTTGTTCCGTTGACGTGATTAACCTCGTCATCCGAACCTTCCGTTTCTTCGATGACCATTCTCCGCCCCTTTACTTTCCTTTCCTTCTTCTGATTCTCTGCCTGTTTACGAAGATCAGCGCTTTCCTTCAGCAGGTCCTGAAATAAACAAAGATAGGTTGCCAGACAATGAAATATACACCCTCAGTAACAAAGTCGTGGAAGTGGTCAACAATGGTTGTCGTAGGTTTTCTTTGTCTTTTCTCTTTTGTCGGTAATGAGTGAGAGAGAGAGAAAGAGAGAGAGAGGGTAATGGGGTTTAACATCCTCGACAGAAACTAGGTTATTTCGGGACTAACATATGGTTCAATTTTATTTCAATAATTCGCTTGTGCATAGGGGTCTTTAGCAGTGGGAGGAAACCGAAGGATGCGGAGAAAACTCCGGAGGTTGGACAGACGACCCTACTCCTTGTGTCGTACAATGGGGAATCGAAACCACACCAGTTGACTCAATGACAGAACTTATGTCACAACGCGAACGCGCTAACCATTCGGCCATCCATCCCCACCGGGAAAGAAAGAATTTACAAGAATTATAAGAAATAATTAAAATTTGATTGGCTTCTAGTTGTTATATAAAACATGTTCCGTTAACAATGATAAATGTGTTTTAATTTCAAATCCTCAAGATTTTTAAAAAAAATCAAGGGTAAAAACTCTGGCAGTAATCCTCAGCTTCTTCATTTCAAAGATAAACACGGTGTGTAGAAATAAAGGCAATCGAAAAATAAATTGATAATAATGAGCATTTACAAACTTGCTCAAAATAATCAAGAGCATTAACTCTGGCAGTAATTATAATAAATGGTTAAAAATCAACGCACAATTCTCGGGGATGCCCTTTTACATTAGTCCGATTGGTGCAGCAAAATAGGATGTTGAACCCCATTTTGTTGCATGCATCCTTACACGGAAATTTAAATCCCACACAAAATGAAATGGGGTTTAACGTCCTACTGTTCTGCTTCGACTGGGCATACACCACCTTATATCAAATTCCAACTGCCAAGGGATATTTTACGTCCGTGACAATGTGTACACGGGGACCTCGTTTTTTTGTCCCATAAATCCGACACATAAAGTCTTACCTTAGCTCGTTTATTATTTTTATCCAGATTTGCTATATCATTGAGATCACGATCTGCTGATTCGACATCTTTCAGACCCAAGTACGCTGTACTTCTTCTTAATAACGCTGAAATATAAACACATAAAATTAACGGTCATAGATCTAACTCTGCCCATTGCAGGTCTTTCTTTCGGCATCGAATGTTTTATTGAGAGAGAGAGAAAGAGAGAGAAATGGGGTTTAATGTTTGCTCGACATAAACTATGTCATTTTGGGACTAACAAATGGTTCAATGTTTAGTTTTAAACCGTTGTTGGCAAATTGTTCAGATTTGTTGAGAATCACCAGAATTATTAGATTCCTATCATCGCATAGTTTAAAGTTACAATTTCATATTTTCTAAGAAAGTCAAAACATAATTATTTCTATGTCTTTTGTTCAATAGGTTGTCAACTCACTATTATACGATCATAGGTGTCATTCTCACACTTAAAACTCATTTACACCGGAAATAATAACACAATTACCTCCCAATTACCTCCCTTGTTTTCTATTCTCCACCATGGAGTAGCTATCCTCAGATGTTTGAATTTGAAGAGGAAAATGATATTTTTGCCAATTTCTCAACTGGCAATAGTGAATTATAGGATTAATAGGATTATTCTTTAACAAGGTAGAACTATTTATAGATACCATCTATTTTAAGGCTTTATTTTAATAAATTTTAAAAATATAACGTAAAAATATGAAATTGCAGCTTGAGTAATTAATTAATCTGTTGTAGTGAATCTTAAAGACTGAGTTGATAATAAATTTACCTTTGATATTGTCTGGTTCCTCATCTAACACTTCATCACAATCTTCCAAAGCTTCTTTCCATTTCTCCAATTTTAAATCTAATATTGGAATGAACAAAAACAATTTCAGAAAAAACTAATTGCTTTATTTGTACCCCTCAAACACCAAAACCTTAAAGATGATTATGTCAGATGCATTATGTAAGATTTAGATAAAGAGCTGACAGTTCTAGAAATAATAGTTTAAAAATAGATAATGTCAAAAGAATATGTTGAAAATTTCATTCAAATTACTTTATTACGGGCAAAGTTGGAAGACAGAGACTATCGTTAAATTTTCAAATCTCCTGGGGGTTCTAATCCATTTTTATCTCTGTCAGTCGATGACCTTGAGTCTAGAGAGTTGATTATAGATTTGTCTTGTTAATAAATGTCTAATTAATAGTTTATATAACATTTGAAGCAATCATAAAGACCTGCAATAGGAAGATTTAGCTCATAGTCAACAGAATTTGTTTGGAAAATCTAATGGAGGATTAATATTGTCTAACTAGACGATATAAAACCAGAACACCAAAATCGAGAAATAGAATAGTAGTTTTAAATCTTGCAAATGGGTTTCTTGATTCAAAAGGTCATATCACAGTCAATATTAATGCTAGAGTCATATAATTTGGCAGTTTTAAATAATTTTGTACATGTACTATAACATATATTATTTGTTTCATAATATTCTGAGGTTGTCATCTGCCAACTTTCTTGACATGGAATGATCTTACTGTCTCATACATTTGTTTTACTGATATTTTTAAAATATGTCTGGCACCAAGTTATAAATGTCTACAACTAGTTCCATAATATCCTGTAAAATGTCAGGGGCTTGTTCAATATAGTTTGCCATTCTGTCAGGAACATGTAAAGTCTCTATTTCCAGGCCTTGTGAAAGATACTTATGAAATGAAATGGGGTGTAACATCCAACTGTTCTGCCTCGACTGGGCTAATAAAGACGGGCCTACGTCATACACTGTGCTATGGCATACTCTTATTTCGTATTCCAACTGTCAAAAGATCCTTCACGTGGACAGGACGGCAGTTTTCCGTCCCATCCAAACAACTATACCATACGTTGTATTTTGCAAGGCCCTCCGACTTGCACCATTGCCAAGGGGGGAACTACACTATAAATTTCTCTTGGCCAACACCTTGATTGAGACCTCCTGGATAGCGAGCTTACTTACTGAGCCACAGTGACACCCCAATATACTTACATGCTAAAGCTCTATTATTATATAAATTAGCCGTCTGCACCAAGGATAAACTTCGGGTGTAGTATAAAACAGCTTCTTCAAAATCACTACATTTAAACGCCTGAAATAATACACACAAAAAGCAATTGTTAGTGGATCATTTGAAAATTCTGATCAGTTTTTCTAAGGCCTAAGCTATTTCGTTACTGTATTTACAGACATTTTTCCTGTAAATACCAGTAAAATTGAAGTCAAGATATCGACAAGATCACTGAATGCTATATACTTCCAGCACACCTGATTGACACTTAGCCACGAGGGAATATTTACTCCAACAGTCGTGCTACAGTCTATTATTATTTTGATTTCTAACTGAATTCCAAGTGTAACTTGCTTATTCCTTTTCCAAGGGAGATAACTATTATTTTATATACTCTCTAGAATAGAGATCACTTTTAGTTATTGGATATGGCTGAGTGTATACTGTATCAAGCTTGAGTTTTGGGCAGTTCAAATGGGACCGTGATTTTCCGTCCCATCGGAATGATACAAAGCTTTTCCATGTCGGGTCCTGTATCCAGAGGAATGTTCTTGGTTTTCCAAACCAGTGTCATACTCACTGAGTCAGCGTTTATTATAAGTTGTAATTACCTCATTGCCTTTATCTTTTTCTCTTCCAGCTCGTATACAGATTTCGTCATAAGATAAACCTACAATTATTAACAATCAAATCATTTGGATGAAAATATAAAACTAGTGGTTGCCATAAAAAATACGCCCACATTTTGCCAAAGATTGATGGAGAATAGGGAAAATCTGTCAAAAACTATTGTACTATCAGGTTCCACAATCCAGAGAGAGAGAAAAAAGAAAGAGAGCAAGAGAGAGGGGAGGTAATTTCAGGACTAACATATGGTTCAATTTTATTTCAATAATTTGCTGGAGGACTCACAGAAAACCTACTTCACACAATCTAGATGATTTTAAGACGAACATATAGTTCAATTTTATTTCAATAATTCGCTTGCATATAGGAATACAACCAGAGGACCCGCACAAAAACCCACGAGGTTGGACAGGCAAACCCTTCTCCTTGCCACGTACAAGCTGGGAATCGAAAAATGCCACATGACTTGATGACAGACCGTGTGATCTAAAGTGCTCCCATCTCAAGCATTATCTAAAGCGCAATAGTCAGACAATTTGGCTACCACCTCCCCCCAATGGAATAAACAAAATTTAGATCTATATTTCAATGAGGATATAAACAATACCTTCGGAGTCAACTTTAGTTGAGATATCAACAACTTTTTTATTTGTTCTAATATTTTTATTCTCTTCTTGTTCCTGTTGCTTTCGTTCTTCCTCTTTATCCATGTTATCAAGTTCTTTATCGACATCGATTCTATAAAATAAAACAACCCAAACTCAGAGAAACAGACATCAATAACCAGTAAACACAATAAAGCAGTCAGAAATATTGGAAATCAAGTGTTTATGTATACATGTATTATATATATATCCAGGGCTGTCGGTAATTTTTCACAGTTGATTAGCAGCACTGAAAATCAAAAAGTCCAATTTTGCCAAATATGATTAGCAAATATAAAAAATTGATTAGCAGTTTTTCAGTTTCAACATAAAACACGTAAATAACAAGATATTACTTTCATTCATAACAAATGATCAGATTTCATTCTTAGATTTTTTAATACTGCAACTGCTAGTACTAGTGCTGTGACAGTTTGTGATTGTGATGTAGACTTTTGGTTGCGTCTTATGTCTGAAGCCAATTCTTGGCAGTGACTTCCGAAGCCCCACTCATTTTATTTACACTGGATTTTTTTTTTTTTCAAAATGAATACTGATATAATTACTCAAAATTGACATGTCTCGCAACGTGAGTGGTACTACTGGATTCCCTATTTCCGGTTTAATAGTCCCTATTAATGTCCCTAGAGTTATGTCCCTGTATTATATAGTATAATGAATTGCGTCTGGGTAGTTCAAGAAGAAAATGTCAAATGGAGAAGTCAGTTTTGTTTATAAAATTTTATTTGGCATTTTATACACATTGAAAGTGTTGAGAAAGCCTCAATATTCGTGTCAATATCCAAAATGACAGGCATATTAATGATTTGCAGTTACTGCGAATCAGAAACGTTAGATTTTAATTTTTGATTAGCAACGGACAAAATATGTATCGCAAATTGTGCTGCGATACTGTTGTCGGCAGCCCTGTATATATCGTATTTGTTCGTGGATTAGGTGTATTTGTAGATAATTGACGACGGCTGAGTTTAGAAGATAATAAACAATCTACTCTACATCCTGTTAAAACTACAGATATCTATATATACTTACTTATCCCAATCAGAATAAGATCTTGGTAGCGATGATTTATTACTTTTAACTTCTGGTTTCGTTTCCTACAAACAAACAATAAATTAAACATAAATAAAACTTGTTTGAGATGTAATTTTAATTTTCCATATTGTGAATCTGGCTGTGACTTACATTACAACTTGGGTATCGTTTAGTTGTGTTGTTTTAGGGGTAGTTTCTGTATTTAATGTTTAGTTTCAAACGATTGTAGGCAAATTGTTCAGAATAATCAAAATATATTGGCTTCCTACTATCGTATAGTTTAAATGTTCCGTCTAGATTAGTGTTGGTTTACAAATGTTTTCTTTCACTAAAAGTGTTGAGTAATTAACAGACTAATGCATTCCTATCTCTCCTATTTTATTCCTGTCTCTACAGGTAATATCTATCATAGTTAAGTATTACAGTTTCTACAGGTAATATCTATCATAGTTAAGGAATGAAATGAAATAGGGTTTAACATCCTACTGTTTTGCTCCAACTGGGCTTATGAAGACGAGTATACACCATACAGTGTGCTATGACAGAAATTTTGCCCGGACAGCGGCACTACGACCTACTCTTATATCAAATTCCGACTGTCAAGGGATCTTTTACCAATGTGTACACAGGACCTCAGCTGTCCTTGTCAGCCCTTCCATCCTACACCACCAAGAAGGGGAGCGAACTCATGACCTCCAGGTTAGCGAGGCAGCATATCTTACTCAATTAACCACTGTGGCTTCGGTCATATTACAGGTCAGCAGACAAGACTGGACAATAAATCAAAAATAATTTTAAACATTACCTGTTTTTTGGTTGACAAGTTGATCTGCCCTTTCCTAACGGGAGGCAGTGTCTTGTTTCCTGTTAGAGTTGTGTCCCCTGATCCACTATCCTTACTTTTCATGACTGACAGAAAATCCTACAAAAAAAATTATCAAATTATCCTCATGAGAACCTCCACCTTTTACTTCGTGCACCGTCACAAAAAATTTAATACTTTGACATTCTCATTATAACAGGAACATCAATCAGCCAGCACGAGATTTTGATGAGGCCCCTCCCGATCCCCCACCCTCACTACTAGAGGAAGATGGGAGAGTGTTTTAAACACTAATGATCCAAACCAAGCATGAAGCAGGATATTTTAAGATCAGTTAGTCAAGACTACTGAAGGATTTAGATAAAGATATGTTCTATCAGCTTATGAGAACGACTAGGGGAAGATGGAAGGGTGTTTTTAAAAAAGAATTCAGCAAAGCCGAGGATGATGCCTGTAATAAAGGCATATATGACAGTGTCTAAAATACTACACAACTTAATGAGAATATTTATAATGCGCTATATCCATAAACCAAGTTTATGCTCAAAGCGCTACACAATTATTATCCTTGGCCAGAGGACTCTAGATCTTAAGGCCCTAGCCTGCAAAGCCTATAGCTAAATCCATCGCTGACTACAGCATTGATTGATGACTTTACAATCTGAAAGTGCTATTATTCTAATGATTGCGTGTAGCGGCCTTTACAAGTGGGAGGACCCCGGAGAACTTAGAGAAAACAAGCGACTCAATTCCTTGACACGTACAAGCAAGGAGTCAAAACCCCGCCACTTGACTCAATGACAGACCTTACAATCTAAAGTGCATGTTAAACCATTCAGCCACCTAACTCCACTCTCTAGCATGATATCATGCACTATGATACATGTATTTATTTATATCGTCACACATTGCCGTAAATCATTCAAAATTCTTAACAGCATAAGGATGAACACAAAAATGTTTGACTGGAAGTCCAGAGACAAAGTGGACGCTCGATTGTCAGTCCGGAACATCCAGAATTACAAATGAATTATGCAGAATTCATTCCTGTCTGTCCTCACAACAGAAGTGATTTAAGTAGAATCGTGACGTAATTAAACACAACAAATATGCCACAGCTGTCATGATTGGTGGAGATATTTTCTTATGCCCCAAATTCACTCGATTGACACTATCTTAGGGATTTAGAGAATTCAATTCTGGAGAGAGAGAAATGGGGTTTAACGTCCACTCAACACAAACAAGGTCATTTCGGGACTAACATATGGTTTAATTTTATTTCAATAATTCGCTTGCGCGTTGGGGTCTTTAGCAGTGGGAGGAAACCGGAGGACCCGGAGAAAACCCACGAGGTTGGACAGACGACCCTACTCCTTGTCACGTACAACCGGGGATTCAAAACCATGCCAGTTGAGTCAATTACAGGCCTTATGACACAGCGCGCACGTGCTAACCATTCTGCCATCCAACCCCTGAACTCACTGCCGCAATGTATCGTTGAATCGATGTATCCCGATTCACCTTCTCAAGATTTGTATATTGAATCGCCAGATGCCGAATCGATGTATCACGATTCTTTTTTATGATTTTTTTTGTCGCTTCAGTACATGTAAGTAACCTGTCACTCTCGTATACACGTCACACATTATCCACACACACACACTCTTAAACTGATGTGGACCTTATTATGATCCACATCAATATCGTGAAATAAAACAGTTTTATTTCTTCGACATCAGCAGGACTAAAAACATCAATTATTCATTTATCATGTTGTTTTTTCTTGGTAAATATTAACCTGGTTATGAACCGTGATACGAATTGTATCGTAGCCCCTGAATCGCAATTGTTATCACATAGTGACTGCAGTGGCAATATCCAGCCCTAATCCCCATATAAAAGAGATAACTTATTTATTAACGGAATTGCAATTGAGTGACGGTGAATGCAACCCTGCCACAGTTTTGTCAGTCTTGACACCCGGTTGGTTGAGATATTTTCTTATGCAGTAGATGGATGCCCAAATTCCCTTTTTTCACTCGACTGACACTAATCTAGGGATTGAGAGAATTTAATTGCGGAATGTTTAAATAACTTGTTTAATCGACAAATTTTACCTGCATATCCTCCTCCATCTTGTTTTTCTCGTCCTTTTGTAAATCACCTGGTTGTAATACAGGAGTTTCTTTTCTCAAAATACGACTAAAAAACAACAAAAACACAGAAATATTCAATTCATAACAAAACAACAACACAAGGTATATATGGATATAACCACTTCTCTATTATTTAATAACCACGTTTCGTAAAACATACAGGTCACGTTGTCAAGTTAATGATAAATATCCATCTAGTCAGCCTATTTATACATATTTCTGCTTATATCAGATGTAAAGACTAGATATAGTCAAGCCTGGACGTAAGAGCACCTGTCATAGAGTTAGTTAAGCCTGGACGTATGGCACCTGTCAGAGTTAGTCAAGTCTGGACGTAAAGGCACCTGTCATAGAGTTAGTTAAGTACAAATATCACATAAAATATTATATATACAAGCCAGGATATACATGTTAAGCCTGTATATACATGTACATGTTAAGCCTAGTACACAACCTGGCCACTATCCGTGCTATTATGAGCAGTCTACAGGGGAAATTTTAGAAAACCTGTGCGTGAGGCTTATATACCCACTGTAGAAGATCAAGACTGCCCCTAGAGACTTGTGACAAGTCCTATTTACAAAACTTTCCCCTGGTTTGTTGCGGTCGGTCTGCAAGCTACCAAACTCTACGACCTGGGCATGTCCATAACACATATGACAGGTTGTGCGCTAGGCTTAAGGTACCTGATTTTTCATGTCTGACAAAGTCTATGACTGGTGCCTTATATCCAGATTTGAAGCTAATCATTCCTGATTCTTAATTTGTAAACAGGAATAGCAGGAACTGAACAGAAGGGAATGCATACCATACCATCTTGGTAAAATAAGGTTAGACAATAACATGGTCACTTTGGTACAGTATTAAAAATTCAATAATTCTTTTCTTGCACACAGCATTCTTTAGCTACTCAACACAATCTAATGTGTATGTGTTAAACCTTTCAGCCATAGGACACCCCAACAAGATAGCAACAAAATGAAATGGGGCTTATAAAATGTCCTATTTGAAACAAACTAGGTCATATCGGGACCAAAATAGGGTTCGATTTTACTTCATTAATTCACTTGAGTGTATGGGTCGGGAGGAAACCCAACGACACAATGAAAACCCATGAACCCGACTGGACTAATGAAGGCAGGCTAAGGTACATGTAGCAAACTGCAGTTTATAAAATAAAGCTTCATGTAGCAGGGGTTAAAGATAAAACTATGTTTCTAGATTTCTATTCTTTCTATTACCTTTTTGGGTTGAGTTTTTCAAGTTTCTCGACAGCAGCTTTTTCTAAGTCGGGATAAAATCCTTCCTCTCCAGATCTGTAGTAGAAAGAAATATTTAATCAGATTTATACTGCATACAATAACTTTAGATACAGTCTGTACCAACTTATAGTAGATATCAATATAGAGAGGGGAAATAAAATAAAATGTGGTTTAACCTCCTACTTATTGGCACCGACATGTAAATGTGTTAGGTTCATATTCCACAATTTTATATGTATTATTTGAATGAAATATTCTATTTATATACATGGACCCTATAATACATTTCAATGAAAGAATATAATTACATATCTATCATTTAAAATATTCCCATCAATTAATATTTTATAAGTAGAAGACTTTTATAAATTGTTATAACTTTTGTTTAATGCTTTTTTATTGTACAATGAAATGTCCATGCAATTAAATATGTTTAAACTAACAGGTCTAATGTACATGGGCAAACGGTGTGCAATGAGAGAAATTTTGCCTGGGCAGCGGCGCTATGGCCAATTCTTATTTTGAATCCCAACTGTCAACTTGGGTTCTTGTACGTGCACACCAATGTGGACAGGACCTCGGTTTTCCATACCATTCGAACAAGTTTATGTCATCTCTTCCCCTGAGATGGGGAACCAAACCGGAAAATCCAGATGAACTTTCTCGGCCAATGCAGAGATCTAACTTGGGGACCTCAAGTCAGCTGACCAACATCTTACTCACTGAGCCACCGTAACTCCCCCGAGAGATTTTTTTATCTATGATATATCTCTTATAATGTTAAAACTCTTGTTTCCTTACCTCAAAACTTTGATGATTTTCTCCAGTTCCTTTATATTTTCACACTCTGATATAAACGTGTAGTCAAGGCAACTAAGGGGCAAGTCATATTTCTTTGTTTTTTCTAACTGTATTGCCGAATCTGTCATGGTTTAATTAATTCTAGTTTAATAATATTCACCTAAAATATAAAAAACAAATATATTTTTTTCGAACTATACTGCTGAATTTGTGATGGTAAAATTAACACTAGTTTGTGACTGTCATCTGTCTGGTCAGGGTTGGCGGCTACACTAGGGCTGTCCCAAGCGCCAAGAATTAAATTTGGTGTATGGAGGTAGCTTGGACCGGGGAGTAACAGAGGCTAAGTGGTGTTAGCCTACCGCTTCTGGAGTTACGGGCATAACCTGGGCAGTGCCGGGTTATCCACTAGTTATAACACATACTAAAAATTTATGTCGCCAAAATAAATTAGTAACTGATTGCCCATTCTCGGTACTAAATGTTTAGTAATGTTGAAATAATTTACTTCAACTTCTACCCACAACATTGTAAAGCGCATTGAGATATTATTTGTATATTGTAATGCGCTATATAAGAATAAATTATTATTAGGGTTTCACACTGCGTAGCTTGTGTGAAACACTATTGTTTTTGTTAAAATTATTATTAGGGTTTCACACTGCGTAGCTTGTGTGAAACACTATTGTTTTTGTTAAAATTATTAGGGTTTCACACTGCGTAGCTTGTGTGAAACACTATTGTTTTTGTTAAAATTATTATTCTTATTATTATTATTCTTCTTTTGTTTTGAGTAGATCTCAGCAACTGATTGTCGGATCGTTACGATTTCTTCGGTTTTATCGGAAAAGTGGGTGTGACTTAGAGGATAAAGCTATTTTGAACGTTCTGCGACAATGCGAAATGTCCGAAATCACCGAAGCTATCGTTTTTAGAAATATTGCAGTAATTTTAACAATAATCATTGGATTTTAACTTTCGATGCATTTTGGCATAGCCGGAGACGGGGCACATAGCTACGCTACTTTTGATTTTTGATTTTCGGCAAATCTTCGCAGATATTAGGCGCTAAATTTAGAAAATTTAAATTTTTACAAAAAACTTTTTTATTTATGAATATTTTTTAGTCGTGTTTTTCACAAATATAACGAGTCCTCTGACTTGGGCAAAAATGTGAAATATTTTTGTCTTGGTAATTTTCCTTGGCCCCCATTGGCTAATTCAGTTTTTCAGTCCTAGATTAATTATTTATTGTTCGATTTGTATAAAACAAAGTTCATATGCTCCGTTGTCTCAATTGTCATTTTTTTTGTTACCAATAGTGTTATCTGTCGGCACCGGAAGTGGCGTAAATTGACAAAAAACTACAATTTTGACAGTTAGGTACCATTTTTCGAAAGCAAATATTATTTTTTTCAAATCTGGTATAACTGAAATTGTGCGCCCTTTAAAGGCGCACAAAATGTTGGGACCAGTTTTTTTAATTTCGATTCCGTTTTCGGGCTATTTCGATTAAAAGGTGAAAAAAGGTGTAAAATTAAGCTATTTACAACCCATCCAGCGTTTTCATATTTTAAAATATTACTTCGTAACTTTCATAAACTCGTAGCAATAATCTATACGGAGAGAATGTATGTGAAAATTAATTTGTAATATGCGCAGTTGCCGAGAAATGGGCAATTTTGCATGAGTCACTTTTTACGCTAGTTTGCCTGTAAAAGAGTCAATTATTATTCGATTTTCATAAAAGTGACACCATTTGATGTGTAATGTCAATTTTAACTAGGTCAAACCAATTTAACATTTTCAATATCACCGGAAATGACGTAATTTGGGCAAAAATTGTATTTATAGCCTTCGAAACCAGTAATTTATTCAAATGAGTCATATTTGTTATTTGTTTAAAATTTTGATATTTGATTCAAATCAACTAATACAATGAACCCTTACGATCATATAGATATCACAAAATGGTTTCTAACTTGTTCAGTTGCGGAGAAATAGGCAATTTTCAACAGGTCACTTTTTAAGGTTTTTTGTCAATAAAAGTGTCAATTATTATTCGATTTTCATGAAATTTTCACTGTGTGATACATAATGCCATTTACGATTTCATACCAGTAATTTAAGATTTTCATTATCACCGGAAGTAACGTCATTTTGACAAAAACTGTATTTTTAGCCTTCAAAACAGATATTTTATTCAAATGAATCAGATTTGTAATGTTTTTAAAATTATGATATTTGATTCCAATCAACAAATAGAATGAACTCATTCGATCATACAGATACCTCAAAATGGTTTCTAACTTGTACGGTTGCAGAGAAATAGGCGATTTTCTACAAGTCATTTTTCAAGGTTTTTGGTCTATAAAGGTGGCAATTATTATAGGATTTACATAAAATTTTCACCATGTGATGATGCTATTTCTGATTTCATAAACCAATTTAACATTTTCATTATCACCGGAAGTAAAGTAATGTTGTTTCTGCGTCCATTTTATTTCATGTGTGCAATGCTTATGTGGAAACCTGTTTAACGGTTTCATTGGTACCGGAAGTGACATAAGTTCAAGGGTAACGTGGCACCGGTGAAACCCGTCATTACTGCTTCGCAGTTCTAGTTATTCTTATTATTATTATTCTTCTTTTGTTTTGAGTAGATCTCAGCAACTGATTGTCGGATCGTTACGATTTCTTCGGTTTTAGCGGAAAAGTGGGTGTGACTTAGAGGATAAAGCTATTTTGAACGTTCTGCGACAATGCGAAATGTCCGAAATCACCGAAGCTATCGTTTTTAGAAATATTGCAGTAATTTTAACAATAATCATTGGATTTTAACTTTCGATGCATTTTGGCATAGCCGGAGACGGGGCACATAGCTACGCTACTTTTGATTTTTGATTTTCGGCAAATCTTCGCAGATATTAGGCGCTAAATTTAGAAAATTTAAATTTTTACAAAAAACTTTTTTATTTATGAATATTTTTTAGTCGTGTTTTACACAAATATAACGAGTCCTCTGACTTGGGCAAAAATGTGAAAATTTTTTGTCTCGGTAATTTTCCTTGGCCCCCATTGGCTAATTCAGTTTTTCAGTCCTAGATTAATTATTTATTGTTCGATTTGTATAAAACAAAGTTCATATGCTCCGTTGTCTCAATTGTCATTTTTTTGGTTACCAATAGTGTTATCTGTCGGCACCGGAAGTGGCGTAAATTGACAAAAAACTACAATTTTGACAGTTAGGTACCATTTTTCGAAAGCAAATATTATTTTTTTCAAATCTGGTATAACTGAAATTGTGCGCCCTTTAAAGGCGCACAAAATGTTGGGACCAGTTTTTTTAATTTCGATTCCGTTTTCGGGCTATTTCGATTAAAAGGTGAAAAAAGGTGTAAAATTAAGCTATTTACAACCCATCCAGCGTTTTCATATTTAAAAATATTACTTCATAACTTTCATAAACTCGTAGCAATAATCTATACGAAGAGAATGTATTTGAAAATTAATTTGTAATATGCGCAGTTGCCGAGAAATGGGCAATTATGCATGAGTCACTTTTTACGCTAGTTTGCCTGTAAAAGAGTCAATTATTATTCGATTTTCATAAAAGTGACACCATTTGATGTGTAATGTCAATTTTAACTAGGTCAAACCAATTTAACATTTTCAATATCACCGGAAATGACGTAATTTGGGCAAAAATTGTATTTATAGCCTTCGAAACCAGTAATTTATTCAAATGAGTCATATTTGTTATTTGTTTAAAATTTTGATATTTGATTCAAATCAACTAATACAATGAACCCTTACGATCATATAGATATCACAAAATGGTTTCTAACTTGTTCAGTTGCGGAGAAATAGGCAATTTTCAACAGGTCACTTTTTAAGGTTTTTTTGTCAATAAAAGTGTCAATTATTATTCGATTTTCATGAAATTTTCACTGTGTGATACATAATGCCATTTACGATTTCATACAAGTAATTTAAGATTTTCATTATCACCGGAAGTAACGTCATTTTGGCAAAAACTGTATTTTTAGCCTTCAAAACAGATATTTTATTCGAATGAATCAGATTTGTAATGTTTTTAAAATTATGATATTTGATTCCAATCAACAAATAGAATGAACTCATTCGATCATACAGATACCTCAAAATGGTTTCTAACTTGTACGGTTGCAGAGAAATAGGCGATTTTCTACAAGTCATTTTTCAAGGTTTTTGGTCTATAAAGGTGGCAATTATTATAGGATTTACATAAAATTTTCACCATGTGATGATGCTATTTCTGATTTCATAAACCAATTTAACATTTTCATTATCACCGGAAGTAATGTAATTTTGACAGGATCACTGACATGTAGCAAATGAATTGATTGCTGGATTTGGTTGTTTCTGCGTCCATTTTATTTCATGTGTGCAATGCTTATGTGGAAACCTGTTTAACGGTTTCATTGGTACCGGAAGTGACATAAGTTCAAGGGTAACGTGGCACCGGTGAAACCCGTCATTACTGCTTCGCAGTTCTAGTTCTTATTATTATTATTATTCTTCTTTTGTTTTGAGTAGATCTCAGCAACTGATTGTCGGATCGTTACGATTTCTTCAGTTTTACTGAAAAAGTGGGTGTGACTTAGAGGATAAAGCTATTTTGAACGTTCTGCGACAATGCGAAATGTCCGAAATCACCGAAGCTATCGTTTTTAGAAATATTGCAGTAATTTTAACAATAATCATTGGATTTTAACTTTCGATGCATTTTGGCATAGCCGGAGACGGGGCACATAGCTACGCTACTTTTGATTTTTGATTTTCGGCAAATCTTCGCAGATATTAGGCGCTAAATTTAGAAAATTTAAATTTTTACAAAAAACTTTTTTATTTATGAATATTTTTTAGTCGTGTTTTACACAAATATAACGAGTCCTCTGACTTGGGCAAAAATGTGAAAAATTTTTGTCTCGGTAATTTTCCTTGGCCCCAATTGGCTAATTCAGTTTTTCAGTCCTAGATTAATTATTTATTGTTCGATTTGTATAAAACAAAGTTCATATGCTCCGTTGTCTCAATTGTCATTTTTTTTGTTACCAATAGTGTTATCTGTCGGCACCGGAAGTGGCGTAAATTGACAAAAAACTACAATTTTGACAGTTAGGTACCATTTTTCGAAAGCAAATATTATTTTTTTCAAATCTGGTATAACTGAAATTGTGCGCCCTTTAAAGGCGCACAAAATGTTGGAACCAGTTTTTTTAATTTCGATTCCGTTTTCGGGCTATTTCGATTAAAAGGTGAAAAAAGGTGTAAAATTAAGCTATTTACAACCCATCCAGCGTTTTCATATTTTAAAATATTACTTCGTAACTTTCATAAACTCGTAGCAATAATCTATACGGAGAGAATGTATGTGAAAATTAATTTGTAATATGCGCAGTTGCCGAGAAATGGGCAATTTTGCATGAGTCACTTTTTACGCTAGTTTGCCTGTAAAAGAGTCAATTATTATTCGATTTTCATAAAAGTGACACCATTTGATGTGTAATGTCAATTTTAACTAGGTCAAACCAATTTAACATTTTCAATATCACCGGAAATGACGTAATTTGGGCAAAAATTGTATTTATAGCCTTCGAAACCAGTAATTTATTCAAATGAGTCATATTTGTTATTTGTTTAAAATTTTGATATTTGATTCAAATGAACTAATACAATGAACCCTTACGATCATATAGATATCACAAAATGGTTTCTAACTTGTTCAGTTGCGGAGAAATAGGCAATTTTCAACAGGTCACTTTTTAAGGTTTTTTGTCAATAAAAGTGTCAATTATTATTCGATTTTCATGAAATTTTCATTGTGTGATACCTAATGCCATTTACGATTTCATACAAGTAATTTAAGATTTTCATTATCACCGGAAGTAACGTCATTTTGGCAAAAACTGTATTTTTAGCCTTCAAAACAGATATTTTATTCAAATGAATCAGATTTGTAATGTTTTTAAAATTATGATATTTGATTCCAATCAACAAATAGAATGAACTCATTCGATCATACAGATACCTCAAAATGGTTTCTAACTTGTACGGTTGTACAAGTCATTTTTCAAGGTTTTTGGTCTATAAAGGTGGCAACTATTATAGGATTTACATAAAATTTTCACCATGTGATGATGCTATTTCTGATTTCATAAACCAATTTAACATTTTCATTATCACCGGAAGTAATGTAATTTTGGTACCGGAAGTGACATAAGTTCAAGGGTAACGTGGCACCGGTGAAACCCGTCATTACTGCTTCGCAGTTCTAGTTATTATTATTATTATCCCCAGTATGTCACTGGGAATACCGAGGATGCTGTTTTCCAGAAGTATATGTTATAGTCTACTCTGTTACTTAATGCCCCGAAAAGTTAAGTCAAATAATATTTACCACAAACGAAAAGATAGGTTGCCAGACAACGAAACAAACGCCCACAACAGCTAAGTCGTCCAGGCAGTCAACAAGGGGCGTTGCATATTTATTCTTTTATCAGTGATAAAAACATTTACAAGACAGTAAAATCTGATTAACAGCAACAATCAGAAATCATTAGAACTTGTTTGGCTTCTACATTTACATGTTGTTCTGCCACATGCTAATGTTTAGCATCTTCAGAGAAAACAACTACAATGTACTCAAATGAAATTTGAAGCACAAGGACAAGATGAGCCATAATAACCAGTCATAGTAACTCTGCTTTTGCTTCAAATATCATTTGAGTAGTTGTGTTCTCTGAGGAAGTAAGTTTTAATACTTATGAAACCTTAGATGCTATTAAAAGGTGGTTTTGTGATACCGTACCCTTGACTTTGTTTTTAACCACTCCTACATGTACTACTGGTGTCATAGTATCAAGTTTATTATGACTTGGATCCCATCTAAGTTTATGTTATTCAATTGGTTTTGCATTTGTTTATTATTTGGTTGTTTTTTTTTGGGGGGGGGGCAGGGGGTGGGGGGAATTTAGTCAGTCTGTGCAACCAAAATTGTATGTCAACATAGATGTTGTTGGCCACCGGGAATCTATTTATTAAATATAAATGGGGTCACTTTTGACAAACAGGAAGTATTTTACGGATGGGACAAAAAATAATCCTCGTATCTCGTTTTTTTATCAACGGATCTTTGTCAGGTTTTCATTTTTGGATTCTTTGCCTGAATCCCTTATGGGCTCTGACGTACGTTTTTTCGAAATTCGGAAGTTCGCTCCCATTTAGATTTAGCATCAAAGATTTGAAAAAGTTTTCTTTATCATTTGTTGTATCAAGTTGAAACTTAGTAGAAATAAGGAACACGGAACACACTGATGGCTTCAAAATGGCACATTCAAAAATTTTGTGACCACTTCCGGAAATTACCGAGGCCTTCGGATTTTTCCCAAACATGAATAGTTCTCTCCATTGTAAAAATAGATCAAAAATGACATATGATGGTGTTAGCCCCATATATTTTTTTTCATTTTCGGAGACCTTGTTACATAACATTTTCAACCGTTTGGCCGCCATATTGGATTTTACAAAAAATCTTCAAATCGATATTCAGTCGCCAATTTGATTCCGATTTTAGAAAACTTTTTTTGTTTTGAACCTACATGTACTCCAATTGGCAACAATCCTTTTAATGACCCTTGACATTTTCATATATGGTGACCGTCATGTCTACTAGCAATTAATATCAAAATGTTCGGTCTTGAAGTATAACTTCCAGTTTTATTAAGAGTTCAACTTTAATAGGTACTGGATATCATTATACTCAATAACGCATGGTGTAACTTGATTGTTGTTGTGATCAGGCGTGACGTAACGTACTAAAACACGTCAGTACTCTTTGGAGTTCTAGTCTTTTTTTTAGAGTAACATTTCAATGTGGGCGTATAAAAACTATTGCCAAATCTGTCATGCGTTTTTAATACTAGTTTAATAACAAAAAAACAAAAAAAATGAAGTTCAGTTTTATCACACTAACACTGGAATAACAATTACTGGTTTATTAACATGCAACGTTTCGGCGATGATACTCTCATCTTTATCAGTTTTACTAACACAATACTTTTGGGTCATTCAAGCTGTTAATTTTCATCTGACAGTTTGTATTGTAATTATGGATGTGGACTTTCCAAATAGCATAAAGGGCCTCTGTTACGGCACCAACTTCCAGAAAACTTTAAACGTCACCTCCCAACCCCAACCCCAATTATTTTGCAAATTATGTGTTGGTTTTTTTTTTACTTTAAATAGTGTCCAGGGAGGCAGGAACAAGTCCTCAAGACCCCCTTTTGGCTTTGTGACACTGGCAGCCCGCCCACCCACCAACCCACGTGCTATGTGACACTGGCAGCCGACCCACCAACCCACATCCTAATGGTACAACAATATCTTGAAGTTCTTTATTTAAATTATCCAATATCCAATATATTAAATCAAACCCACGACGTTAAGAAGAGAGTGTTTGGTTGAAATAATAACATCATCCCCAATCGAGGAGTCTGTAATTATACCGGGTACCTTCAAACTGATAGAGTAAGGTAGTGTAATTATCATAAAGGCGCAGCATTCAGCACTGCCACTAATTGGCCATGCCATATAAATTAATCTTCCATAGGCCTATTCCTGCACTAAAACTTTGTCCTCACATCCACGCCCACGGCCTGGGAGGGAGTCAGAGTGGGTACTTCCTGTTTGCCTCTCTAAGTGTGAAACTTGGGCTTTAATCACTGCCATTCAATTAATCCCTAAAGATATTCATCCACAGACCCTTATTCAAGAATACTGATCATTATATCTTACATTACATAACATCAAAATCAGTGATAAAATCATTCATAACTTTATTTCGTTTTATTTTTTTGTGAATTCGGGGAGTTGTGATTTTTACGTAGTTGTTTCGATTTCACTTTTCCTGATTTCTGGTCACACTCACAAAAATCAATGATTTTCTGTTCACCAAACAACGCAATTATTGAATAAAGCTATACTCACGTTAAATAATGAATTCGGTTAGCATCAGTGTTAATTTGGGATAAATTTAAATGGCAAAAACGTTGTTAGATCATGCTAAAATGGTATGATGTGACCATACACGCTGTTCTTCGCCTTGTTTGTTACCTGTCATCGTTCATTTCCGGAGCGAGGCTATCAGCTGTAAATAGATCAAGATTAGGACGCGGATCACCATAACGTATTTTCGCGCCAAATTATTGAAGTATACTTTTCGTCGATATGCACGTGCGTACGGTTTGTTTTAATACGGGATGAATTAAGACATTTTTTTTTCATTTTGAGCCCATTAGTAGCATGCTTATATTTTTGGTGAAACATTGAAATGTTTATTAATTGATCACGAGATCGACAGTGGCGCAGCCAGTATGTCAGGACAGTCTCCCCTCTCCTCCATTGTGAAGAGACGTAAATAGGCTCAGGCCTAAAAACCCCGTTTATTAAACATACATTATGCAAGAGCTAAATCTGCCTATTGCAGGTCTTTCTTTAGGCCTGGAATGTTATATAAACTATTAAAGATACATTATGTAAGATTTAGATAAAGAGCTAGCCATTCTTGATATAATAGTTCGAAAATAGATAATGTAAAATGAATAATTTGAAAATTTCATTCCAATTACTCTATTGCGAGCGAAGATATTAGCCTTTGAAGGTTTGACAAGACGTGTGCAATAATTGCAACCACCGTACTGGTTGTTCGAAGCTAAGTCTCGCTCCTCCATTTTTAAATTAAATTAAAAAATGACCGAAGTGTTCTAATCTATTTAATATCGGAGAAATTCAATGCCATCGAGAGTTGATTATAGCCTGGATAAGTTAATTAATGTCTAATTAATAATTTAGAAGACATTTCAGGCTTAAAGAAAGACCTGCAATAGGCTTATAGGCTGTATGTTTAATTAGACAGTTATTGACAAAATAAGATCATACTCAACTCTCGATGGCATCGGATACTCAAGATTTTAACTAGATTAGGATGGTTCGCCATTTAAAAATTTAACTTAAAAATGGGAAAGCGAGGCTAAGTCTCGAATATACCAGTGCCCTGGTTACCACTATGCACACATCTTGTCAAAACTACAAACAGTGATAACTTGGCTCAGAATGGAGTGATTTGAATGTAATTTTCAATATTTTCATTTTGATCTATTTTTGAGATATTATATCAAGAATGGTCAGCTCTTTATCTAAATCTTACATAACGTATCTTTATAGAGACATTATGCGGAAGCCGAATTTTCTGATTCCAGGACTTCAATTGTTACATAGATCATATTTATGAATCCTTCACAAATCAAGCTCCCCCCCCCCCCACACACACACACATACACACATACCCACCCTCGACCATTGGATGGCTTAGATATTGAGTTGATTAGATAGTGCTCGCCGCATCGAAGTTAAACGCTGATATGGCCGACGAAGCCCAAACATTCTAAAATGCATGACCTCAGACAAGGTGACTGCCGAGTGCCGACAAAAGGCTTCCTATTCTTGGATTTGAAGTTAACATAAATTTAATTGCATCTGCAACCCGATGAAAGTTGACATTCATATCTCCGCTGAGAATAAAATAATCCGAATGACATTTTCTATTTTTGAGCTACTACAACCAATCTGTTTCACATTGGTAATGCGAATATTAAACCAGTTTGCTTTAATGCTTTGACAGCAGGAACTGTCAAACTTTTTTCTTTTAAATCTCGCATATAATTCCTGTTTTAAAAATAGTCTGTGTTTTAATCAGGGTGTTCCTGTTTTAAAAATTATCTGCCCTTCTGACATGAGTATGTGGGGGTACTCGATTGAACGTTCCGGAATTGAATTATTTCAATCCCAAAAATAGTGACAATCGAGTGAAAAGGTGGATTTCGGGCTACAACGCATGCGTCGACTGAATAAGTTAATATCTCAACCACGCAACCATGCAGCCGAAACCTTTTAATTACGTCACGATTCTACTCACACCACCTCCGTTGTCGGGACTGACAGAACTGTGACAGAACTGAATTCCGCGTTACTCGATTGCAATTCTGTCAATTTGGGACGTTCTGGACTGTGAATCGCGCATCCCCATTATGTTTAGCTGAAATGTAATTTTTATCCGAGTAAGTTCCTCGAGATTTTTGTCAATGGTGCAGGACGAAGGGTTTGGCAAGAAACGGCGTCTAATCGTTCCTAGGTGACGAAAATCCAAGGTCTCGTGCAGTTGGCTTGCACGTAAGTGACGTAATAGTACCCGCCATATTCGATGAAAATAGTCTAAAACGACACTGTCCGGGCAAAATTTCACTAATAACACACTGTATATGGTTTAAGTTCTTCTTTATTATCCCGATTGATGCAAAAAAATATGCTTGCCCCAATGCCCTGGTGCTAGCCCCCGCTCCCAGGGCAGGTTGTGGAAGGCCTGAAGTTACAGGATCTGAATATATTACAGGATATATATGAATATCGAAGGCCAACTATGCTTTACTTCACGAATAGTAATTTATTAATATCCGAAAATAGCCACACCTAGCAGCCCTTTTTTACCGTCTTGGAACCGCCATTCATAATTACGGTGTATTACTCATACTCGACCTCTATAGGTTCTCTACTTGCGATTTTCCATTTCTCTTTATCGCGCATTTTGATTGGTTGTTGTACACGGCATATACTTAGCCCCACCTTCCTGATGTTAAGACGTCAGATCAAATGTCGGGCGTAGGAAAAGCTTTCAACTCTTCGATTTAAAAGAGATGATTTGTACCTGTGCGAGGCAGGTTATATATTTTTAATTGTCATTGGGTGTTGCAGTAACTTGCAGAAATGTAATAAATAACGATAACCAATCGTTGTTTTGAAGAAAAGTCGACAGTTTGGATTGTTGATTTCCGATGTGATTGACATCAGCAGATCTATATATAGCATCATCTCTACCAGAAAGATCTATATATAGCAACATCTACCAGAAAGATCTATATATAACAACATCTCTACCAGACAGATCTATATATAGCATCATCTCTACCAGAAAGATCTATATATAACAACATCTCTACCAGAAAGATCTATATATAACAACATCTCTACCAGAAAGATCTATAAATAACAACATTTCTACCAGAAAGATCTATATATAATAATATCTACCAGAAAGAACTATATATAACAACATCTCTACAGGGTCGAGAGATGAGTTTTTTTTTATCTACTCGTACATGATTATACAATGCGATTGAGAAAGAACTATATATAGCACCATCTCTACAGGGAGGTAACAGGGTCTGGAGATAAAGTTTTTTTTATCCACTCGTACATGATTATATACAATGCAATTGAGAAAGAGTCAGACGCTGCCGAATGTACGTAGCTCCACGTGAGGTAGAAAGCGTTCAACGCAACGAAAATTTTGGAAAGATTTAAGAGTCGGACAAATAGACGATAATTTACGTTAACGTTAATGTGGAAACTGTTGCCATATTGCCAGAAACTCGAATGAAGTCCACGTCGTAAATTAGATACAACCTGGAAGACGAAAAATCAGAATGGCTGACAACATGACTGTTCTAACTTCCTGAAGTTAAAAACATTAGCATATCTTGTTAACCGGCAAAAATATTAGAAATATAGTGAAAAGGTATAACATATGAACCAACTACAGACGCTCCACTTACTAATAGATCGGATAACTGCATGTTAAGTCTTCGGGTAAAGAAAAATTCTTTGCTCGATATTAGGAATTTTAGTCATGTCGAAGTCATGTCATGGACATGCATGTTTGCATCAGATAATACAGAATTCCCTATATATATATATACATGATTAGAAGGACTGTATGTATGTAGGTGGTTATAGTTGGGCAGACAGGTCGAAAAAGTGTTTGGCAATTTGTTGTTATTTCCATTTCGCTTATAGATAGAGTAGATCTTCTTCTTCCTCTATAGTGCCTGACTCTAGTAGAGTGTAAATATGCACTGGTGCATCCCGAAAGACAACTAAAAACCATCTGGCTTGTATGTACAGTTAAAAACGGTTTAAAAACGGGGCAGTTCACTTCACACATTGGGGGTTGATGTTGGTGGCTTGTGTTATTTCGTTTGGCATTCTGTTCCAATCTGTGGTGGTCCTTGGAAAGAAAGAGTACTTGTACACGTCTCTATGAGTTGGTGGTTGACGGTACTTGTTGGTTCCTCTAGTTCTGCCATCGCCTGGTGTTAAGTAGTCTAGCGGTGGGATGTCTATCAGCTCATGTGTGATCTTGTAGAACATGGCTAGTCTAGACCTGACTCAGCGTGTTTCTAATGACTCCCACTGTAGCTGTTGAAGGATGGATATGGATTCAATGTTATTCATTATTCACAAAGCTATATCTGTGATCGAGTGTACACCAAGTCCCACTTGGCACGTATGGCATCAGCAATAACTAATTAACTATAGGCCTACCTTGTAATTATAAGCTTGTAGAAAATATACTGTAGACCGAATAGCAATCGGTAGCTGGTTTTATACCTCATCCAGCGTAGTGATACGGGAACATGTTTTGGTTAGTCTTGATAACCCTGATTATACAGATGGGTCCTCATTGGTTGATACACTGGAAACGTAGTTCAGCGGTAAAATCACAACACATACATGTAGAAACAATTGCAATGGGATTCATGATGGATCAGTGAATAGGGTGCTGGCTCTAGTATAACTAACCAAGTTCTATCTAGGTGTTTACTGAGAAAGCTTCCCTTGTCAGTGGTACATGACAGAGACCAAGGAACAGTGTCTAGTCCTTCAGATGGGACAGAAAATTGAGGTCCAGTGTACACGTTGGCTTGTACTTAGAATAACCCCTGAAAGTTGGAATTTGAAATAAGTTTAGGCAGTGCCTCTTTCAGGCAATATTTTCCTCGTTAGACTGGTGGGGGCAGAAAAGTAATACTTTAACTCCATTTTATATGAGTTTAAGTTTAGTGGATGTTAAAACCCAATTATTTCTGATTGGTTGATGATTTTAGATCTATCTTTGATTCTTATTGAGAGAGAGTGATGAAACGTGGTGTATGATTTCAGTATACTGTCAAAACCTTGACTAATCTGAAATGAAATGAGGTTAAATGTCCTACTGTTCTGCTCCGACTGGGCTAATGAAGACGGCCATACGCCATACAGTGTGCTATTAGAGAAATTTTGTTCAATAAGAGGCACTATGGCCTACTCATATCAAATTCCAACTGCCAAGGGATCTTTTACGTGCACACTAATGTATACAGGGGATCTCGGTTTTCATCCTTGTCAGGCCCTCGGCCCTGCACCACTGACAAGGGGAAACCACGTCGGATAATCCCAATGTAGGGATCGAACACCCAATCCCTAAGCTAGCGAGCCAAAGTCTTGCCCACTTCGCCACTTGACTAATTTGACAAATATGCAGTTAATTAATGTTTCATCTGGTTATCTTGGGATTGAGGCAGGGGACAATAGCGTTGTCCAATCAGAGGTTGTGACACAAAACACTCAAATTAAACATGGCGACATTCAACAAAATTTGAATTTGACAAGTGGATTATCACAGGTATACATGTTAGCTGGAAAGTGCGAGACTTGGTATTTGCAGGGATATTTTCTATCAAGGAATCTGAGAGATCCCCAGCTAGGTCAATAGCCAATCGAAATTAATAACAAAATAAGCTAGGTATTATGTGAACCACTTGATAAGATGTACAAAGTTAAGGCACCTGTCACAGACCTCGTCAGATACAGACTATTATACAACACATTATTATTATTATTATTATTATATGTTGTCTGATAGTCTGACAAGTGACAATGTCTAGGGGGGGTGGATGGCCGAATGGTTAGCGCGAGTGTGTGTTGCATCATAAGGTCTGTCATTGAGTCAACTGGTGTGGTTTCAATTCCCCGGTTGTACATGTACATATCAAAGAGTAGGGTCGTCTGTCCAACTTCATAGGTTTTCTCTGGGTCCTCCAGTTTCCTCCCACTGCTGAAGACCCCTACGTGCAAGTGAATTATTGAAATAAAATTGAACCATATATAGACCTGATATGACCTAGTTTGTGTCGAGTGGACGTTCAACTCTCTCTCTCTCTGACATGACAACTCTCTAATAATTTGTGTCTGACAATGTATGTGACGGGTGCCATAAATGTCGAGGCTTGCTGTAGGTTTGTAGCCTAAATTGATATTATCAAGAATAATTTAATTTTATTTGTAATTGTGTATATTTCAGTAGATGTAGATAATTGAGATGTCGTTACGCCCGAAGAAGATTGATTTTGGTCCGGTTTGGGACGTATTATTAGTCACAGTAAAAGGTGTGATAACTTGTGGTAGCGTGGAGAGAAGGGTCTGGAACGACAGATTTACATATCCTTTTTTATACACCCATCTGTTCGTCATTCAATCTGAAAGTCATTTACATTGCTGAGATGAAGAAGCCTATTTAGTTTCAATAATAACTGTTAATTACATCAAGAGTTATGACACTTGTTTCACTTTGTTGCAGCTTGTGAAGCTCTAACATCAAACATTATCTGCCGATATATGCTTCATTTAGATTAGTAAAAAGGAAGAATCCTGTTGAATTTCAGCAATTTCTGTTAATTACATCTAGAGTTATGGCCCTTATTTCACTTTGTTTAACTTCATGGGTGTTTCTCCAGGTAATCCAGACCCCTGCGCGTGGGCTAAGATAATAAAAATAAGACAACTTGTCTGAGATATCACCCTTGGTGGATGCGGGTGTTAAACACTACAAACAACAACAACATAAGGCACCTGTCACAGACTGAATAAAGTGGTGGAGGTGTGGCGTGGTGTGGTCTTCATTCCCAGCTTGTACATGACAAGGATTAGGGTCACCTGCTCAACCTATACATATACTGTTCAACCTCGTAGGTTTTCTCTGGGTGCTCCGGTTTCCTCCCACTGCTATAGACCCCTACGCGCAAGCAAATTATTAAAATAAAATTAAACCATATGTTAGTCCCAAAATGACCTAGTTTGTGTTGAGTGGACGTTAAACCAGATTTCTCTCTATATATATACATATACTGAATTAAGGAAGGTTAAGTAGCCAAATGGGCTAAAGGCTGATTTATATGCCACCTCGAGAAGCCTCGAAACCAAGCTTTACCTGCGACACTGAGCAAAGCTAGGCTAAGCAAAAAAATTCAAAAGCTGGCGATTGTAGTAAGCAAGGCTGAGCCAAGCTGGTCTTGTCGTGGGCATTCATGTTGTTAGATGGATCACATGATCGCAACAGCAGACCTCTTGTTGCTGATTGGATGATTGGCTGCAATGTTTTGACGGAAGTATAATTCGGCCTTAAGGCATGTGCTGTAGATCATAAGATCTGTGATTAAGTCAAGTGGCGTGCCTTCGATTCCCATCTTGTATGTGAGTAGGATTAGGATCGCTTGTAAAACCTCTAGGGTTTGTGTAGAGTGAACGTTAAACGCCATTTCTATATCGATCTGATTAAGATACAGATCTATATTTCGTTTCGTTTTTTTTTATAATTTCAATGGCCTCTACTACATGAAGATCTGACAAGTTATAGTGGGAGGTCGTGTCGGGGGTCATACGAGCGGCTTTTGACCCTATGATGCTAGATATTGATTAATCAATCAGCATTGACGTTTCTAGTGGGATACCCACAGTTCCGTGCAGAGCAGGCCAAGAACTTGCCGTAACAGACCATTTCATTGACTAATTCCTCACATCAACTAGAACTCCTGTTATATAACAACTCTTCAAGATCCTAGTGTTGTGAAGACAAGTAAAATGAAATTTTAAACTAAAAAAACGAAACCAAATAGGATTTGTGTTTTAATAACAATAATCGTTTTCTATAGCGCTGAACATTTAGTCAGTCTGACTGCTCTGTGGCGCTTTACAATGTAGATATGATTATAATAAACATACATGTATATACAAATAAACAAAAGAATACAAAGGAATAGTCAAGTTACAGTATACAAATGGAAATCAGATTGTTTCTATCTCTCTATTATATCCTTAATCACAATGTACAGATGTATATAAATTATGTGTAAGTTGTCCCGAACCACTTGGTGATAGACTTTATCAAGAAACAAAAAATTTCCTGGAAGATCATGTTACTCAGTTAAACAAGGTAAGGCATGGTCCAAGGGGGATAACTTGTCTCATGGGGTCAGACCACACCCATTTTAATCATAACTTGGTGAATTCATTTGAACCCCATCCTTTTTATGCATAATGTGGTGAATTCATTCATTCATTTTCATTAGTTATGGTCAAAGGGGAGTAACTTCTCTCATGGGATCAGACCACAGCCAGGTTAATATTAACCTAGCGGTTTCATTCGGACCACACCAGGGATAGATTTTAGAGGAGCACAGGCTTTGATTTTAGAGGAGAGGTTATGGTGTTGAATATGTTCGTTTATTTTACAAATTTTCAATTTCTTCAATTAGAAATGTTAAAAAATTAGAATCTCATAATCCTATTAACATTTAGAGGAAGGCATTGTAAACAGTGCCCCTAAACTTGACCAATTCCTGTCACACCCCATTGATACATTTATACATAATGTGGTGAATTCATTCATTCATTTTCATTAGCTAAAAGGTGGGGTGGATGGTTAGTAAATGTGTGTTGTATCATAAGGTCTGTCATTGAGTCAACTGGCTTGGTTTTGATTCCCTATTTGTATGTGACAATGAATAGGGTCGGCTGTCCAATCTCGTGGGTTTTCTCCTGGTCCTCTGGTTTCCTCCCACTGCTAAAGACCCCTAAAATAGAACCATATGTTAGTTCTGAAATGACCTAGTATGTGTCGAGATGGACGAGTGGACATTAAACTCTCTCTCACTCTCTCCCTCTCTCTCTCCCTTCTCTCACTCTCTCTCTCTCTCTCTCTCACTCTCTCACTCAATCACTCCCTCACTCTCTCTCTCTCTCTCACTCTCTCTCTCTCTCTCTCTTAATTAAAATTGTTAGTAAACAGGCTCTAGTCATGAACGTGGGATTCCCAGAACTTTTCAGTGATTTTTCTGCACACATGGAATTATAAAAAATCGTGGTCTTAGCCTTATGTATCAACCCTTAGCAGCGGTACAGCATCATCCCAATCTAGATTAGGTTTCCTGCGGGGTATTGAGTAATTAATTACACCTGACTTACAAGGGTTTAATCTTTATATGATTTATTTCATGTATGCTAGGAGGTGTTAAGTAACTGTGATGAAAACTTGTTGACGTTTATCATAAACATCTTTATATGATTTGTTTCATGTATGCTAGGAGGTGTTAAGTAACGGTGATGAAAGCTTGTTGACGATTTATCATAAACATTGGGAAGAATATAGTCGTGGTTCAGGTTATTTGAATCAACTGTATGGGTGAGTAAATATCATACTAATTAACACTGTAACCTGGCTAGCATTTAATCTTGGGTATTTAGCTCTCATTTCTTTAACATTCATTCAATATCAAATCTAGCCTCGAAAATTTGTTATGAAATGTCTAAAATCACCCAAAATCATCTAATTTGGGCTCAAATTGAAGATAGTCTAGTACCATTAATCAGTGTCCGTAACATTTTACAATGTTGTGTACCTGTGTACAGGTAAAACATTAAATAGAGTTACCTCCCCCTTATTACAGCAGATAATCCATACAGTGGTTTTTATTTGTGTCCCTTTTGAAGTTAAATGGTAATAACTGAAAACCAGAATATTTTTTATATAGCCACTAATTGTGTGTTATGGCTAGTTTAACACACATACAAAAAATTGAACTCGACTCACTACAAACTTTTGCGATTTCAAGCTCTGTTCAGTTCCTTGTATCTGATGTCTTGGAACCATGATGCATATCAAGTGCTTAGTTGGCTAAAATGTTATGCATTTTTTTGAGTATTTGTACTGTATTTTTATATTGTTTTTGAATATTTGTATTTATATGTTTGTAGTTATTTAAATACAACGTTTATAAAAAAACAGAAATACAGTGAAGCTGATTTAAACTATGGTGGATTTGCTATTGATGTTGTTGACCAGATGTTAGAGATAGGGGAGGTAATCTATAATTATTGATTTATTGATAGGAGAGGGGGTGATCTATAATTATTGATCTATTGATAGGGGAGGGGTGATTTATTGTAGGAGAGAAGGGGTGATCTATTGATCTATTGATAGGAGAGGGATGATCTATTGATAGAAGAGGGGTGATCTATTGATAGGAGAGGGGTGATCTATTGATAGGAGAGGGGTGATCTATTGATAGGAGAGGGGGGATCTATTGATAGGAGAGGGGGGATCTATTGATAGGAGAGGGGTGATCTATTGATAGGAGAGGGGTGATCTATTGATAGGAGAGGGGGGATCTATTGATAGGAGAGGGATGATCTATTGATAGGAGAGGGGGGATCTATTGATAGGAGAGGGGTGATCTATTGATAGGAGAGGGGGGATCTATTGATAGGAGAGGGGTGATCTATTGATAGGAGAGGGGTGATCTATTGATAGGAGAGGGGGGATCTATTGATAGGAGAGGGATGATCTATTGATAGGAGAGGGGGGATCTATTGATAGGAGAGGGGTGATCTATTGATAGGAGAGGGGGGGATCTATTGATAGGAGAGGGGTGATCTATTGATAGGAGAGGGGGGATCTATTGATAGGAGAGGGGTGATCTATTGATAGGAGAGGGGTGATCTATTGATAGGAGAGGGGTGATCTATTGATAGGAGAGGGGTGATCTATTGGTGATTTACTTGCTGTGTGGGTATGTTTCGTTGTCTGGCAATCTATCTTGTATTTTTTCAGTTGGCGCTAGACATATGGAAAAGATTGATGATAGAACCTCTTAAATCACAATTATTAACTCTTTTATTACAAGATATAAAAAGGTAGGCTCATTCCTTTCTTATCAGGCCTTGTGTGGTTGTGTGGCCGAATGGTTTAAAGTGTGCGCGTTAGATCATAAGGTCTGTCATTGAGTCAAGTGGTGTGGTTTCGATTCCCCACTTGCACGTGACAAGGAGTAGGGGTCACCTATCTAACCTGATCAGGTTTCTCCTTGTCCTCCGATTTCCTCCCCCAGATAATTTAAAGACCCCAACACTCAAGCAACCAATCGAAATAAAATTGAACCATATGTTAGTCCCAGAATGACCTAGTTTGTGTCGAGTGGATGTTACACCCCAACACACTGCATGGCAGTGTGCTCTTCTTCATTATCTCATCTGGTGAAGATCCAACCTCGTGGGTTTTCTCCGGGTCCTCCGGTTTCCTCCCACTGCTAAAGACCCCTACGCGCAAGCGAATCGTTAAAATAAAATTAAACCATGTGTTAGTCCCGAAATGACCTAGTTTGTGTCGAGTGGACGTTAAACCCCATTTCTCTCTCTCTCTCTATCTGGTGAAGAAAAGTAGGATATAAAACTGAATTTCATTTTATTAGTTCATTTGTTATTATTAATTCATTTGTTATTAATTCATGTGTTATTGTTATTAATTCATGTGTTATTGTTATTAATTCATGTGTTATTGTTATTAACACATTTGTCATTGTTTTTTTTTTGTTTTTTTTGTTTTTTTAAAATTCAATTGTTATTGTTATTTATTCATTTGTTATTGTTATTAATTCATGTGTTGTTGCTATTAACACATTTGTCATTGTGTTTTTTTTTTTTAAATTCAATTTTTATGGTTATTTATTCATTTGTTATTATTAAATCATTTGTTATTAACACATTTGTTATTATTAATAACACAGTTGTTATTGTTATTAACAGTGTTATTAATTCATTTGTTATTAACACATTTGTCATTGTTGTTTTCCAGAGATAGAACTGGTACATCTGTGAGCCATACTGTTATTCATGGGGTTATTAATTCATTTGTTAATGTTGAAGAATATAAAAATAAACATGCAATGCAGGTGACTAGTAAAATTATTTATATCGATGAAATGGGTTTAATGTCCACTTGACACAAACTGGCCTGCCTACCTACCTACGTGGGTTTTCTCCAGTGAAGTGGGTAGGAGACTGGTGCTGAGTAGTGTAACAGGTGCTTGTGTGTGTCATTCAGTTGAATGACATGGTGCTAGCCTGGAGGTCATGTGTACAATCCCTGCATTGGCCGAGAAAGTTCATTCAGATTTTCCGGCGTGGTTTCCCCTTGTCAGTGATGCAGGATTGAGGGCCTGACAAGGACAACTGTCTAGTCATTCGGATGAGACGAAAAACTGAGGTCCCGTGTACACATTGGCGTGCACGTAAAAGATCCCTTGGCAGTTGGAATTCGATATAAGAGTAGGCCGTAGTGCCGCTGCCCCGGCAAAATTTCCCTCATAGCACACTGTATGGCGTATGCCGGTCTTCATTAGCCCAGGTTAGGAGCAGAACAGTAGGACGTTAAACCCCATTTCATTTCATTCCATTTTGAATGACATGGTTTTTGAACCGAGGCTTGTTCATGACTAGTAGAAGGGTTGACTGCCTAACTTCCTGGATCCTCAGGTTCCTCCTAGTGTTAAAAGACCCTTACCAAGGTTTGCACACTCCTTGAAACTCCTTGAAAATCCTGGAAAAATGAAAATGTAGTCTCACACAACAACTTTTGGTCTTCGAAGGAATTATTAGTGAGCAGAAATTCGCCCCTGTATCTGTTATCAACCCATCACTTCAGTCAGTTATATAGAGGGATAACTCGTGTTTTCCTTTTGCGTTCGTCACTTCCGGTTGTTGAAACATTGATTAGTCATCTATTGTAGCAATGATCTCTGTGATAAATTATATTTGGAATGTGTTTAACCAGTTCTATCACATATGTAATAATGACTGACACCAATATTGTTCTTTAAACCCAATATATCATTCTTTCTCTCTAAATGCTAAGACCATGTTGATGAAATCTAAGCGAAAGACAGTCATTCAAATTATTAAAATGTTTTTATTTTATTTTCAGTTATATGAACAGTTATTTGAAATTCCGTTTTTACATGAAACAGGTGAATATTATCGACAGGAAGCTCGTCAATTAAAAGATACCTGTAATTGTTCCGAATATATGGAGAAGGTAATATTTTACGGATAGATTATTGAAAATTAATGCTCTACTTTGGGGGAGGGGGTTTGTGGCCGATCAGTCTAGTTCTGTCATTGAGTAAGTGGCATGGTTTTCAATACCCTGCTTATCTAACCTTGTGGCTTCTTCCAGGTGGCCAGGTGGTCTGGTTTCCTCCCACAGCCAAAGACCTCTACGTGCAAATGGATTTTGGAAATATAATTGAATTATATGTTAGTCCCGAAATGACCTAGTTCGTGCAGAGTGGGTTTATAAATCCCATCTCTGTCTGTGTTACTTTCTCTCCCGCTCTCTCCCCCCCCACCCCGCTTTAATTCATCCATACAAATGTTAAGAAATTGTTCGTCCATTTCCCCTATGATTTTAAAACCCCCCAACTTATTTCAGTTTGTTTTTTCAGTTTTATCTATGATTTAAATAAAATTGCTACATATTTGAAAATTTTGTAGGTCATTCAAAGACTAGATAATGAAGATTTTAGAAGTAGAAAATTTTTACATCCCACTTCGTACGCTAAAGTTACTAATGAATGTCAAATGAGATGTGTGGCGGACCATCTTCAATTTTTACACGGAGAATGCCGTGAAATGGTCCAATCAGAGAGGAGAACAGGTGAAATATTATTTGTATTAATGCACTATAAAAAATATATTCTTGTTTTCACTTAAAAAAGGGCTGCATGACCTATTTTTATTTCCACATCATGAAATGTTGTGAAATGGGCTAAGGTGAATTTTGTTGTGCACTATTAGCATAATTTTTGTGGAGTTTTTGTGCTGAAAATTTATTATTTATTGTTCTGTATTTAACAGATTTAGGTAATATGTATAAATTATTACGACCGATACAGTCTGGGCTAGGAATTCTGGTACAGGAAGTGGAGGAATATATCAAACAAATCAGTCTAGAGGTCGTTAAAACATTAAAGGCAGATAATGTAAGTATATAATCACTATAGCCATATAGACGTGTTCGATGTTGAAATTCTTGATGAAAATTAACCCCTCGACCAAAAAAACGGTTATTGATAAAGGTTTTGTCAATTTCAGTGGCCTTTTCCCCAATCCCTATTCAGATAAAAAAAAGTTCAGATCACACATAATGTATAAAAATATCTGCTACCTATATGATAGCAAACATTCTGTTTATGTCACCAAGCCTAGAGATGATGGCCGAATGGTTAATGTGTGCACATTGCATCATAAGGTCAGACATTGAGTCTGGGCTTGTATGTGACAAGTAGTAGGGTAGCCTATCCAACCTCATGGGTTTTCACTGGGTCCTCTGGTTTCCTCACACTGCTAAAGACTCCTACGCACAGGTGTTAGTGCGAAATGACCTAGTTTGTGTCGAGTGACGTTGAAACCTCTCTCTCTCTCAGGATGAGGTTCAGAATAATTTGCTCTGATTTTTGTTTCTCCTATGTTTTTATGTATACCTCTAATAGCTAGAGTGATACAAGATTTGTTAGTTAATATACAGGCCTGAACGTCATCATCATCATGGTAAATGAATGTATTTTATTTGATTAGATGCCGACGCGGTTTGTGGAGTCGATGTTAGATATACATGATAAATATACAGAATTAATAAAAAACGTCTTTAGTGGTGATCAACAATTTGTTGGCGCTCTCGATAAGGTAAGCACTTTCTCAATGTCAATCTCGGGTCCTTAGCACCATAATCCAGGTGTATCACTTAATCTTGCGTATTTAGTATTATTATCTTTCACATTCAATATCAAACCTTTGTATGAAAATTAGTAAAAATCTTCTAAAATCACCCAAAGTCATGTAATTGTTACTAGTGTCCAGTTTAAAGGTGACTGTGTAATGTATTGGCGTTTAATTTACCTGTCACTGTTCAAAAATAAACAACCCACAACCCAATAGATTATTGGTGTATAATGATTAATTTTTAATTTTTTAACAGTGGTGGGGGGGGGTGTTGGATGGCCAAATGGTTAGCACGTGTGCACTGTATTTTAATGCCTGTCATTGAGTCAACTGGCGTGGTTTCGAATTCCCTGTTGTAAGTGACAAGGAGTAGGGTCGCCTGGCCAACCTTGTGGGTTTTCTCTGGGTCCTCCCGTTTCCCCCCTCTTCTAAATAACCCACACACAAGTGAATTATTAAAATAAAATTGAACCATATGTTAGTCCCGAAATGACCTGGTTTGTGTCGAGTGAACAATAAACCCCATTTCTCTCTCTTTTATCTCTTTTTATACATACACAGTATAAAAATTATTTTTTCCATATAGACAATAAAGATAACCTTTTAATTAGTAGCCACACTTGCTCAGTGAGAAAAACGTGAAGGACATTTTGCAAGTGTCCAATATCAGTGTTCGTGGTAAAAATTCTTTGGGATTTTCATGTGTGGTTTGCCCTTGTCAATGTTGCAGGACAGAGTGCCAGGCAAGGGACAACGCATAGTCGGAATTCAATATAAGAGTAGGCCGTAGTACTGCTGTTCGGTCAAATTTCCCGGATAGCACACGGTACAGCATATGCCCGTCTTCATTAGCCCAGTAGGATATTAAACTTAATTTTATTTTATAACCAAAATGTCAGTTGTTTGTGGGTTATAACTGACTGTATTTATAGCTCACTGTCAGAATCAAGACCATGTGTATTATTATTATTCTGTTGTGTTTTTTCTTCACCAGGCGTGTGCTGTTGCTATTAACCATAAATCTAACCCCAAATCAAATTGTAAATCACCAGAAATGGTAAGTATTGTTAGGAGTGGACACTTGTTTTTGTCTCTCCTCTATGTTTTTATGTATATTTCTAATAGAGTGATACAGGGTGGTTGGGATGGCCTAGTGGTCTAAAGTGTCGCGCTTTGAGCTCTAGCTGGCTGGTCACCTTTGGCTTGCAGTTGTAGTTCTCAAAAAGACATAATTTCATGACTGATGGGTCACTGGACTGTACATGCCTGACATTTTGATTGATAAATACATAGAGCTGGGTGGTATCCCTGGAAACAAATTTCGCGATATATTCAGCAGTCATGTGATGTAAACAAGGTCTGATAACGTCTGATAACTTCGTGGGATTAACAATCATGAGTTTATAACATTAATTATTCATGATTTAGCAATAATATATGGTAAATAAGAGAAAAATATTTACATTTTTCAATATTTCTGCTAAATATCGTCCAGAAAAATCAAAACCGTGATATGTTAGCCTTTCTATATTTTTCTGAAGGTGGTATTTCAGATGTTTTTTATTTCTGCAACGGTCACTGATACGGGATGGAGGGCTTGGCAAAGAACATACGTGTAGTATAGTCGTTCAGCACGTATGTAAAACCAAGGTCCTTTATTTGTACAGATTAGACAAAAGCATAACAGAACCGTTGGCTGTTGGAAGTTAATAAAGGGCCGCTGTCCGGGCAAAATGTCCCCCATAGCACATAGCATGGGATGAGAAATCAAGATCACATGTACACATTGGCATGAACGTTAAAACAATCCTTTACAGTTGGAATTCAGTATAAGGCTGAAATAAGAGCCAAGGGTTAATGTGTCTATGCATGGTTAAAATATTTTCTATCTTCAGCTTTCTAAATACTGTGATAGTTTATTAAAAAAGAGTTCAAAGGGAATTTCCGAAACAGAATTAGATGACAAGTTGGCAGCTTCTATTACCATATTTAAATACCTCGATGATAAAGATGTTTTTCAACGGGTAAGTTGTTTAGAGTAAGGAACGTTTTCAGGGTGCTTATTTTTTGTGTTTTTTCCGTGTGCATTTTCTATGTAACCGGCAAAAATGGGCTCGGAAACCCCAGGAAAACGCGTACATGGAAAACCGGCTTTATGAATGTATTTCCATGAAGGTAATTCTCGAATTTAGTTCTCCCATTAATCAAATAAATGGGAGAAATATAAAGAAAAATATCTCAACTATCTGAAGAGATGAAACATGAATATGTAATGATTTTACAACGTGTAAAGAATATCCCGATAACAAGAGGAGTCGCAGTGGTTCAGGGAGTAAGATGCTGGTTGACTGACCTGGAAGTCCCCAAGTTGGACCCAAGTATTGGCTGAGAAAGATCGTCAATTCTCCGGTTGTATGTGACAAGGAGTAGGGTCGCCTGTCCAACCTCGTGGGTTTTCTCCAGGTCCTCCGGTTTCTTCCCACTGCTGAAGACCCCTACGCACAAGCGTATTATTGAAATAAAATTGAACCATATGTTAGTCCCGAAATGACCTAGTTTCGGTCGAGTGGAGGTTAAACCCAATTTCTCTCTTTATTTCAATGATTTGCATAGTATTTATAAATTAATTGTGAAGTTATCAAAATAATTGGAAATATATATATTTCTTTCCTAGTTCTATTCCCGGATGTTAGCGAAAAGATTAATTTATTCACAATCAACGTCAATGGATGCCGAGGAGTCTCTGATCAACAGGTTAAAGGTCAGTTATTTGTTTTTATATCCAGTCACATATTAATGAAACGTAACAACTGGCCCCAAGTTCACCAAGCATTCTCAGACTTACGTTAAGAATTTACTCAACTTTTAATCACTGTTTATGAAACATATCTTTGACCCAGAACACAAAACTTTGCACATAGTTTCTTATTGATGTATTTGATACATTAAAATAACAAAAGTTTTATAAAGGGCTATATTTAGATTAAAATAAGGTGAACAATTTTGAATAAATTCTTAACTGAAGTCTGAGAATGTTTTGTGAACTCAGGGCCAGACTGATTACACTACAACTCCAGTATCGCGTAGTTCAGTTGTATAGAATGATTAGTTTCAATCCATTGTTGGCGAATTGTTTCAATTCGTTTAGAATCATCAAAAATTATTAGTTTCCTACTGTCCCGTAGTTTAAATGGTCCGTCTAGATTAGATAATTAATGTTGGTTTTATAACTATTTACTTTCACTAGTGGGGGGTTGGATTGCCGAATGGTTAGCACGTGCGCGCTGCGCTGTATCATAAGGTCTGTCTTTGAGTCAACTGGTGGGGTTTCGATTCCCCGGTTGTATGTGACAAGGAGTAGGGTCGCCTGTCCAACCTTGTGGGTTTTCTCCGGATCCTCCGGTTTCCTCCCACTGCTAAAGACCCCTACGCGCAAGCGAATTAATGAAATAAAATTAAACCATATGTCAGTCCTGAAATGACCCAGTTTGTGTCGAGTGGACGTTAAACCCCATTTCTTTCTCCCCTTTCTTTAGGCTTCATTATATAAATTACTGTTTACCCATTTATTAAACATACATTATGCAAGAGCAAAATCTGCTTGTTACAAGTCTTTCTTTAGGCCTGAAATGTTATCTAAATTATCAATTAGACATTAATTAACTTATCCAGACCATAATAAACTCTCGATGTCAAGGCTAGCCTTCGATGTTGGCTGGATTAGATTCCTATATGCCGCTAACGGCCGTTGACAATTAAATCAAGAAAAGCGGATAATAGAGACTTGCTGTTTATATTAATGATTTTAGTAATGATGACCGAGACTATGCCAAAATTTTCAGCAAATTACCTTTACACTATCTAGTTTTTAACTATTATAGCGAGAACTGCCATCTCGTTATCTTATCTCCCATAATGTATCTTTAACATGAAAAACCAATAATCAACTCTCTAGAACATCAGATGGCCAATGTAATGATAAATTTAAAAATGGCAAAGTGAGCTAAGTCTTGAATAATAGGTACCCTTGTTACGATAATAAAAAATCTATGCCACGTCTTGTCAAAAATTCAAACGGTGATAACATCTATTCAGAATAAAATAATTTGAATGAAATTATAATATAAACAAGAATTTTTATTGTCAAGGCATATAATATATTGACCAATCACCAAAGCTGTAACAAGTTTCCTATGTCATTACCCTTGTGTGTTATTGCGATTGGCAGAAACATTGACAGGACCTAGTTCTATATCATGCAATTGTATTTCGTTAATTTTTTAGTATTCCATATTCATCATAAAATTGTGTTGAAAAAAATGGTTGATCTCTTTTTGCCGTTGAGTCAACTGGCGTGGTTTTGATTCCCCCGTTGTATGTGACAAGGAGTTGGTTCGTCTGTCCAACCTCGTGTGTTTTCTCCATGTCCTCAGGTTTGCTAAAACCCCTAAACTCAAGCGAATTATTGAAATACAATTGAAATATGTTAGTCCCGAAATTACCTAGTTTGTGTGGAGTGGACGTTAAACCCCACCTATCTCTCTCTCTCTTTTAACTATAGCGGGCATAAATAAATCATTATGGTTTGTGGTTTCTGCAATCTAGAATTATTTTGTTTTTGTGTTTCAGCAAGCATGTGGTTACGAATTTACCAACAAACTACATAGAATGTTTAATGACATCACCATCAGTTACGAATTAACTTCTATTTTTCATGACCTCGCCAAGAGACATGAGTATAATCTGGGCGTCAGTTTTAACATCATGGTTTTACAGGTCAGTTCTATTTTGTAGCGGCGGTGGATTGATCTCTCATTCCATTTCCATTGGTCTGTTCCTTCCTCATTCATTCATTCCCCCATTCATTCCTTCCTTCCACTATCATTCATTCTTACATTCCTTCCTCCATTTCTCCCCATCCCTCCTTCCTTACTTCCTTACCCCCCCACCCACACACACTTTTGCGCTTTTGATCACAAGATCTGTCATTGAGTCAAGTGGCATGGAAATGCTGTTGGTCTTGCAGACGTAACCATGGAAATGAAAATTATGTTGCGATATTAAGGTGATACTGTGACTGTAAAGAACCCTTGGCAAATGAAATTCAGTGAAGGGTAGGTCCTGGCAAAATTCTTACCCGGGGTGTTGGATGATTGAATGGTTAGTATATGCGCGCTGTAACATAAGGTCTGTTATTAAGTTAACTGACGTGGTTTCAATTCCCCGGTTGTATGTGACAAGGAATAGGGTCGCCTGTCCAGCCTCGTGGGTTTTCTAGGTGTCCTCTGGTTTCCTCCCACTGCTAAATACCCCAATGTGCAAGCTAAATATTGAACTAAAATTAAACCATATCATCGGTGAAGTGTCAAAAGGGTGTATCTTGGGAAATTAGTCAAATACACTTTTTTGCATTTTTAAAATCTCCCAATTAATATGCAAAAGGTTCTATTTCTTAATCTTTAGAAATTCTTAGATACACCCTTTTGACACTTCACCGATGATATGTTAGTCCCGAAATGACCTGTCAGGTGGACATTAAACCCTCTCTCTCTCTCTCTCTCTCTCTCTCTCTCTCTTTCTCCCCACCTGAATTTCATATGTATCCATGGAGATATTAAGTTGATACTGTGACTGTAAAGGATGCACTGTTAATATTTCAGGCCGGTGCTTGGCCGATACCACAGAGTAATTTACCAACATTTAACGTGCCACAAGAATTAGAAAAAAGTGTGAAAAAGGTAAGAGGCCACACTTACCATATTTACATATCAAACATATTACTATGGTAATAATGTCCAAGTGAAATGTTATTAATTATCATAGTGAAATGTTATATTTATTGTCCAAGTGAAATGTTTAGTGAATTGTCCAAGTGAAATGTTAAGTGAATTATATCAAAGTGAAATGTTAAGTGAAATATTAAGTGAATTATCAAAGTGAAATATGTGAAGTGACATTATCAATTGTTAGAATATTATTAAACATACATTATACAGGAGGTAAATCTGCTTATTGCAGGTCTTTCTTTAGACCTGAAATGTTAGATAAACTATTAATTAGACTTTTATTAACTTGACAAAACCATAATCAACTCTCAAACCATCTTATGTGTCCAATTTTCATTACATTTGAATCCGATCTGCTGTTCAACGCCCATTTATGGTTAACTGCAAAAATGGATAATCAAGACTTTTTTTTATTATCGTTACATTCAAGGCTGCAGTGCTTTTAAAATGAGGTTTTTTCAACTCTTGAGTGAAGTAATTTGACAGAAATTTTCAGCACATTCCCTTTACATTATCTATTTTATAACTATTATACCAAGAACTGCCAACTCTTTATCTAATCTCCCATAATGTATATTTAAGCCTGACACACGTTCAGTGTTGTATGAGGAGTTGGATGGCTGAATGGTTAGCACTCGCGGACTTTATCATGAAGTCTGTCATTTAGTCAGCTGGCATGGTTTTGATTCCCTGGTTCTACGTGACAAGGAGTAGGGTCGCCTTTCCAACCTTGTGGGTTTCTCCGGGTTCTCCGGTTTCCTCATACTGCTAAAGACCCCGACGCACAAGCGAATGATGGAAATAAAATTAATCCATATGTTAGTCCTGAAATGAACCCCATTTCTCTCTCTAAATGTTGTATGAGTTCAATTGAATGTTATATATTATGTAATTTCAGTTTGAAGGATTTTATAATGATAAATTTAGTGGAAGAAAATTAACTTGGATGCACAATTTCTGTACAGGTAAAGTTATTTTTAAGATTTATTTTATAAAAAAAATGGCTCTAAAGGTCTCTTGACATGTGTTCAGTGCTAAATTTAAATCTTAAAAACGTGCCAGCATTTGCAAGAACCTACAAACTTCTTGTCAATGCAGATTTATTATTATATTCACCTATTCGGGACTCGCGCTGTCTGTCGCCAAGTCGGAATTTACCCAAAAAATAAATGGAAATAAACAAAATGGCAGACAATTCTTATCGCAGAGAAAAAAATATTTAATTGTTGATTTCCGTTTACTGTGGCTTCATGCAGCAAAAATATACAAGCATACCTAATTGGATATTATTATTTCAAATTATATTATCACCCTGGGTCGGAAAGGTAAGAACAACGAACGAGTCGAATATAGCGACGATTCTGGATTGAGAAAAAGGGCTATTCATTCACGCAAAATGTAATTTAAAGAAATCTGGATAATTGTCAATCCTTGGATGAGGTTTGACGTGTAAATACTGAAAATATATTGTTCAATACGATGTTCTAACAGACTAAAGTCACCAAAAATGAAATCTGATTATAGTAAATTCATCTCAAAACTGGCCTAATTATGAAAGTTGTTGCATATTGAATGTACCCTTAATTGTTTTATACTAAGCCTACCTGAGAAATAAAATTATCACGTCTTTTTTTTTTATCACACATTTTTGGCAGATAAAATATTCTACTTGGCAGAAAAAATATATGAACGTTTTTTTTTACATAAAAATATTATCTATTTTGATGAGAAAAAAATTGGAATTCCAGTGTGAACCCTGCTTCATTTATTAGTTCAGGAAGAATTGACACATTTTGAAATGTTACAAATGGATATATATTATTGTTATTATAAATCAGGGGGGTTGGATGGCCGAATGGTTAGCATGTGCGCGCTATATCATAAGGTCTGTCATTGAGTCAACTGGTGTGGTTTCGATTCCCCGGTTGTACATGACAAGGAGTAGGGTTGCCTGTCCAACCTCATGGGTTTTCTGCGGGGCCTTCGATTTCCTCCCACTGCTAAAGACCCCTATGTGCAAGCGCATTATTGAAGTAAAATTAAACCATGTTAGTACCGAAATGACCTAGTCTGTGTTGAGTTGATGTTAAAACCTGTTTCTCTCTCCCTCCTATTATAAATCTGTGACTTTTTCTTTCATGTTTTTTTTTATTCTTTCAACAGCTGATTTGAAATTAAACTATGCCAAGAAGACATATTTTGTGACGATGGGAACGTTTAATATGGCCATCTTACTGATGTTTAACGACGTGGATAAACTCAGTTTTAAGGAAATACAACAATTCACTAGGTTACCGGAGAAAGAACTGACGAAATATTTACAGTCTTTGTTGGATATTAAAATCTTATCGGCACAGGTAAATATATGTAATTCTTTTAAAACTGGTGGTGTCTTTAAAATGGGGGGTGGGGGTGGATGGCCAAATGATTAGCATGTGCGCGCTGTATCATAAGGCCTGTGTGGTTTCGATTCCCTGGTTGTACGTGACAAGGAGTAGGGTGGCCTGTCCAATCTCGTGGGTTTTTTCCGGGTCCTCCGGCTTCCTCCCATTGCTAAAGACTCCTACGCGCAAGCGAAATATTGAAATAAAAAAATTAAAATCATATGTTAGTCCCAAAATGACCTAGTCTGTGTCGAGTGGACGTTAAACCCTCTATCTCTTTTAAAACTGTGGGGTTGGTTGACCGAATGGTTTAACGCTTGCGTACTGGATCATAAGGTCTATCATTGAGCCAGTTGGCGTGGTTTTGATTCCCCGCATTATGTCAATAGGAAATTGGACCTCATTTCCGTTATTTAAAACTTTTAATGAGGCAACAATCTAGAAAGTTCATTGAATTTCCTGTTTGGTTTTCTCTTATCAGGGAGGGTTGGGTTCCCGAATGGTATAACGTATGTGCATTAGATCATAAGGTCTGTCATTGAGTCAACTGGTGTGGTTTCAATTCCCTGGTTGTACGTGACAAGGAGTAGGGGTCACCTGTCCAACCTTGTCAGGTTTCTCCTTGTCCTCCGGTTTCCTTCCCCAGTGTGCTCTTCTTCATTATCTCATTCGGTGAAGAAAAGTAGGATGTAAAACTGAATTTCATTTTATTAGTTCATTTGTTATATGTGACAAGGAGTAGGGTCACCTGTCCAATCTCGTGGGTTTTCTCCGGGTCCTCCGGTTTCCTCCCACTGCTAAAGACCCCTACGCACAAGTGAATTATTGAAATAAAATAAATTGATCTACATGTTAGTCTCGAAATGACATAGCTTTCCCTTGTCAGTCGAGTGTAATGAAAAAGCTTCTAAATTTAGTACTCTTGCTACAGACAAGTAGAGTGTTAAAACTTTATTTGACTAAATCAACCTGAGTCATGTTGGTTAGTGAGGAAGATGTTGGCTCGCTAATCTGGATTTTCTGATATGGATTCCCTCTTGTCAGTGGTGCAGGATGAAGAACCTGGCAAGTGTCAAGATATAGTCATTTGGATGGTCGAAAAAATTGAGGTCCCGTGTACACCTTGGAGAGCATGGAAAAGAAGCATTGGGAGTTGGAATTCGACATAAGTGTATGGCATATGCCAGTCTTCATTAGCCCAGTCGGAGCAGAACGGTAGGACGTTAAACACCATTTCATTTCATTTGATCCCGTCAACCACTATGAACCTTGTGTCGTAAAGATTGAAAGCTGATTTTGTAAATTGGACTATATTTTGTTTTCCAGACACCAATGACAGCAGAGACTATATTTAGTTTGAACATAAACTATAACAATAAAAGAACAAAGTTTAAAATTTCAACAATGGCCCAGAAAGATTCTCCACTTGTAAGTACTTATGTCTCCATTTCTATAACATATTGTAATTGACTCACCATTTTATTGTATATTGTAATTGACCATGCTAAAATATATTGTAATTGACTTGCCAAGCTATGACATATTGTAATTGTGTATTTCTACAGGAAGTAGAGATGACCATTCTATAATATATTGTAATTGACCCACCATGCTGTAATATATTGTAATTATGTATTAATACAGGAAGTAGAAATGACCCACCAAACAGTAGATGAAGATAGAAAGATGTATATACAGGCTGCTATTGTTAGAATAATGAAAGCTAGAAAAGTTCTTAAACATACTCTGTTAATAAATGAGGTACTGTACACTTAAACATACTCTGTTAATAAACAAGGTACTTTACACTTAAACATACTCTGTTAATAAACGAGGTACTTTACACTTAAACATACTCTGTTAATAAACGAGGTACTTTACACTTAAACATACTCTGTTAATAAACGAGGTACTTTACACTTAAACATACTCTGTTAATAAACAGGGTACTACTTTACACTTAAACATAGGGGGATTGTATGGCCGAATGGTTAGCACTGTATCATAAGGTCTGTCATTGAGTCAACTGGCGTGGTTTCGATTAGTGGGTTTTACATGACAAGGAGTACGGTCGTCTGTCCAACCTCGTGGGTTTTCTCTGTGTCCTCCAGGTTGCTCCCACTGCTAAAGACCCCTAAATGCATTTGTATTATTGAATTAAAATTGAACTATGTGTTAGTCTCGAAATAAAATTGAACCATGTGTTAGTCCCAAAATGACCTACTTTGTGTCGAGTGGACGTTAAACCCTGTTTCTCTCTCTCTCTCTATTTTTATACACCCACATTGAAATGTGGTCATATATTGTTGTCTGCCCCGTCTGTCTGTCCGGAGGCTAAAGTTAATATCAAATTGACTTTAAATTTATACAGTGTTTAAGGTCATGAGACGAAGAAGCCTATGGATTTTTAGCAATTTCCGATAATTACTGCCAGACTTATGGCCTGTGATCACTTTGAAAAATCTTGTGGACGCTCCAGAGGCTAAAGTTAATATCTGATTGACTTTAGATTGATACACAGAGTTTAAGTTCTTGAGACGAACAAGTATATTGATTTTAAATCTTTTTTGATAACTTGAACAGCTAAATCCATGATATTAAATGTTTGGTATACTAAAAGTTAGCATGGGGCAGAACTAGAAGCCAAACAAAATTCTAATCATTTTCTGATAATTATGTAATGAGTTGTTACTCTTAATCAGATTTTAGTGTATTATAAATGTTTCATTACTGGCAAAATCTGCATCCCAACAACTTTTGTTGACTGCTCAGATGACTTAGCTGCTGTGGGCATATGTTTTGTTGCCTGGCAACCTATCTTTATCTGTTTGGTGTAGTTTATTTTTGAATGTTTGTTTTGTTACTTTTAAAGTATTGTATTGTTAATTTTTTGATTTGGATATTTTGATATTTGTACCATTGTATGAAAAGTGTCACGGTGGTGTGCTTTATCATAAATTTATCATCGGATGGTGGAATGGGATGGGCATTCAAAGTGCGAGATAATGATATAGATATATGTGATATCACAATGAATGTTTTGCATCAATGAAATTGGATCACAATGTGATCGTATTAATTCATACTAAATATTGACGTCAAACGGGGTGGTTTTCTCTCTTTAAAAAGCTCTGTGTGTATGATGCCTATGTAATTTGGAGACTATGATGGCATCATGCATTGTCAACTGTCAGATTCCCTTAACAGGAACCTGGCAAGCCCCCTGGATCTACCCCTGATTGTAAAGCACCAGGTGAACAGGTATAACAAATGTTGGTAAGAAAAATAAGTGGACATATAATATTCCAATCTCCTCTTCTTTATTTTTTCAGGTGATAAAGCAGTTGGTTTCTCGATTTGTTCCAAATATTAGTATGATTAAAAAATGTATAGAAACGTTGATAGAGAAAGGATATTTAGAACGAACTGCCGATTCTAACGATGAATATAGTTATGTGGCATGATCCACATGTTAGTGATAATTAACTCGTTCCGGACACCTATATTATCATGTACAGAGACGTTGAATTAATTAATTTGTTGAATTAATGATATCCAGTGAATTTAAGTTCAATCTATTGGGATGTCAACGTTATACTAATACAAAAGTACTACAAACAATATGTTAGTGTTTATTTAAGACACCTGTCTTATCATGTAAAGAGAGACGTTATCAAGATTAGACTATGATATGATTTGTTGAATTAATGATATCCAGTGAATTTAAGTACATCCAATAATTGCGACAGCCCTGTTATCTCAATACAAAAGTACTACAAAATATTTTAACCTTGCGAACTTCCAAGAAAATTCAGACGCGTGGTAGCTGGTTTTCTTAAAACACAAAGAAATGTATCAGCTCATAGTTAAAGGTCAGTGATCTTCATCTGGGGGATTTTGAAACCTTTGCAAACTACAATAAAGTGAAGATTGAGTCTACACTACAAAATATTTTAGATGTTGTGAACTTCAAAGAAAAATTATCAAGTGTTATCAAGTGTTCTTGAAGAAATATATGAACTCGTGGATCTACACTACAATACTGTGAAGATTTGGTCTATGAAGAAACATTAGTTCAAGGAACACATCTTTCAGTTTCCTTCCACGTCTCGTGAATTAAAGTGAATTAAAATCAATCGGCTGAAAATGAAAATAAAATTATATATATATTGATATTAGTACCCTTATTGAATTGGATGAATTATTTAATTATTGACGTTTACTGTGAAAAAATTGGACGGAACAAGGAGTAGGGTCGCCTGTCCAACCTCGTGGGTTTTCTCCGGTCCTCCGGTTTCCTCCAACTGTTAAAGACTCCTATGCGCAAGCGAATTAATGAAATAAAACTAAACCCCATTTCTCTATCTCTGTGTTGAGAGAGCCCTGTCCAAGCTTGGCCGCATTTTTTCCTGGACTCATGAATCTAATTCAGTTCTCGTCTTTTAAGGTGTTGGACAAGTGTTGAGTGTTTGGCGACAGGATGCCTAAACGATTACCCAGCGGGTTATTACATAATGCCAGATTGGCTTTCTGTACAAGTCAATTGACATTACATAACATCACTGGCAATGGCGGACCAGATGTTAACGAATCAACTATCTGTCATAAGTGACGCCATAATTGCGTTTAGATATTATTCCCCTATTGTGTAACTTATTTCTGTTGGGTTGGCCGAACATGTACCTCGGTGTTTTCCACCGAGGCATCTTCTTGTTCCTTGTATACTTCAGCAATTCAAGAGTAGCATAAAGCGCGTCTGTCCCGAGCCGTTGCAGTCATCATACCACATCATACCAATCTGATTACAATACAGATCTTTATTTCGTTTCGTTTTTTTTTTTTATACTTTTGATGGCCTACACTACATGATGATCTGACCAGTTGTACTGGGATGTCGCGTCAAGGGTCATACGAGTGGCTTTTGACCCTATGACATCAGACATTGATCAATCAATCAACGTTGACGTTTCTAGGGGTTTGGCCAAAGGTCACGAGATGTAAACAGAGCTAACGCTAATTCCAACCCTAACCGTAACCAGGGACTTAGCCCTAACCCTAACTCTCGTGACTGAAGCAGCTGACGGTGACATCAAATAAAATCAAGGCCTAATGATTGAATATTTACACATGACATGGCGTCCCTCACACTGTCCATTTCGTAATCTATTCATTACTTAATTACATTCCAAAAATAAGTTTCAATTACTTTTTAATCACATTTTATGATACATATCAATGTTTCCAACTATTACAAGCCTCAAATTTTAGAATTAAGAAAATTAAGTATATCTTTAAAAAATCTAACTTAAAGATACATTATGGGAGATTAGATAAAGAGCTGACAGTTCTCACTATAATAGTTCAAAACTAGATAATGTAAAGGCAATTTGCTGAAAATTTCAGTCAAATTGATCCACTATGAACCAAGATTTTAGTGATTGAATTTTCGGCCTAACCTCGATCATCATTACTAAAGTCGATAGGATAAAAAACATAATCTCGATCACACATTTAATGATTAAATCATGAATGAAAGTTTAGCCACAAATCAGTTCCAAATCCAATAAATATCGCAGGCTAGCGTTGACATCGAGAGTGGACTATGGTCTGGATAATTAATGTTAATTAATGTCTAACTAATAGTTTATATAACATTTCAGGCCCAAAGAAAGACCCGCAATAGGCAGATTTAGCTCTTGCATAATATGTTTAACTCTGTTTTAAAAAGAAAGAAAATATAGGCCATGTAATGAAATTCATTATTTTTTATTTAGGGTCCACTTCTAGACATGTAAGCGGATTACAAAATAAATGTAGATTGTAAATCATAGAAAAATGATAATTTAACATTCAAGTTCAAATTCTTTATTCCGTTTAGTCAGCAACTCATCAGTTATAGACCAAGAGCCAGTTACGAAATTGGCAGCTATTGATAGGCCAAATTCAAAACACCCAGTCTTACGAGGTTGCAATAGGGCATTTGGCTGGGAGGGGCAGATAAAAAGGGCTAAAATTTGCCTCATAAGTAAAAGGATCAGAATGTTTTCTAAAATGCTGCCATACAATGTATGAATATAAAAAATATAAATCTTACGAGTAAAAATGGGGCCAAGCCCTTTTCCTGACTGCATGCCTCATAAGTAATAAGATTGAAATTGGTGCCAAGTGTTAGCTAATTATTGGACGGTTGTAAAAATATCAAATCTGACTGGTTTCAGTGGGGCAAACCCCTAATCTGACCACTTAAATGCGCCTCATCTGACACGTCCACAAAAGCGGGGGGGGGGGGGTGATACATTTTGCCTAATAAGTAAACTGACTGAAACTGGTGTCAAATTTTAACTGCGTATTTCTTACCAGTTAGTGTTTTCGTTACTGACTCTTGGATTATTAATAGAAACAGTAGAAACGAATAACACTATGTACCATAACAAAACAAAACACATATTAAACTGGATTACATATTTAAATATATCAGTTAAAAATATAGGAGAGGAACCGTTTTTTTACGTACGTTCTCGGGGGTTTTCTAGTTCCCATGAATATAAACACAATACTCATTATAAATCAGTTCTAATTGGTTTTGACTGAATAATAATGAACTCGGGAAAACAAAATTCAGAAACAATTCATCTTATATAGTTAAATTTACTCCATGTATTATTCTACACTTCCGTGATGAAAATTATAACTACAGTTCAGGGGCCTGTTTCACGAAATTTTAACTAAGATAAAATCCAAATTTTAGTAATTTGATTGGATAATATTAAATTGATTTTAGTCCTTAGCCAATCAAAGTTGAAGTATCTACTAAAATATGGATTTTATCTTTAGTTAAAATTTCGTGAAACAGGTCCCAGGTTTTATTTCTTTCCGTTTTTTATTTATATAAAAAAAAATAAACCTCTAGAATTAGTCACAAATCTTCTTCGCTCTCAAATAAGTAAATGGCTGATATGTCAGACGGTGTGAGTTCTGCCAAATACTATCTCCCCACTCTATTTTATAGTGGCAACACCTTAATTGGTTTACGTCATAGACTGGCCTCGGTCCCAGTTTACAAATATGGAATAGGCATACCCCCTACACTGCAACCTGGGAGGGACTTATTACTAAATTTGGTCAACAGACACATTCCGTTCCTCACCATGAAGATGACATATGACAAATGTGTTTATTAACTTATAGTTCAATTCATGTAGATTTCTATTATTTCAGGTGTTATTTTGCTTGACCAAGAATCTATAAACAACTATTAGTCAAGGCCATAATATTATTACATAGGGTCGCCTGTCCAACCTCTTACGTTTTCTCCGGGGTTATCCGGTTTCGCTCTATTTTGCAAAGCCATACAGTTACAAAGACATTTTTCTCATTATGCCCCTCTCTTGAAAGAGAGAAAAATAAGGTTATTTTTAAAGTCATAAAGTAATGGGTAATGACAATTAATAACATTGCTAAATATATGAAAGTAATTTGAATGATTAAATTTAAATAGTAATGATAATGGCATTGTTCCCAGTTCAGTTACTAAGTGCTATTAAGAATGGGTTCGCGAGAGAATCATGCAAAATTTAAAAAAAACGGCACAAGCGGTGTCGGGCGATTTTGACCATACTTTGCAGATTTGGTCATTGGGTACCCCGTATACCCCACATGAAATATGAGGGTCACCAACCTTGTAGTTACGGAGAACCAGCTATGGCCATTTTAGAGTTAAAAAACGTCATTTTTGTTTAAAAAAACCCCCTAAATTCAAATATTCCCATAAATTGTCTATTGATTTTTTATTTTTTTAAAATTATTTTTTATGAATGATCATGTCTACTACTTCAATATATATGACTATTAAATTTTTCCAAAACCATTTGAGGCTATGAGGAATTTATTTTGAGACGTAGTTTTTGCTATATGCTAAAACATAGAAATTTCATGATGCCATTTCTATTAATAATGGAAGTTGAGGACTACTAATACTAATATTTGGTTTTGACAAAATGACTGGCACGGATTTCTTTCATATTAAATTTGATGGTCGAACTTGAAGAAAATGACTTCATTTTTGGCATCATTTTTCCAATAAAATCATCCATTGCCTGGATTATTAGGCCTGATAATGCCCCATGCAACCGCCTTCCAGCAACCCTGTGTAGGGCCGGTACAGATGATTCGGGAGTTCCACAAGGATTAGTCCTTGGACCTGTGCTTTCTATAATGTATACTAAGAATTTGGGACAACTAATTGACAATCATGGTTTCTAGGACGACATTCTTATGCAGACGATACACAGCTGATCGCAAGTTATTCCCTTTCAAAAACTGTTTCATTCCCTAATTATTCTGACATCAAATTGTGTACACATGACATTAAAGATAGGATGACAAGACATATGTTGAAATTAAATTTAATTGAATTAAGTAAATCAGAATGTATTTTATGTGGTCAAAATACACATCTGAAAAATACAAGTTCAAATGATGTGGTAGTACGAGATGCAATATTTGTACCATGAGACACTGTGAATTTGGTCCAGGAACATTGGCCATGTAAACACTTTATTAGCCAGGAAGCAGCTGCTACACTTATATGTTCATTGGTATTCCCAAGGATTGACTACTGTAACAGCTTGTTAGTAGAAACATCTAGTGCCAATATTAAAAAAAATCAACTTGTAGAAAATACCGCAGCTCGAATTCTTACCAGATCATCAAAACACTCTCAGATTACTCCTCTTCTGAAATCAATCTATTTGCTGCCAATCATCTTCAAAAGTCTGTCTTTGACGTATCAGTGTGTGAATGGCTTAGCTCAAATACTAACTTTATGCACATACAAGTTCCCTCGAGTAACCTCCGGCCGAACACACATTCATCAGTTTTGTTGCTCAAGGTGGAAATTAATATCATTTAGATACGGATCGTGCTCAGTGAATGCGCCTAAACTGCGTAACAATCTTCCAGAGATCATTAAATCATCGCAAACCCTTTCTTGTTTTACATCAAGACTTATCAAGATTAATTAAATTAATTTAAATGTATGCGCAGTGGACATGCTTCTGTACATGGAGTACGTGCGCTATATAAATGTACGCATTAATATTATTATTATTATTATTGGTCAGGCCGAAGTTAGATTTGCACTCCAGCCTCCAAGATGGCGGATGAAATCAGCT